TTGAGCATTTTGGCACAGCATCGTTGCCACCACACGTGGGCAACAAGGAGCAGCAGATTACGTTTTTTATAGCCAAGAAAGGCAAGCAAGCATTGTTGGGGCTGTCATTTTGCGAGTGTCATTTTGCGAGAAGGGAAGACATCGAGGCAGAGTTAGCGGGAGCCAGATGGGTCAGCAAGCTCGATGCAAATCAAGGATTTCATCAAATACCGCTGGACGACGCATCGTCAAGAATTTACACGTTCAGCACCCCGTACAGGCAATACAGATTTTTAAGATTACCATTTGGTCTAAGCTCTGCTTTGGAAGTATTTCAAAAGAAACTCAGCGACGCATTAGACAAAATTCCTGGTGTAGGAGTCTACATACGCAAAGGACTTTCAACAAATTAAGTAGGTGTGGCTGTTTTTTATTATTATTTGTTTTTTTATTTGCTGTTTAATTGTTTATTTTTTCCTAAGGAGGGATGATGTATCAGAATGTGGCCTAGCAACTTTGGCCCGTTTGTCAAGCATAAAAAGAGCGAGCGATAATAAACCACGGTTCTTATCGCCTTGTCAGTCTCCGGCTCTCTGTCCTCAGTTGAAGCAGTCACCAGAAATATCTAAAAAAAACGCATCACACTCAAAACAAATTCATCATTTCTGATTGCACAAGAATCTTACTGACGTAACAGTGGCCATTCGCTTAAAGAAAAGCTTGACATGATAGCGTCAAGAGCTTTTAACAGACAACAAAAGCACACTGCACTGCCGTTGGTGGCCACCTCGTGCAAAATCACCTTCAGGAGTGCAGCGCGATATCCAAAAACCTCGCCGTATCGACTATCTCGTAAAGCGCGCGTATGGCACTAAGTTATAGGCGAATAATACTGATAACGACTCTCCACACGAGCAACCACGCGTTATTAGTGCAGCACAAGTTGGCCAGTTCTATATTTGTTTAATATTCTATAGGTCAACACCATTAATGTAGAACTCCCAATAATACATTGACTTGCAATTGCCGCCCGCGCCACTCCAAAACTCGCTTAAAGTGCTCGCGCAGCGCAGATGAAAAAATCCGTGTCCCCGCAAACAAACCGCTGAACGTAGAGAAGCAGGTCTTATTGCAAAAAAGAAGGAAAAAAAAAGAAAACCAAGTCAAACTACCGCCGATCAAAACACTGATCGAGATAAGCCTAAAAGCATGTATAGGCCAGGACCGGCATGCATGCAGCGACGCCTATTTAAGCGCTCATTGCGAGTTTCAATTACAAAATGGAGCAGTGAAAAATCGCCATTCATGAAAACTGTGCCAAGGGATCGCTGAAGCGTAATGAGTCGCGAATAAAGTACCGAGGTGCCCCTTCATATCGTTTATATTGGTTTTAATGCGTGTTTTATCCCCACGACTTCGCACGTAACTAAGTTTCTCTCTACCTGCAGACACCGATGTGCAGATCTCACGTGCGATGGCATTTTTAAATGCAAAATTAAATGAGAACTCTCTTGACTAAATAAATTAGTAGCTAATGCGTGTAAACCGGGAATTGTTTGCACACATTCTGCCGCTCACGAAACCCATTTTGAGAACCTGTTTGCACGTGCCAGAGCATCCGGGAGACACGTCGGATGCAGGGAATGACTCCACGTTTACAGTTACTCGCTCAAGGCAAACATCTACTCGTAGGTGACCGCACGCAGCAGCATCGACATGAAAGCCACAGTGACCAGAAGAACGTGCTGCGCACCGCAAAGAACTGAAAAGTCCACCCCGCTAAGATTGCCACCCGACTCGGTTGTTTTCACTAGCCGACAGTGGCACTAGAACACATAGCCTAGCTAGTAGAAGCAGCACGCTCAATGCACGGCAGCACATTCTTGTGGGGTCACGCATATTTGCAGAAGTTTAAAGATTATGGCGGCACCATGAAAGCCTTTGTCACCAGAAAGGTGCTAAGTGAAAAAAAAACATACAATTGGGTGCGTCTTATTAGTCAAACTTGCCATTTTTTCCCCACTGAAGCTGAGATTTGCATCAAAATTCTAGCTTTCGAGGCTGTCTCGAAGCAGTTTGGTGCAATTTTCTCGATTTTTTATGCTTTTGGAGCAAATTGGTGCAAGAAAACTAAAATGTATCAAAAATGCGCAATATGCGCAGCTGTCTCACCCCTAGATATGCCAACATAGACTAATGACTATAGAGTGAAAGTATGCAAGACTTTTCTTGTTTTTAGGCCTTTCTTGGTTATTTTACATCAAAATGAGCTATCCATTTTCAAAAGCAGTTGGAATTGTGTTACAATTTTGATGAATAATTAATTTAAAAGACTCATGCTCTGAATTCTGCTTCCACACTTGCATTCCACACACATACAAGTTTCCATTGCAAAAAGAATTGTTGTTGTACCTGCCCTAGCTGCAGAGATACAGTGCAGTCCACTTATAACGATACCACATATAACGATATATCGGTTATAACGATGGGTCGACTTAACAGTCTCATTTTGTGCATTGAGGCTATGGGGAAAAAAACCATATATAACGATATGTTATCCACCGCATATCGGATACAACGATGAAAAGTTTGCCGTGGACGGCATGTTTCATTCAGAATAATCGTAACATTTAGATTGATAAGTTCCTCTGAAACGAACTATGCCGAGACAAGACGAAAAGTTAGCGTAGGCGAGTACCTGCCGCCACTGCAGCACAGCGCCGGCAGCGCGTCCCGGCCGTTCAAAAAGCCGAGGAGAGCGTCGCGAGTTGGCGCGACGCGCTACAGATGGCGCCAGCTGTGTCACGTTTTGCGCCTCGCCGCGCGTCGACCGCGGAGAGGCTGAGAGAATTTAAAAAAAAAAAATTGCGAAAAGCAAAGCGCCGCGCTCCGCGGCTCCCCGCCTTCTACAACGGCAAGCCGGCAAGCTACTCGTAGCTTGCCGAACGAAAGCGGGAAAGAGAGAGAAAATAAAAAAAGCGAAAAGCAAAGCGGCGCAGCGGCATCGGGGCGGGGCCTCGTTGGCATTCCGGCTGTGTACCTCTGGCTGTGCTTTCTTCCTCCCACTGCTCCCACCCCGCCGTCGGTCAGTCTCTCTTCCTCAGCGAACTCGTGATGCGTTCTTCGGAGTAAGAAATAAAGTCTTGTTTTTGACATCCTACTATCTACAATATTTATTAATTGGTGAAAATAGCGAAATGAAGCCTGGAGCTACAAAAGGTACGTCCGGCGACGATTTTTTGGCGGCAGTCCAGATATAACGATCACCGGTTATAACGATCATATTTTTTAGGTTTTCTCGATATCGTTATAAGTGGACTGCACTGTATTAAGGCTTCAAAATTGAACAGTCTTAAGTTTACTTTTTTGAGAAAAATAAAAAAAACTTAAAACACACAGCTTCTTCTAAAAGCAACAATCATGGTGCGCATGTTTTGCAATCCTCATAAAGGTGCTCATAAATTCGTAGCAGAGCTTCCAACACAGGTACCCGCAGATTATAAACAGGCCTCGAAGTCTGTTCCTTATATTTTTGCAGGTTCTGCAGGTTAACAGCACCAAGGATCTGAACAGTTATAATGACATTACAAAAGAATTACCACTTCCTGGTGTGAAAATTTGCAAAGAGATAGCAATATACTTGCAAAAGCAAGATATGTAAATTTTAAAAAGTAGATTTCTCTGTCCTTTTTCGGTCCCAAAGACCAGTCTGCCCCCTTAAACAGAACTCGAAGGGGCAAGAAAATTTGTTTTGCTCCATTTATGAGAAGTTCCATTTAAGCAAAGCCCACGAAATGAATAAAATATGTCTTTATTTCAAAATCGCCAACTTTGGCAGACGGAACAAAAACATTTTGAAGTACAAAATACTAGTATAATTGATTAGAAAGCAAAATGCTTCTAATATTGCTGACTCGGAAAAAAGAAGGTGATAACAATTTGCTTGGCCTTGTCCAAGCACTTTCTCACATAGTAGGAGCCCATTGCTGAAAGGCTGGGCAGGAACTCTTTGCCACTATCGTGTTCAAAGTAGCGTTGCAACAGGATGACAGCATATCTTGCTGCCCTGTCAGCCACTGAAATGGGCTCGGGATCACACACCATCTCACTAGCACTTGAGCACAGGTCCTCATCTTGAACTTCAGCTATAGGTTCCTCAAGGCTGTCTCCTCAAGTTCATGAAGACGTCGATTGCTGCTCAGCGTGCGCGGTCCGGACATGTGCAATCGCTGAATCGGCTTGGCTAGGCTAGCTTCGGCATTTGTTTTATAGTTGCTAGACTGCTGAGGCCACTTCCGCCGCTCATGAACTTTTGCCCGTTTTAGTTTAATTTAACCGATGTAAGCTAAGAAAAATGTTTCAATTACCCGAAACTTTTTATATAAATATATAGGAGACCAACCAAATTTGCCCAGATAGTTTCGCTTATGCAGGCCCGTTTAACCAAGTTTCGTTCAATGGGAGTCCAGTGTAATCGAATCCTGGTTTAAGCATGCACAAACTACAGTAGACTATCGATAAACAAAATTTTTCAAGTTAACTACTTAAACCAATTACTGCTTAAATAGAATAACTGCCACTGGTATATTTCGTTTCGGGCTTGTATTCTGCATACATGTTCATCTCTCATAACAGAACTCCTCTTAAATGTAACATATCTTCTCTGTCCCTTCAGATTCAGTTTGATAAGAGTCTACTGTATTCGATTCGAAATTATTCAGCGAAAGCACCATTCACTTAGACACTACAATTTACTACAGTTAAAGCCCTTCATAAAAGGCATGCTCTCGGCAAGAATTCTCATCATCTTTACAAGGTGTCTCTTATAAGCAGGGTTCCAAGTATGCCCTTTCCTATTAACCCGTATTTTACAGTAGGCACACTGGTGTCTTTTATACCCATATGTATCTTATATCAGTCAGTGTCTCTTATAAACGGGTATGACAGTATTCGTACATCCTACTCATAATGATACCACGGTTTGAACATGTAAAAGCCCCAAAATTATCCGAGTCGCTCACCACAGGTGATCCGACCGACAGATCTTGGGCAGGAGGCTGTGAACAGCCTTCAGGTCCCGCAGGTTCTGTCCCGCGAGGGCCCGGAAGAATGTCTCGGCCTGCGCGTGCATCATGGCCACCGTCTTGGGCGACAGGCCGGACGCCGCCGCCGGATTGGGGACCCGGCGCCGGTTGCAGTTCGCGACACCGGCAACAGTCATCGTGGAGGATCACGACGCACACGGCACTGCAGTGCAGCCGAAAGTGTGTGGCCTCCATGAGTATGTCGTCCAGGTACCCTTGAGACGACCGCCCTGCAATGCGTCGCACGTGACAGAGGTTAGTCAAAAGTCAGAAAGAAACGTCTCAGCGCACGAATCTCGTCATTGACAACGTGGAAGTGAAAAAAAGTGTTCCGAACCAGAACTTTTCACGCGTTATCCATCTCTGAATTTGACTCGCAATCCTTCACCTCCCTTTCCAACTACAAACCACGAGGAAGAAAACAATGTTAAAAAAAAAGATACCCTCACATTGCCATGAAGCCGCTTTCCCTTTTATCACTGTCAAGCAATGCCGTGAAGCCGACTTGCACATAAGAATTCACGTTTAGTTTGCACCCCAACTGTAGCTCCAAATTTTCAGTAAATTTTGTGCACGTTAGATGCAAGAAAATGCACCAAGTCATCTTCCTTCCTCGTGCAAGTTTAAACGAGGGAGATAGTGCACATTACACTGGTGCCCAGTTTTTTATTTGCTAGCTCTCCACGGCTTCGTATGATCGAAACACGCAAAGCTCTCAAATGTCCATCTACTGCACCAGTTGGAAAGTTTATCTACTACAACCCTCGCAAGCGCCTTGTCAAAAGCACAGATGTTCTACATTAATCATATGTTCCCAGCAGAGTGCAGGTATATTCACGCTAAGTTGGTGAAAGATAAAACAAACTACAGAGCAACCCCTATTATATGACTGATTATATGATGGCAAAACCGTCATATAATCCAGGCATCATATAATCGAAAAACTAAAGATATAGCAATGACACTCAGCCTCGCCCCAAAAAATGGGTATAGAGCACCTGAATAAACCCCCGGCACGACCTTGTGTCCTCTGCTAGAAAGGTAGATTAAATTATTCTTGCCAGGGACAGCTAATGGCAGCGTAGCTTAGCTGAAAGAGGTGCGAGCGAATCTCAATTCTCAAGTTCAAAAAGAATTGAATCCAACGCGTATCTTTCAACCGATAAAGAGAGTCCGAAAATTGCCTGCGCGTGAGAACAAAACCGATACAGTGTTGCCAATAGCCTCCCGTCAGAAGAGTCAGGACACAGTGTCATCGATATCACATAATGGTGACCGAACACGAGTGTGCATAGAATGCTTTTGTGTGCGACTGTGTAATTCGCAGCCCTGTGAAGTGCAACTAGTGATGTCTCGCTTTTAGTATGAACGTCGATGTCAAGTGAAAGTAATCTTTCACAGTAGAAACAGCTGCGTCGCGCCCTTGTGCGTCCGCAAGCCTGTGAGTGCGACAAAGGCAGGAGATCAGCTGTATGTCGATCAGAGAATGTTTTCATGGGCCAAAACGTGAAAATATCAGTTTTTCGCTTGGCTGGAGCTACTCTGAGTGGACAGAGCTTCACTAGGTAACAACCCCAGATACGTGCACACGCGATTGCGGTGTGTGTAGAAGCACATGAGCTTCCAGGAGAATAATTTTTCATTCGAAGACATCAGTCTCGCTCTTTACTTTTATAATCGTCAACCTATGGGACCGCAAGGTCATATTTTGCATTTTCGCAAGGTCATATTTCATATTTGGTCCATGCTTGATTCGAGTAAACGCATTCTTCTTTCTTTTGGACGAAATCTGAATGTCGTCAAAAGATGTGGGGTCGGCGCAAAACTGCGTCGTATAACCAAAGTTTTTAATACATTATTTAATATGGGACCTCACCGATTCGTCATAAAATGCAGGTCGTCGCGAAACTGGGGACTTCTAATCAAAGTTGCACTGTATAGCACACACCATGAGCTAGTTTCAACTCGGAAACAACCTAAGTACACTTGTTATGCAGCCTGAACATCTGTAGAGCCTCGTCACTAAGACAAGAGATGTCACTAACATGTGACAAATGCAACCCAACAGTTGGTATGAGGCAAGGTTCGTACAAATATCAGCCTGTCACTAAAGAGCCGACCAGAATCCTCGAAATGCATGAGCGGCCAAAACACAGCCCTGTACAAAAACACAACAACACAGGGGTAGGGGAATCCAGTGTTAATCTGAGTACTTCAGCTTTTTGAAATGCACCGGTACCCAAACAAACAGGTTCTTGAATTTCTCTTCTAGTCAAAAGCTGCCTCCACAGCTTCAAAGACTGTCCACAATACAGTGTAGACCCCTTATAACTTAACCGCTTATAGTGCAGAACCGCTTACAATGAAGTATTTTTCTACTCTCGTTTACCCTCCCATACGATCCCATGGATACGCATACCACTTATTGTGCACTACCCCAAGTTGAAAGACCAGTTATAATGTGGTTGCCGTAAACTGTTTGTGACAAACGCGGTAGCGAGTAGCGCTGGGTGCGCCACTGCGAAGCGAACGAAGAGGTCGTTACGGAGGAGGAGGGGACACGGAGTGAACGAACGAAGGGCGAAAGAAAGAAAAAGAATGAAAAAAAAAGACCACAAGACACTGCGCAAGCTCACCGAGTAAGGGTGGAGGACGGTTGTCTCGGTGACCAATAAGCTTTTGCACCAGCGTCGACGCGGCTACAGCGTACTACGTCACTAGCGTGGCTTTGGACAAGCGCCGCTCAGCACGTGGCACGTGCGATTCCATCCTTATCAACTACATGCGCTTAACAGTTTCCTGTCGGGAAAGACGTCATTATCGCACTTGCAACAAATATCCCCTTTGCTCCCACATCAGTAAATTGAAAAACTTTAACGGTTTCATGACGCGAGCGTTCACTTTTGCTGCCAGTGCGCTGTCGTACGTAACCTTGGCGAGTTGTCAACCGTCGTTGTTGATCTCCCGGCCGTGAACGCGAACTTTGTGTCACACATGAGGTTCTTGGTTCACTGCTCGTGCGAACTTTTTGACGCCAAATCCACATATTTTGGACAAACTAAACTTTCCACGACAACATACCAAACAGGAAGTTGGGCCTAATCAGTGTTAGTTGCGCTTCAATCGGTAGCAGTCGCGTGAATTTAAGTTGCGGTTTGGTACCGAATCAAAGAAATTCTTTGCGGTGGCCACACTTGACGCGTTAAATGAAAATGAGGGTGGCACATGTACGCTCAAATAGTGGTTCGCGATTCGATTGCGATGTCTTAAATAGGGTGGGCCCGTGAAATCGAATGGTTGGCATCTTTTAACGCGTCAAATTCTAGACGTGATTCAACATAGTTTCTGTGTGATGCGCATAATCGAGGCGATCTGGTAGTAGGCGAATTTTGCGATAGTGCTTTCATTTGCTAGACACCCCCCACTCCCCCCCTTTCGCGTTCTTTGGACGTTAAATGCGTTTAACAGCCACAAATTTAAATGTTAGCAAGCACGCATCGTATGCTTGAATTCTCAGACACGTGAAGCTGCCTACTCAACACGTTTTACACAAGGGCGGCCCTTAAAAAAGGTTGTTTTGGTTATGGTGCGGTACCACTTATAGTGCAGATATTCATGACTCCCGTGACTTGCATTAAAAGCGGTCTATACTGTACATGTAGAAATACAGTAGAATGTCTGATACCAACCCGGCTGATATCGATTTCAGTCTCTCATGAATTCGTATAACTCCCCAACCAAATTATGTTGGGTCCAATGGGCCAATATTTTGACGTTCGGAACACTTTTCCGCATCGCGACGGACAAGGACAGTATGATCCGAAAATGCGCGCAGCCAGCACGCAGTCAGAATTGTGGTTACCGTTTGCCACAACAGCTCAGGATTAAACCGCGACACTATGAACGTGATCATGTAGGAAAACAACGAAGCTTCAAAAACACATGCGCATCTGACACTCACAGAGTCGAAGCAATGCTGCTTTCTGCAATGGTGATGAACAAAAACATGGAAGAACTGATCATAAATAGCATCGACGCTGTTTTGAAGCCTGTGTGTAGAAGGCGCACTCAGATCGAAAGTGACACTACTGTTTGCTGCGACAGCAGCGCACGAAACTGTGGTTGCAGTCAACACAACCATGTATCGCGATAACGTAACTCCTGCAACTCCAAAAGCGTTAGCGCATCCAACGCTCACAGAGTCAAAGAAATATTTCCTTCCGCCAATGCCGAGGACAAAACTACAGTCAATGTGATCAGAGATAGCAACGAACAACGTGGACTTAAGGGGAGACGCGGGTCGAAAAGTCGCGGTTTTCCGGAAAATTTTCGCTTTTTTTTTTCCGGCTGTATTGGCATCCTTGGACTATAATCTATTACTTCTGAAAATATCAAGCTGAAATTCGCACGAAAAATTATCAAAAAATACTTCCAAGTGGGCAGCGGTGACGCGAGAAATGCGCGAAAGTCGCGAAAAACGGCGAAGTTCGCGTCGTCCTGTCGCGAAAACGACGCGTTGGCCACCATTTGCAATCGTGCACGCATGCTGCGAATGCCGTATCCTTCATAATCCACTAGTAGCCAGTCTCGTGCCTTCACGCAGAATAAACAAAAAACGAGAAAAACAACGCGTACGTCACGCGTTTTGAATATCACTGCACACAGCGCGAGGCCGCCATTGGACGGCGGTGCGCTCCACGCTCCTCCCCCTCCTATCTCTCCGGCAAAAGAGCGAAGCCTCGGACGTCGCGATCGAGTTTTTCTGCGTTTCTCTGCATTTTTGCGTCATGGCAAGCCCGAAGAAGGGCAGTTCAGATAATCGAAAGTTCAGAACTCGCCACAAGTATCGAGGGAAACGGCGTCGGACGCTTCGCAAAGCGACAGCGAACGACGATGTCGCCCCCGACCATCGCCCCAACGCTCCGACTTCGGATAAGCCTAACACCGTCACCGAACCCTGCGACAGTGGTTGTGAAATAGCCGCTGCCGTGGAATTCGTCAGTGCATCCCAAAGGAAGATTGGATTCTTCGAGAGTGAACGTAGACCGGTAGATGCTGCTACTGCGAACATGCTGCTTTGCGAAATCGATGCGCTGACGGCACTTGTGGCGGGTGCGCAATGCCCAACCTGCCGCGAACGGAAGCTCGGCGTGCGAGAGGCAGCTGGAAAGCGCAAAGGACTTTCGGCCTTCCTCGAACTGTGCTGTCAAAATTCTGATTGCCCTGAATCTGCACTTTCGTTCACACACACGTCGAGACGTACTGCTTCGGCCAGGGACCAAGGAACGAGCGCTCGTTTTGACAGCGGCAGCTCGCGTGACAGCTTTGCTGTAAACGTGAAGGCAGTTCTGGCAGCACCCGTTATAGGCACAGGCCACGACCAACTTTCACGATTTTGTGCGATTCTCGGTCTTCCGAGCCCGATGCATCACAAGACATTCAACGGCATTTGCACGAAGCTCCATGGTGCGGCGATGACGGCAGTGAGCAAAAACTTGCACCAGGCACGAAACATCACGAAGGACGCAGTCGGCGGCAGAGATGTGCCAGTCATGTTTGATGGCACCTGGCAGAAAAGAGGTCATAAAAGCCACAATGGAGTGGGCACAGTCGTGTCCCTGGACACGTAGCTCTGCCTCGATTTTGAAGTTCTTTCGAACTACTGTCATGCTTGCAGTATACACAGGGACCTTGGGAAGGATGAAGAGATATGGCGAGCTTTTCATCTTCCAGTTTGCCAAAAAAACACTGACTGCTCATCCCATGCAATGGAACCTGCGGCAGCTGTCAATATATGGCAGAGGACCTTGTCTTATGAAACTCCACTGCGATTCACCAGCTTCCTAAGTGATGGCGACAGCAAGGCCTACACTGCAGTCTGCGAGGCAAATGTATACTGTGACACCCCCACTGACAAAGAAGAGTGCACGAACCACGTTGCAAAGCGCTTGGGAACTGCCCTACGGAAATTGGCAACGCTACTGCCACGAGGCGAAAAACTGAAAGATGCGACAATAATAAAACTACAAACATATTACAGGATCGCCATCACGAGCAACAAGGACAGTGTCCGAAATATGTACACTGCCATATGGGCATCGTATTTTCATTGCTGCTCCAGTGATGGTGCCAGTAGCCACAACTTTTGCCCCGCGGGACCAAATTCGTGGTGCAAGCACAAGCGTGCGGAAGCACTGGGGGAGCCTGCACCACGCCACACCCCACTGTTGACGAAGGCTCAAGGATTGGCAATTATGCCTATCTACAAGCGCCTTACAGAGGAGAAACTCCTTATTCGGTGCCTTCATGGCAAGACACAGAATGCAGCTGAATCGCTGAACAGCAAGATATGGCTGCTATGTCTAAAAACAAAGTTCGCCTCCAGAACAACTGTGGAGACAGCCACCGCTCTTGCTGTACTCTGGTACAACAAAGGCCACAGGGGCTTTGAAGAAGTGCTCGAAGGCATTGGAATTCTCCCCTCACAAAATCTGGCCACACATGGTGACCACTGTGACGTCATGCGCATCAGGAAGATGAACCTGAAGCAAACTGCAGAAGCGAGGGCACACCGTCGCAACACAGCGAAGAGAGCTCGTGTTGAGGACACTGACCGCAAGAGCCGTGAAGGACCAAGCTATGGTGCAGGGGACTTCTAGACACTTGCAGTGCATTCAAGGCAAGGTACTTTTCATTGTGCCCCAATTTGATGCAAAAAGAATGATTTCCTAATAAATGCCAACTTTGCGAACTTTCAAACTTGTTTTTCTCATTTTCATTTTTTTCTGACAGTTTCACGTTTTCCGGGCAGCCTTTTAGAAACTTATATTCATTGTATAGTAACGAAACTTGGCACACATATTCTTCAACACATGCAGAATGCAAATATCTACTCTAAATTGCAATGCCTACCAGCATTAGTTGTGAAAATATTAGCTTATTGTTTCAAGGGAGATTGAAAATAATAAGTCATTCAATACAATTTTTTTTTCTTGGTTCCAATATTTCTGTGACATATCTATATAGATATTTGCACTTTTCAATCTACCAAGAGTCAAATAAGATCAGACACAGTGCTTTTACTGAAAGTTTAGTACATGAAAGAGTGCCTGCAAAAAATGTAACTTTTTGCTATTGTTTATGGCATAACTCAATAATTATAGCAGCCACACAAAAAATGATTGCATATTTGAAATCTACATGAAAAACTATACTAATAACAAACTTTTCAAGTCTCTATTACTAGAAATAAAAAAAAAAACTTTTTCGAGGAGCGTCTCCCCTTAAAGTGGTACTATCTGCCACCACTACCGTGCACAAAACTGCAGTTGCTACCAACGCGAGCATCAATAGCAACTATGCACTCCGAAGGTGCACGGCTAACACAGAGGTATATTAAAGGCAATGAAGTGGTAAAAATGGCATAACGCATTTCCACATTCCTGTATTCTTCCCTTTGACTATGGTGGAGCGGACTTTGGCAATTCGTTTTCAGTTAGCCTCACACAATGCATTGACGCACGTTTGTGGCCACCAGCTCTGTTATTCCTAGTTAGTCCATCTGCAAGACACCAGCGAACACACATTCTGCCGCAGTCTTTTCTTTCCTTTTCTTCTTTTCTTCCTTCACACACAGCGTTGAGGTGGTGGAGGTTTCGCCGCGGGATTGGGCATGGTGATGAGAGCATTTTCGGAGAGCGGTATATTCGAATTAGCAGTCGCAAGTGCTTGCACATTTGAATTACAGGGCGTTTTCGCCCATTCAAATACACATAGCTTTGACGAGACTACAGCGCGAGTTTGAATTAACCGGAAGTTCAAATTAAGCGTGTTCGAATTAATGAGATTCGACTGTATAATCACACCACAACACCGTGTTTCTGTGTCAAGTTTTTGTCGAGCGGGCAAAATGTATGGAAGATGCAAGGTTTAGTACCAGATTACCTCCAGCACTTCGCCCACTCATCATCATTCACTTTGTGAATATGCAGGGATTTTTTGGTGATAACTTCTGGTGGTGCGAATGTTTTCGCTGCCTCTTGATGTTGATATCACCAATATTATATTGCAATTGCGTTGGTCATTTAGAAAGAGCCAAGCAAAATCCAAGACTCCTACTTACTTTTTCCTTTCGACCTCTTTCTCGGCTTTGAGTCTGTCCAGAGAAAATGGGAATGGGAAATGGAAAACGAGGAAGAAAACCGAAAATGCAGTTGATGTTCACAGAGATGGTTAAAAGTGCACAAGAAAAGAAAAAAAAGAGGTTGACTTAGTGTTAATATGCCTGTGTTTTGCCATTCACTGCATGAGGCACCAAGCTTTTTGATGTTCGCATTTCGTACATGTCAGGCAATGTCGCCTAGGCTAGGAAATTGTCTCGCATTTGAGACCAAAAGCAAGTGTTGATCAAGAATGAAAAAGAGAATTAAATGTTATTCATTGCTGCGTTTGGTTTTACAACCTTTATATCACGAGATACGTCATTTACTCCAGCCTTTTCAGCCATACTTGTGCTAAAGAAGGAGCTCCTACTGGAGCCACTGCTTCCAGATGGTTGCCTCACTCACGTCGAGGCTTTGGGCTGCAGCTGATTTCATCAGCCGTAAAAATAGCATGCCTTCAAAACAGGTGTTGTTCCCATCCCCAAGAGGAGCCCTAGGGTGTCAAAATGCCCGAAGGACACCAAAGCCGTACATCCACCCTACACGAGGATACAAAAACAGGCGCGAATCCATGCCATTGGCCTGTATTAGATCTAAATGGCATTTGGCTGGCACATGTTGCCAACATAAACTGCGAGATGGCCAAAACCATACTCGTCTAGAATTGGGCGCATCATTGCACTTTTTAGACAACCTGAGTTTTGGTATTTGACTGTAACGCGAGCGGTGACTTCAGGCAACAAAATTCTGAAACGACTTTCAAATCTTGCATTACACAGTCAAGTATATACCGTACTACTCGTCTCTGATCTATTCTTTGCTGCTTACGATGTAAAAGAAGATGCATGCTAAGTAGCAGCACTACCTTCGAGACAACAAGCGGGGCGTGTCGAGCCACCACGCATGTGCACAAAACCATCGCGCACAAACACGAACCGCTCTCGTGCTCAGCTTTCACTGCTGTGTGTATACGACTTCATAGTCGCCCTAGATAGAAACATTTAAAAATATAGATGCTCCATGGTGTTTCCCGTATTACCATTCCGTGATTAGACACCGCTACCGGTAGGCTCTCCATTACGCTGAAGAAAACGGGCACCATAAAAATTGGTTGTCACTCCCATCACCGAACACAAACGTATAGACCAAGTTTCATGTATAGTGCATAGTGTGTCACACCAGTACAAGCCTTCTCTTTAATACTCACAGGCACTGTGGGTGCTACTGGTGACAGAGGACTCCATGTCCGAGGAGGCGAGACTGCCACTCTCATAGAAGGCACGCTGATTCGTCATCGGCACATACTCGTCCTCGGTTTCCGAGAGGCAGGCTGTCGCGACAACAGAGACAAAGTAGCTTTAGCAAGAATATACCAGCTTGCTGCATGACTGCCATCAACCTTGCATTAAAAAAATAATTTTCTAAAAGTGACATGTTTGCAACCTACAGGCACTGCTGCAAGTGCTTATCAAGTTCCTCACACTTTGGATTGATATTTCGACCACAGTAGTAATTTATTTATCACCATGACAAGCTGTGTTTTGACAGAAAAAAAAGCACGAAAACAAGGCTCTTTTAAGGAGATGCTTCTAATTGACATACCGTATTTACTCGATTCTACCGCGCCCTCGATTGTAACGCGCATCCGATTTCCACCGCGAAAAAAAAAAAAACGTAAGACATCGATTGCAACGCGCACCCATATTTCTCGCTGGCCAGCACGATCACACCACTCAAAAAAACGACTCCTTTCGGGAGCGTCTTCAATTTAAATATGAGGTACGGGCGAAGCTTGTGCCCATATGACGTGTAACAGAGCATTGCCGTCACTGTAGTTTTACCGTGGACCGATGTCAGCACGCGAACTTGCTTCGCCCCCTTCTTCTCGACGGTTGTGGTGCCAGGCATGTCGAAGTAAAGAGGCGTCTGATCGGCATTCCCGATTTGCCCAAGCAGGTAGCCGTTGTTGCGCCGCAAGTTTAGAACGAACCTCTGAAAACTGTGAAGCTTTTCATCGTACTCCTCCGCAAAACTTTTCGCATATGCATGTTCCCCTTCGGAGGGAAAAGCCTTTCCTCTTCATAAAGTTAGTTAGCCAGCACCTGCTCGCTTTAAACTGGCTCCGCATTAGACCTTTTTCTAAGACTAATTGCATAGCCCGCACTTGGAGCAGTTCTGTCGTCACGGGCCGCTGTGCCGCTCGCTGATCAAGCACATACTCGCCGAGCAGCTCTTTAATTTGCGGAAACCGACCCTGCTGTGGTCCACTGAAGCCTTTGCGTGAAGCTTTGCTGTCGACAATCTTCTGCTTTTGTTTCCGCCGGTCCCGCACGCACGTTTCGGGAACTCCGAACGACCGCGATGCGGCCCGATTTCCGTCCGTTTCTGCACACGCGATGACTTTTCTCCTCATATATACTCAGATATGTGGCCCCAACCTTCAAATTCGGCACCTGGCAATTTCTGTGGAAAAAAAAATCCAGCTAAGAAAGAAAAATGCAAAAGCACGAATTTTAGCAGATGTATTCCAATAAATATGCGTAGTACATTCCAATCAATGAATTCTCAGAAATTCATATATTTTAAATGAAGACACTTTTCATTCAGACAAATAAAATGTTGAAAAAAATTAATTTTCTAAAAGTGACATGTTTGCAACCTACAGGCACTGCTGCAAGTGCTTATCAAGTTTCTCACGCCTTGGATTGATATTTCGACCACAGTAGCAATTTATTTATCACCATGACAAGCTGTGTTTCGACAGAAAAAAAAGCACGAAGACAAGGCTCTTTTAAGGACATGCTTCTAATTGACATATGTTCCAGCAGTAGGCATGCAGGTTATATCTCTAGTAGCTACTAATAATTCGGAAAAAAGCGATTCAATGTCTTGTGCTACATTTGATTCCAAATGACCTTATCATTTTTCCTGAATTTAATTAACCCAAACACATCTACTTCTCCAGCCTGTCTGGAGCAAAAATATGTTTGAGTTCTAGCATACAGCTCCAGCTGTGATGTTTTTCACTGTATGAAGCTGAATGCACAGCACTTAAACCCTTGCAAGCAGATTCCTTTTTTCTTTCCTTTCTAACTGTTTTATCTGCTATTGTTTTCGATCATTAGTAAATGAACTATAAATGCTGAGTTTCAGTGGCTTGCCATACTGCTAAATGTTGCTGCATTTGAAAACTGCCTGCAGCATTTCTATCCTGATGCATTCTGCTTTCCACTGACGTATTAAAATAATTACCACTGATGCGAACACCATTTCAGGAAACATCAGCAAACGGAACTTGACCTTGTTGAGATGAAATCATGAACACCACTTTTCTCCCCGTAGCGGCTGTATTGTCTTACACCAGTGTTTTGTAGAGAGTTACGCGAGATTGGATCTAAACGAGTTAGCTGCCAGCCGAACTTCGTGTCGCACGGCGATTTCTCGCTACAGTTAAACCTCGTTATAGTGAGATGGGTTATAACAAAATGATGAATATGACGAGGAAATCATAATTCCCATTGAAAGTCCCCATAAAACCAATGTATTCGAATTATCATTTAAACGAGGTGAAATTGGCCGGTTATGGGATATAATGAACAAATCTCGTTAGGAAATAAAATTCTGAGCCGACGTCACGACAGTGCAAAACCCGCATTTCAGATGGTGCGCAACGCGGCAACTTCAGCAGTACAAAACTCCCGCCACGCATTCTCCAGCAATGCACGCAAAGCTGAGGCGCGCCAAGCGCATGCTGTTTCTAGAGGAGAGGGTGTTGCACGGGCATTGCACGTGCGCCGATTGGCTACCACTGACTGTTGCGGACTCCACAACTCCGCGAATGCCTCGCCCTTTCCGCTTCTTTCTTTTGTGTCTTCTTTACATTCTTCCTCTCTCCTTCTTCACGGCGCTGAGTCGTGCTCCCTAACAGGCTGCAGTGAAGTGAACTTTTTCCACTCTAATCTCTCTCTGCACCCGTGAGCCCTCTCGCAACACCCCCCACTTCCCCTCAGTAAGCATGGCAGCGGCACGCCTGCCTGCAACCACTGCAAATGTTGTCACTCGCCGACGATAGCCGCATTGTTTTTGCGTGTGTGCTTTTCTTTTTTTGGTCCTTCTGCCCTATCTTGATTGTACGGAGCTCGTAATTCCAGCGACATGAATGCGCCAGTTGGGAAGCGAAAGCGTATAACGCTAGATCAGAAGGTGGCTATGATAAAAGCCGTTGAGGCGGGAACAAAGAAAAGCAAAGTGGCAAGCGACTTTGACGTGTCGACGAGTACACTGTCCACGATCTTGAGCAAGCAGGAGTCCATCATTGACGCTGTTGCGCGTGGGGTGAAAGGAAACGTTAAGAGGATGAGGACTGCTGCCTTTGAAGCAGTCGAAAGGGCTTTTCAAGTGGTTTTTGGACACGCGGGCCGTGAATCTGCCGGTGAGTGGTGCCATGCTACAAACAAAAGCAAGGGACTGCATCATGGGCCATGATAACTTCGTTGCAAGTTCGAGTTGGCTCCAACGTTTCAAGGAGCGCCACGACATTGTCGGGAGAGTGGTCTGCGGCGAATCACAGTCTGTTGACGAAGCAGACGCTACAAAGTGGGCGAAAGAGAACATCGCGCGGCTGCTGGAAATATACAGCGCAGAGGACATCTTCAACGCGGACGAAACTTCTCTCATTTTGAAGATGTTGCTGCACAAGACTTTAGCCCTCAGAGATGAGCCGTGCCAAGGCGGCAAAGTAACCTGCGGATCACTGCGCTTTGTGCCAACATGACTGGTTCCGAGAAGCTGCCAATTTTTATAATTGGCAAAAGTACATTCCCTCCTTGCTTTAAGGGGAAGAAGCAGCTCCCAGTAAAGTACACGGCCAATCGCAAAGGCTGGATGACCAGGGAGATTTTTGCAAAATGGCTTTTGGAATGGGACAAGAAGCTGGCAAAAGTGAACCGCAAGGTGTGCCTTGTTTTAGATAACTGCACCGCCCACCACACCGCTGCCGCGATTTATAACATCGAGCTGCTGTTCCTCCCTGCCAACTGCACAGCAAAAATACAGCCACTTGACCAAGGCGTGGTTATGTCGCTGAAGGCAGGTTACCGCAAGCGCATGATTGACAGGCTTCTGCTCAACATGAGGTTAAAGCAGGACACCGATGTTGACGCGTACGCTGCTCTCGAAATGCTTCGAGCGGCTTGGATGAGTGTGACGGCGACCACGATTGCAAATTGCTTTCGACATGCTTCATTTGCCGCCACACCAGACACCAGTGATGAGCCATCATTAGACGAGCCCGCAGCGCCAGACGGTTTTGTCACGTCGGACGAAGTATCGGCATCATGGACGGCACTTCGTGAAGCCGGTGTCGTGCTCGATAGCGAGTCATTCTGCGACTATGTGAGTGCGGACTCGGGAAGTGGTGGCAACGGAACAGCTCCCCGATGACGACATTGTGCGTGCTGTCAACGATCTGGATGAGACCAGTGACGATGACTCTGTCGAAGAATGGGAGACCATCGTGCGGGCGACCAACGTGCCGGCAACATCGGAGGCATTAGACGCAGTGGACGTACTGCGCCGCTACTTCGGCGCTCACGAGGGCGGAGAAGATGGCTTAAACATTGCAGCCGCAGCTGAGCGAGCCATCATTCGCATTAGGAAGATGCACCAGCATCCGATTACAGATTTCTTTACAGCTAAGTCTGAAGTGCAATAAAATAAGTGCGTGACATTCGCTTTTTATTTGCAGAATGTGGTAATTTTGCTGCATACCACCGTGAAGCGAGATGCTATTTCGCCCATTATTTGTTTTGGCTAAGTACAGTGCATAATATTTGCAGTAAATACCCCCAATGCTATAACAAAATAATGGGTATAACGAGCAAATCACGGCAGCCTTCCAATTTCATTTGACGAGGTTTAAGTGTATCACAATAATTCCCGAGCCTTTTGCGGCAAAAGTAATTTTTTTCGCGCTGTTATCACCATCACGAGTGCACCAAGTGATGATAAGAGCTTCGTTGGGCGCACAACTTTGCGGACGACAGCAGCACATGAAGGCACCAAAGACCACTTGGAGCAGTTTTGGCGAGATAATGCGTTTTCGGGAACATCATAGCACAGCACAAGCGAATTGGCACAGCACTTCCACCACTGATTTGTTAGCATAATGGCTGCCACACACACATTGATAACACTCTTAAAATTGTAAATGTAGTCTAGTGGTGACTGCCAAACCACACGTTCCCTTCACACATCTTCATGCATACACTGTTTTAAACAATAAAAACAACCAACTAGCAGCTTCCTCATAAATTGTGAGGAAGCTTTTTCTTTTTTTTTTTCACTGACTCTTCTCACCGGATGAGCTGGTGGACCAGCCCATGTTCATCCCCAAGGATCGTGATGGTCGGGGTTTCCGGTTGAGCAGCTGCTGCTGCAGGTCTTGCTCGACTATCGTGTAGTGGTGAGGCTCCATCGGCGTACACTTGTTCTGCCGGCCCTTTAGCCCTCCAGAGAGGCTGTCGTTTGCAGAGGCTGTTCGACAAGGAGCGAGAAGGGGGATTAAAAAACAGTACAGTGAATTCAGCTCTAGAATGAGCCCTATCCAGAAGCGATCTTAAAAGGCAAGAAAACGTGACCACAGAAACACACGAACTGCCAGGAGAGTAAGTTTTTCATTCTAAGAAGGCGTGCTGTATTTGTCTCACCATTTTTTAACGCATGTTTTTATTTTGCACCCGCAGATGTTTGGTCAGCGGCACATTTAGGTAAAAAAGGCGATTTTTTTTTTTTCTGAGGTGGTATCAGAGTCATCACGCAATGCAGGGTCGGTGTAAAACTTGCATCGTATAACTGCAGCTTTCAAAACATTATTTCTATGGAGATTTTGCCAGGAACAAACCATGAAGTTGTAAGATGCTGGTCATAGCCAAATTGGGACACATATAAATGAGGTTCCATTCAAAACTCCAATCACAGAGTTTGAAGTATCAATGCAACATGCTTGCGATAAAAGCTTAAGTTCAGGTTTGATAGGGTTTCCGAGAGGCAGAAAGCTAATGTTTGATAGGCTAATTTTGGTAGCACTGCAGTATTGTTATCAGTGTTTTCAGCTGTAATGCACATAGCAGAAAGACTCATAATGCAGGCAGCTACAAAAAGAAAGGTTCACACTAACGCTGCTCCTGCTCACAAATTATAGAAAAAACACAGCAAACTCACTGGGGGTCGTGAATCCCCTGGCCAACTGGAGGAGCAAGTGGACCTGCCTAGGGCGCAGGAAAAATGCGAGTTGACCCAGACTGAACTCCATGTCGACCTGAAAAAAAAAAGGTGACATGCATCGTTAGTTCTGGCTATAAATTCGCTTACTTCATTATCAGTAGGGGTGAGCGAATATTTGCAATTTGCATGAATTTGGAATACTGCTCACTAATCGATTCGACTTGCACTGAAATATTTATTATTTAAGCTATTCGAACTCACCGAAGACAAATACACTTAACGTCCGAATGACAGTGACCCCTTTGGATTTTCTATATGCTTTTTCGTATTGCGGGAAAGCTTCCTTTCGAGGTCTGCTACAATCACAAATGTGTTTACTCAAGAAAACGCTGCATCCAACATGCAGATGATAAATGTGGCACACATAGGAGCTCAATTGTTGCTGTTTTGAACCTGAAATTTGGGCAGCACTTTGACTGCACCAAATCATGTACACAAATACAATTCAGCCTCTGCATTGCACCAGTTTGGTAAGACAACTACGAAACACCACCCAGCCATTGCTTCATCAGGCTAGACGAAAGAAACACTCATATTGCTATCTCACAAAAAATTTACTTAGCAATCCTAACTTTTTTTTTTTGTAGTTTCGCTTTGAAGTATTCAAAAGTACCATAAAACCTCGTTAATTTCAACTCGGTTATTTCGAAATTCTATTTATTTTGAAGCATTTTCATAGTCCCATATTTTGCAATGCACATTTGAGTGGAAAACTGAGTGGAAAGCAATACTTGATCACAACTTTTGCAGCGAACAAGGGGAAACATAACCCTTGGAGTTGCAAACTTGCTGGCACAGCAAACGACTAGCCCTGATTACTTTGAATAATTTCTATTTTCTTGCATCTCACTTTTTGTATGCTCCATTAATTCAAAGATTTACTTTTAGCTGTTCACTGTAGTTGCAGTCGAAGGAGTGGCTTCTTAAGCTTTGATCAATCGTAATGCTTGTTTTTGCGACAATCGTACAGTCAGTTTCCATGACCAGGGCAGATTTTTCAGTAATTCCCCGACTTTTCCATGACTTTTCCAGAAGGGTCCAAATTTCCTGACTTTTCCAGGTTTTGCAGGTTTTCTACATTGGTAGACACCCCGAAACTCACATTTCAATATTTGAATTTGTTTCGCACCCAAAATTTTGCTATTCCCACAGCTCTAGTTATCAGTCATTCATTCAGCCAAACCTCGCTGTAATGAAGTAGCATAGTACAAGTTGCCTCTGCTGAGGCTTGTCTATCATCCGTGTCTACATCAAGACAGAAGACTTTTCCTCTTCCTGGCACAAGCAAACTGTGCTTGAATACATTGCTTCTAGTAAGAAGCTAGCTGCCATTAAAAGGACAAGCTGCATAGCAGAGAAGCACACGTGCAGAATCGGAAAATCTTCTATGGCATTTCATCAACACTCACCCCAGATCCCTCAAGAGATTCGTCCTGCTTGAGCTGTATCCTGATCTCCTGCTGTCCCGAGAGTCGACACACTGGGATGGGCTCCACGGCAGGTTCGGGAGGAACTTCTTGGTGGGGTGGTGCTAATGGCGGTGAAGCCCCAGCGTAGCTTGTCATCATCTCCTGGGGTTCCTGTGGACGGCAACAGTCGTATGGTAATCAGTATTCCCAATGTACTGTGTAAAGTGAACATTAAAGGCTGAATCATCAACATAATTTCGGGGTCGTTGATTCAGGGGTGAATAATCGTCGCCTCGTATACATGTTAGATGGGAACACCCCGTGATGGAAAGCACAACACTCAAAACGATATTGTGGTTAGTTGCAGCGCATGAAGTGTGCCGCGAGAGATGCAGTCCTCTAGAAAACTTTGCCGCTGTTATCTCCAAAACAGAACACAAGGAACACTAGTTTGCCGCATTATTTGCATTGACCGTTATAACTTGACTGTGAATATTATTAATTATAGCCTTATATTCAAATATTTCTGAAAGTGATTGTGCATAATATAATAAGTGCTTCTCAGTATTTGCCATCTATCAGCCCCATGGCTTCAAATACTATAAAAAAACAATCAATAATATTCTACAGAAGCAAAGCCTGTCTCACCTAGGAATTCCCCAGCGAACAATGCTACACTCAAAGATTTTTTTTTATGAACATCCATAATAAATGCTTGGATAAAAAAGCGGCACAAAATTGTAGACAAAGACTCAAGAAGGGACGACCAGGCACCAAATTCATTATCTTGTCTCTTCTTCAGTCTGTCTATATTTTTGCGCTCCTTTTACATCCAAGCATGAACCACCAACTAGCCTAAACTTTCACTTCTAATCCATAGTGAAATAACAGCATTGTAATACTGTTGCAATACAATGTGTCGACACCGCGATATGACTACGAGGGACGTCACAGTAGAGGACTCCAGAAATCATGATCACCTGGGATTCTTTGATGGGCACCTAAATCCAAGTACACCAGCCTCAAGAATGTTCTGGGCTTGTGCAAATAGTAAATTTTAAGTTCTAAGTGAATTCCAAGCAGATTGTGAGTTTGGTCGAATAATTTTGAATCAGATTCGAATAGCATATATAACAAGTATTATAAAAAAATTTTAATAATTGTCATTACCCAACTGTAACCTGCACAATATTTCTTTTAATTGACGCAGGGCATGTACAAATGTCATTGTTTTGGAAGTGAAGGCAACAATGAATGTTAACAGGATTTCACTTTCAGTAGAGTGCGAGAGATAATTTGTAAAATATATTATGGGTTATATTGTACTATACTTAGGGCAATTAAGCCGGCATAACAATCTTTTAAACTTAAAAAAGTTATAAATCGATTGGGACGTTCATTTAACGTTGAAGTAAGCCTTCACGGCAATGTAGATTTCCCCTGGATATATGTTTTCAGGGTTTGGCACTCCTCTGCTGCACCAAAACCTCCTCTGCTACACCGAAACATGCAATTCCCTCCTCTACAGGAGGGAATTGCATGTGAACTAATGTACACCTAATACTTTAAAATTTTCCATTATTTAAATTTGAATCAAAGCAAATTCCAATATTGCAGCGTTCGTTCAAACAAAAAGTGCTTGAATATCCGCATAGGCCTACTATTTTTGTCTCTAAACAAAACAACCATAACTAAACGAAAGAAGTAACAAATAAGCGATGACACACTGTGTTAAGCCATTAAAGAGCACAAGGATGGGCACAGGCGAGGAGACAACAGACATGCTAGAGTAGGATGAAACAAAAGGATGGCAGTGCGCTTACTCCACTCCTTGTGCTGTGCTGCATACCTTCTAGGTATCATGAGTCAACTCATCAATTAGCAGTTATTAGACAGTTATGATTTACCATTAGCGTGATAGCGGAGCTTAAAGGAGTAGCGTTTCTGTGCGCAAACGTTCCTTGCGAACAGCGCCTCATAATTGAGCAGGATAGCATTTACGTAGTTTACGTGCCCTAGCTGGGTCACTGTAGCCACGTATCGGAGGGCGAATAAATTTAAAGAAAATTGAAAAGGGGAAAAAAAACTTGAATGTCTGCCTGTGTCACCATGCGAAGGAATGTTACAAGTTTTCTTTAGTAATAATAAGAGCAAATAAATGTGGGCCATGCACGAAACATGAAACAATTTATGTTGCCGATTTGTTGCAGATTTGATCTTCTAGTTAAGCCTAGAGACCATTTAACCATATGGTGTAGTAGCGCAAATTCACGGGGACAAAAAGGACAAGAAAACACGACACTCGCAACTAATTTTTATTTCAGAAGCAGCACTTCATATATAACCCAAAACCCTAGCGACACAGAAAAGAACTACGAACACTGAATCATCGCCAACAGAAGCTTTTGCGCAGACTCAAGCGATAGTACACGGCAGTTACGCTTAGACACTTTAAGATGACATAACTAAAACAGCCCTGGGTAACATCAAATCAAAAAAACCAAAAAATTTTTGGGAATTCACACGTGTTTGAAACAAAATTTTTGAAACGACAAAAAGGAGAGTATGACACATGCAAACACTGATCTCAATTAAGTCCTTCGAGGTAGCTGGCTTCTCGGTTACTTAACGAAACCGATGACTGACTAATGCATCCTTCTTTTCTTTTTTTAATGTGAAAGGCTTCGACAATTTCTCTGGTTAGTTGGTTTCCATGACGGAAGACTATGGTTGTGTCACTGTACAGTGGTGAGCAGCCACACGGGGAACAGTGTCTCTTTATGTGAGAATGAATGCCAGTTCCTAATGATCGCTTGTGTTCTAAAAGTCGGGTGTTCAAACAACGACCCGTCTGGCCGATGTATACCTTTCCACACGTTAGCGGCAAGCAATACACGACTGATAGGCTACACTTAACAAACTTTGTTGTGTGATTTACCGTACAACTACCAGCATTAGTGTTTACTGCTATGGAAACTTTACGGTCTAGTTTGGAACATATTTTACTAAGCCTGTTGGGTGCCGAAAAAACTAATTTTAGGCCATAGCGAATACCTACGTTTTTTAAGTTATGGGCAATCTTGTGCGCATATGGAACTGACACTATTTTCTTCCTGTTTTCATTACTTGTCATTTTTTTATGAAAGTCTCGGTTTCGTTAAGTAACCGAGAAGCCAGCTACCTCGAAGGACTTAATTGAGATCAGTGTTTGCATGTGTCATACTCTCCTTTTTGTCGTTTCAAAAATTTTGTTTCAAACACGTGTGAATTCCCACAAATTTTTTGGTTTTTTTTTTATTTGATGTTACCCAGGGCTGTTTTAGTTATGTCATCTTAAAGTGTCTAAGCGTAACTGCGTGTACTATCGCTTGAGTCTGCGCAAAAGCTTCTGTTGGCGATGATTCAGTGTTCGTAGTTCTTTTCTGTGTCGCTAGGGTTTTGGGTTATGTATGAAGTGCTGCTTCTGAAATAAAAATTAGTTGCGAGTGTAGCGAGTGTCGTGTTTTCTTGTCCTTTTTGTCCCCGTGAATTTGCGCTACTACACCATATGGTTAAATGATGTCTTACCAACTAGCCCAGCTCTCAACCCTACTAAGCCTAGAGACGTTCAAAATGGTAAGCTATCCAAGAACAACGCTAACTTATCCATCATACTCGGTCATCGAAGCCGACTGAAAGCAGGCAAAGCCATTTAAACAGTCGTTTACTGCCAACGAAGTGAATCTTTGGACAACTACACCAAAATCGCTTCGAAGTGGGTGTCCGGAACCACCATGTTTTACTTACACTACGTAAACCACACTAACATAGTAACGTTAAATCTGAAAAATAGCGTGCGTACGGTGAGCAGTATGGGTCCTGTAAGTTTCTGCGCAAGCACACTTCCATTGCTATCCCGGTAAGCCCGCTATCACTTGAAGTACTGTAAACTATAACTATTTATAATTAAAAGAACACTAATTAGAAACATTGAGCTGGTTTAGATGAACCAACTACACTCTGAAAACTAATGCCATATGTTTCACTATCATAAGCTTATTATTAGCAAAGAAAGTCAAGGGTGAAATTTCATTTTAAAAACTTGTGCCAAAATCTTCGTGCGTGACTTCAGAAATTTCAAAAAGTATTTTTCATACTTTCCGCGACATTGGCTCTGTGAAATTTTTTGAAACTTCGTATGCTAGGTCTACCGCACCCACAGATGATAATGTACTTCATTTTATTGATTAGAAGCTATGCAGGACCCGGTAGACACCTTAAAAAACTATGATGTCATGATGTTTATTGCAGATATCTCAAGGTGGCGTCTCCACCGACATTTTCTTTTCACACTTTTCTCGATTACCAAGGGTCATGTTGCGGTAAAACTGGCGATTTCGATTTGCAAAATTGTACTTTACTAATATGAGAGAAATCTTTTTGCTCTTTAACGTCCCTTTATACAGCCAAAAAAAACATAATGATAATCTTCACTTACGTCGTTTTCGGCAGGCAACTTGGTTGGCACTTCGGCCGTTCTATTTCCTAGCAAGAACTCATCCGTGTAGAAGCTCGTTCCGTTGAGAATTATCCTCTTGGTCGAGACTGAGAAGCGTTCCCGAACCCGCTGGGCTATCCTCTCGCCAGCAATCTCACCAACCTCAGCCGACTCTTCGTCGAAGTAGTCCATGCTGCGGACACACACAAACAGGCACAGAGCCGATCTCAGGTGTTCTACAATACCGTGCGACTGCCTTTAATGAAGCAACTCTCTGCGATTAAACTTGAATTACACTGCACGCAAGACGAGTAGAAGAAGTAGACAAGATAGGCACAGTCCTATTAGTGTTCTACGTGTTGTCTATCTCCACTTGTGTTCCATCCCCTGCACAGTTTTATTTCAGTTTTAGTATCCTATTAAGGGGAGATGCTGATTGGAAAAAATATTGCATTAATCTGTAGCCTAGGACAATTAAATTATGGCTGTATATATAGGCTTTTATACTAATCTCAAATATTTCATTAGTTTTATAGTAAGCTAAACAGTTTTAGTATTGTGTTATGACAATGTGTAGAGTATAGCTTCTTTTGGACAAACAATTTATGCCACTAAATTTTCACGGTTCTGAGCCATTAACGACTAATATTGCTCCACATTAACGGTATGATGTAAATAACTATCAAGAAAGAGCGTATAAAACAGTTTCATGGTAACAAAAATTGCAACGTGAGGATTCTTAGAATCCTCAGCCCACACTAATTGCTTACTTCAGGTTAGTAGTAATTCTACACGTTATATTAAATTTTGAAGAAAATACTTGCACCCTTCACATGTTAAGAAATGTGTGGGCAGAATTTCTTCGTGATCGGGCTATCAGAAGTACCAAATTTATTATGTCTAAACTCATGAAGTTGCCCAAATATTGATCTTGAGAAAAAATCATTTTAAAGGTATAAGTGAAAGCTCATCTATGCGAGCAAAATGTGTTTTTTAAGGTGATTTCTCCCACTGTGAGAGTTTGGCAATCATGATTATTTTGAGTATGAAGCTTTAGTAAACCCCTCATGCAAATTGCAATGACAAGCAGCCAGGTGAAAATTTCTAGTAGACTTTGAAAAATGAGTACTTCTTAGTCTTTTTTACTAGCCACTATGCGATCTTTAGCCGCGATTTTAACCTACTTCGAGTTTAATCACAATCTTTAGTTTCTTTGTCGCGAAAGTAGAGAATGTAAATTTGTTAAAGAAAATAAAACGAAAATTATATAATTTTGGAAAAAAAAACTTGCGTTTTTCGACTCGTATCTCCCCTTAACTAGCCCTCTATGTATTTAATTGAACTTTCTTCAATGTGAGCTCAATAAAAGAAATTGGCTTTTGACATAAAGATTTTTTATTATTTAAGCTAGAATGACAAAAACATGAGTTATAAGGATGCATTTCAGTGTGCCAATGCCAAATATGAACTCAGTTTCTACGTATGTTATGCCGTTCAATTTTAAGTTATTTATAAGAAGGTCACACAATCACAACTTTATTGAACTGACTGCACAAATTTTGCCAAATTGAAGGTCAAATTTTCTGCACATCGAGGAGTGCGACAAATGCAGCTTTATGGCTGTAACATTCACAGAACACAAGCTACAAAGCTTTAAATTTCTAACTTGAGTGACATGGAAAAAGCACTTCTATTATTTAAAAATTCATAGCTTCGCAAAGCACCTACAGATACATAAAAAGTGCGAGAGAATCACAAACAAGAGATTGACCAGCGCTTGCACAAACTTGTGACTAAAATTCATTTGCACAATAAACGAACAATGAAAACGAACTAACCAACGCAATCAGAGCTCATTCACTTTTACACGAACATAGAAATGGAAACAGGAATCGAGCTACCAAAAAAAAAAAATCAAAAAGCACAAAAAATGTCAGAAAAACCTACCGGACTTGTGCCTGGATTACATTTGCAGAAGAACTAAGGATATCTATTTCTTTGTCAATTAGTGTGGATGCATTCAAACATTCAACAAGACACTGATGCTGTGATTACTGCTAAAGGCATAAGTAAACCTTCCATTGCTTTAACTGACAAAGAAATAGATTCCCTTAGTTATTCTATGCATGTAATGTGGACATAAGTGCAATTAGTTTTCTCAATGTTTTTGCTGTTTTTCTAGTATCTCAGTTTTTGTTTCACTTCTCCCCTTAATGCCCAATTCAATAAACTGTAATCCCATGTGCTATTTAGTTTTCATTTTTCATGTATTGCATCAATACAGTTTAGTTGGAAGTCAGTACCAGTCCTCTTCAGTCCCTTGTCTCTGTGCTTCTACTGCGCTGTGCGTGTCGCTATTGTATACCGACTGGTCCAGTCACATGTCTTGCCCTAGGCATCAATTGGCGCTCCACTACAGTCTCTAAAGCATTCAGCTTTTCAGCACAACAAAATTATGGAAACTGAGCCTGCCAAAGCTCAGAAAAGCTTTTCAGAAGATTGCAAGGTCATGAAAAAATGAAACTAAGAAAATAACAAAAATCAAAACTACACTGGTAGCAGACGAATATAAAATGCTGCTGTGGCTAAAACAATTATTCAAGATGACAATTATCTAGTAATGAAATAATTTAAAATTTTCATTTACGACTTTTTTTTCACAATTTTCAAGTTTCGAAAAAGCAGCTTCCGCTCTTAAAAGACTGCAGCTATGATGAATGGTGTTCCACAATATCTATTTTATTTGTTATACAGAACCTTGCAAGAGCCCCAGAAGATCTTAGGAGTGAAGCTGTTCTTAGCCGAGGCTTTTATTTTTGGTGTTGAGGTAGCACTGATTGCGTGGCCTCGTATTGTGGCAAAAGAGAGCCTCAGCAGAAAGGGGAGGGCTGTGTGCACTGTAAGAGGCAAGGGCAGAGAATGTCGAGGAATGAACCTTCGATAAATGTGCCGTGATGGGGCAATTCCAAGGCGCAGTGGATTCCAAACAGTGCATGAGCGTCAGTGTTCAGGAGTTCACACTTTCAAGATGGCAAACATTTCTCATTCTCCCGAAGAAGAAGGCGTCGGACATGAGCGTCAACGATATCTCAAGCAAGAACGGGCATGTCGTCGCCAAGCCAATTGCGACCATTGAGCAAAGAAGGTCAAAGTTAAGCACTAACAAACGGAAGACTTGAAGAAAATATAGAAGTACGACGTAGCATGATGAACGACAGGCATAAGCTTCGCTGTTTCGACAGTGTTTGCCAAGTGGAGTGGGCCGAATTTTCCGTTAACCCTTTATCTCCGTAAATGTGCACAGGCGCTTTAGTTGACAGATATTGTCATTTTATTATAATCAATCTTTTTTTCATTGTACTGATGCCATATGCTACAAACAAGCACTAAGCATGACAAGATTAGAACACTGTCACATGGAGATGTGTATAACGCAAATCCGATATTGGGAAGCGCTAACTGCAAAACTGGATGTATGCAATGGCCAATAGTGAAGCAGAGTGCAGACTGTACATGCTCCAAACCATTATTCATGTACAAGCTCCAAACCATTATTCATTTATTTTTACTTTTTCATAGAGTACATCAAGATCAAGTTTCTTAGTTGCAGCTCACCACAATGCCAAACATTCAGGGTAGTACACATGTATAAACAGTAGCTCAAGTGGCACTGGCACTTATTGGGTTACGTTAAAAACACATTTTCTGCAGCTTCTGTCCTATCTGTGCACGTTTTCCATGGCCCAATTGTGCCAACCCTGACTGCTTGCCCGACAGGTAGGCATATAATCAATAAGACAGCAAACTGTATTCTTGTATGTACGGCAACTAACAAATTTTAGCACCCAAGGTTTCACTGAAAATCTTAGGAGATAAAAGTTTTCTTCATTACCGCTTTACACAAATACAAAAATCGTGGGAACACATCGCACCTGGGAACTTCCCCACTGTCCCTCACACTGTATGTTCTGGAAGTACTTTTTTCCCTACATTTCCCATTTTCGAATGAGTACAGCGGTACTCACTTTGCTATGCGCAGCTCTAGCGCGATTCCCTGTTTCGAAGGCCAGTTCGGAAGGTGCTCCACCCGGACAATGGTGTTGGTCAGCCTCACTTTTATCCTGCAAAAAACTTTTAAAGAGAGATGCCAGACCAGGCATGAGACCCCTTAGATGGGGCTCTTGCCTTGGAGTTTTTGCAACAACATTCAGAAGTTAAGCTGAGATGCTACGGTACGCATGCGAATGCAGGGGATATAGTGGATTCGTGCTTGTATTCTTCTTGGAGAGCCAGAATACTCTGAAGTCATGACTGCAGGCAGCATTTCATTGTCATCGTTTTTACCAAGCTGGTTACACCCGCTGCAGGAGAAAGGCCCTCCGATGTTTCAGTAATCAGACCGGTCCTGGGCTTGCTGTGGCCAACTTTGTTACCGTAAATTTCTTAATCTCATCTACTACTCAAGCTTCCTGCCTCTCCCTCAGTTCATTTCCTGCTGAAATAGCATGAAAACAGCTTTTTTTTTTCTTTTTTTTTTCTATCGCACAATATCGTTCATTCACCACTTCTGTGAGCATACCAAACGCGAAAGGTGTCAGCAACCCATCAGAGTTGGACGTCGGAGAACATCGTTCACACTGATTCTGCAGCAGTTTGCCACCATATTTCTTTTCTTCTTTTCAACAACTGATTATCCACTACATGCTAGTAAGCCTTATTCAAAGAAGTAGCGCTGGAAAATTCAACCCTCTTTCAGAAAAGCTCTACTTACGCACATGTGTTCACACCTCACACCAAGCCTCGTTAAAACACAAGTCAACGCAAACATCGCGGGCAAGGTACCGTTTCCAAAAAAGAGCACGGCACCTATTTGACAGTAGCACCACATTTCCCTCGCAGCATCAGCGTAAGATACTGTTATTGTTTTTTCACACCAATGTAGACCCATTGTAAACCCATCGCTTTCATTTTGGCTATGCTTGTTATCGCAACTTGAGTGGCACCACTTGTTTTCAATTTTAATCGCATACCTGCATTATACATTTCTTGGCTACTGCATCTTTTCTTGTGGCATTAGAGCATAGAGGGGTTATACTACATGTGTATAGCACCCCATTATAACGTCCTACAATGCTATACTGTCCAACTGCACTCTTAAAGACCAGCAGTTATTTTGCCTACACACTAAATGCCCTGCTGATGCACATTTCTTCTCTATTTAGACCTATATTTTCTTAACACTTACTAGTTCCCTGACCCACTCGGCTCTCTCTTTGACCTTTAGGGTTACGCCTATAATTTTCGTTTTCATAGCTCATTGCATAACCTTCAATTTAAGGCGGAGAGGGTTCAAGTGATACTGAGGATCAAATTAAATTAACAGACTGGGTTTTAAAAGAAGGCAAGTGCATTATGGGAGGACGAAAAGTTAGGCAGGTGGACAAGATTACAAAGTTTTGCAGCAATAACGCAGCTGCAACAGGCAAAGAACTGGGCTGATTGGTGAAACATCAGAGAGGCCTTTGCTATGCGGTGGATGTAGTCGGGCTGATGATGGCGATAACTGTGCGGTTGAGCTCGCATATATAAAGACCGCACAACACCAATTACAGTGTACACTAGAAATTCGATATAACGAACCCAGATGTAACGGAATATTGGTTATAGCCAAGTAAACGAAGAATAGTCTTGCAATAGATAGTTTGTTAGGAATATAGCTTTATAAAAAAGTTCCAAATATAATGAACTCATTTTTATGTGAAATGCAGCTTCATTATAATGAGGTTTGAGTGTATGCTAAAACATCGATATAGCAAATTCTGATATGATGAATTATCAATTATAACGAAACAAGTGAAAAATACTTGTCTCAAATAGTGTAAGAAATAGTAATTTATAGCGAATTTTTGGACATAACGAAGTCTTTATGAGGCAGATGTGACCTTGTTATGATGACGTTTGAGTGTATATCTAACAGTTGTAGAATCTCATTCGGTATATTTTTGGTATAGAAAATAATTTTTTATATTGAACTACATACGCACAAAACTTCTTTGTGGTTCTTTTCAGATTCAGTAAATCCGGGTTCGACTGTACCTCTTACGCCATTAGTCACTCACCAGTCTCGATGGCTTGAGCAAACTGCTCAAGGCCCGTGAAGGGTTCGGCGGCCGCGGGTGCCTCCTTCTCGGCATCAAGAGGCTCCTGCTTGAGGTACTCCTCCGCCAGTTGCATACTTGACATCATGCTGCCCCACATGGGCTCAAACATGGAAGCTGCAGGGAGAGATTTAACTTGTGACGAGCGAGGCATCTATACCACACCGTAAACACAGGCCTGCACAACACGCAAAACATTTAGTGACATTCAATTCGAGCTCTTTTCTTTTGGCTCACAAGCCAAACCGGGCTGCTTTACGTTTGAATGTTTGCAAGCTTCGAGTCACTGGGTTTACATGTGTTTCGCTCACCAGTATGGTGGAAAACTGCACGCCGAGTTTCCCCAGGAATTGAAATTGGGGGGATAAGTCTGAATGCCAAAGAGGAGAGAGGGGGGTGTAAAAGTAAACAATATCACTAATATCTTTTCCTGTGTATATCTTTCATGTAGCCCTATGTTGGCGCACCGCTCAGCTATGATGTTAGTAGTGCCCTTGGAAGTTTGCCTTGACGGAATGAGTCTAATGCTAAAGGAATGTGCAAGAGACAAATGTTTAAACACTGTCCTTGATATCCGAGAGTTTTAACCAGATTCATCCTAACACAAATATACGCAATGCGCACGCAATGAGTACAACTAGGCAGCAGATCAGCTTTAAATTATGCACCCATATACTGTTACGACACACAAGAAGACGCCTGTTCACGTCGGACAGTACAGCAACCGGCAGGAAGAGCATGCACGAAACGCAGTCACGAATGGCAGAGCAGGCGATCCTCACAGTCGTCAATTCTTTCTTTGGGCTGTACGGTGAGCATGAGGCCGTCGACCTCAACGACGCTGTTGTCTGTGAGTGGCTTGGACCATGGGATGGCCACCTCGATGGACGTGATGAAGCCCTCCACAAACCGGACAGGCAGGTTGAACTTTTCACCCAGCTCGTTGAGGCCCTGCATGAGAGTTCAAGAGAAGTCCGAGCTAGTTAGTAAGATGCATACGTACGAGTACGAGTGTGCTGGCTTTACCCTTTGTATAATTCGCTTGCATGTTTTATTTGTTGTCTAGTATTATACGCTCCATTCCTGCTACAGCCCTGAATAGGGCTGCAGTAGTAAAAAAAATAAATAACTAAAATGCTTAGTACTGCACAGTGCTTTTGAAAAATATACTACGGACAAAACAAGTACACACAACGTGCACTGCTTTCTAACTTCGCCCTTGTGTGTGTGTGTGTGTGTGTGCGTGTGTGCTGTACTGTCTTTAAGGGACTCCAAAGGCAAATACTAAGTCAACGATGATTGTTCCTTGCAGCGCTACTGTGGTGCCAAGGCAAGGCTTATTTTGAAATAAAATCACATTTTAGTGGTCAGCATGGCGTTTGTGCACTTCAAATCATCAGCCTAATAACGAGGCCCTTAATGTAGCAGTTGCCTTGCCCAACACTGCCCGCCTTTACAGCGTGGCCAGCGAAGTGCAAGTAATGGGAGCCACAGCAGCAACAATGGCTATCGAAACTTGCTGCAATGAATTTTGTCGGTGAACCTTATAATGATACATTGGCTTGCTATGCCGGCGCAAAGGCAGAGAACTCAGCCCATTCGTGCATAGGGGTTTGTTTTCTGGCCCGCAGTGGAGTGTCACATTGTTTTCTTTGCTGAAGCCCAGGTAGCGTACACTATTAGGGAATCTTGCTTCTTGCACGCGACATTAGGGGCTTTCAACTTGTACGTATACTCTTTAAAGGTTACCGTGCAACCAGAATACCAGAATGTATTTACTGTGTTACCAGAAGGCTTGTTTTAGCACATTTTTAGCACCCCATACCAGCGGCACAGTCGGGGGTGGCACATCTGGCCTGTGCCCCACCACCCCTACCGAAATTTTTTCCGCCATGGAATACGGAGCAAAAACAGACAATTTAAAAAAAGTGCCCCCCCCCCCCCCAAACAAAAGTTTCGGCCTAGGCCCCTGCCCTATACTTGCATGCATGTACTTAAACGCATGCCTACGCCTTATGGTGAGAACTTCACTCAAACTATATTTATTTCAGATAAGAATAAATTACCACTGCAGCAAAAAAAAAAGGTAGGTTTTTAGTATGTACAGTATGCTGGCATACGCAAAGGCTTGTAGGAATGCAGGGCTACCGGAGGCTGGTGGCGACATCTTGTGACGCTTTGCACAAGAGTCATGAATGTGTTTGTATTGGCCTAGTGCATTTGAGGGAGAAAAAATATTGAAAAGGCAACTCATTGATAATTATGGCACTGCAAGACATTCACGCCAGAAGTAGAATGAATGCGCAATGTTTCTGTTGTTTCTGCTGTGTCTACCACATTGACGACAATGTTGTGGTCACTATGGTAGACTGGGATTGGCTCCACAACTATTTTCTGCAAGATGTATTTGTCCCTTTCATCGAGCATTGTCCTCATGCTGTCCTGTTTTTGTTTTTTTCCATAGTTGACCCATGGAAGTTTTAGAATGAATCGAATTAGTTGCTAGATGAGCCTCCCTTCTATATATGAAAGTGGGACACATCCAATGAGAAGAAAGGGCCGTTTTACGTCATTCGAAGCCCTCGTGTAAAGTGAAAAGCAGCTGCAAGCTTATCTTTACAGAGAACATGTGGGAGGGTGCTCCCTGAGCTCACAGGTGCCTTATGATCCAGTATGCAGTTTTATTGCTTGTTTTGAGGTTTCCTTTATTGAAACAAATACTGAGCACTACGCTGTATCCCAGACTGTAAATGAAGATATGCCGTTTACGTTCAACTGTTAAAGGTGTGCTAAGCCATCCAGAGATCAAAATTTGAAGCCTTGCAGCTGTGCACGAGTCTATAGCGAACGCATGCATTGGCTTGTCTGTCCACCTCCCTTCCTCAGTCTCCCAAGTGAAAACTCTAAAAGCATGTGCGTCTGCTAGCAGAGGAGCACGTAGGCACGAGTATCTGTAGGTGGCTTAGGGGCCTGGCATTCTGCTTTTTCCCAAGCATTTTTCTGGCGATGGAGACGGAACTGTCGCAGAGAAGAGGAATACAGCCTCGCTAAAAACATGATTGACTGATTAATATGTGGGGTTTAACGTCCCAAAACCACCATATGATTACGAGAAACGCGTAGTGGAGGGCTCCGGAAATTTCGACAACCTGGGGTTCTTCAACATGCACCCAAATCTGAACACACGGCCTTACAGCATTTTTGCCTCTATTGGAAAATGCGGCCGCCGCAGCCGGGATTCGCTTCCACGACCTGGGGATCAGCAACCGAGTACCTTAGCCACTAGACCACCGCGGCGGGGCACCTCCCTAAAAACAGAAAACCGTTTTCTTTCTGAGAAATTATCGATTTGCAAGTGTGTTTGTGCCACAAACGAGTCGTCAGTGTTTTCTTCCAGCAGTGCCATATACAGCACCGACCATGGCGTTGTGAATATCATGCTGCGGGGTGTCACACATCAGTAAATATTACAGCTAAAGAACTCATGCATACCAAGCAGTCGAATGAATGTCGAGTCTTGAGTTTGAAATTTCGTGTCACTGCTCCTTTAATTAAATGACATCTGTATCTTTTTTTAAATAAACAAAAGAAAGTAATTTTAAGATCTCACTTCTCTGTTTGATACAACCTTAATGAAGCAAAGAAAGATATTAGGGATGATAATTGTATTGTTCTAACTATACTGTAGAAATTATGATATATGTTTATACCATTTATATAACATAATCACTGCAATACAGTCAAAACAGTAAAATTTAAACCCCCTATACCTTCCCCGGCTTCATTATAACTTGCCTTTCATTAAGGTTGGTATCTCTACGCACATTGTCGCTTGGGAAAAATTTGCGTCATTAGGGGGTTTACTTAGATCAGTGTCCCCAGCCAATAATATCATGGGCAAATTAATCATGCTTTTGCTGCATAGACTGCTTTCTATTCTTTTCTGGAATGTTAAAAATTAATACTAAGTATGACACTAAAGAATTGTGTAATTATACATATAAACTGGCATGTTCACTTAGGAGGTAGTGCACAGGGGCAGCTGATACTGCACGGATAAAGGTGTCCCCCACCGAATGTGGTCGCCACACTCAAACTGCACAACAGGTGTGTTTACACAGTTGCCAATTGTTCAACCCACAGACCTTCATTTATTTATTTTTCCATTGTACTGTTTTTCTGCATATTGCAATAACTATTGCAGTTTGCAGTGAACTATTGCATTTTCTTCCCGTTTTATCTGTTTTGAAGTGTGTCACAATATAACTATATTCCACTCATGTAAAACACTTCCTTTACCCCCTATTCCTACTATGTGTAATGCCTCATGGCAATTATAAGGTGGCAACAAATTAGATGATGAGAGATTTTCACGCCGTGAGCAACATGCGTGTTACGCATGGCAGCATTTCTGTGAGGAAAGCCGCAAACACGGCTGAAAAACAAAACACTCATGCAAACTATCAATCTTAAAAAGGGGGCGTATTTAGGGTGTATTTCTGCCCCACAACAACCATCTTGATGTGGCTGGCTTCCGTTTCCTTTCTTGAAAACTCGGCTCTCGCCTCTTTTGCCTATTAGGAATGCTGTCCCGCTGACAGCGCGTAGGCCGTTCGTGACCTCGAAGTGCAGGACGGGTGGCGAAAACTCGAGGAAAAGCACGCAAGCCAGGTCAGTACTGTTGAGGGGCAGAAATACGCCCAAAACGCGGCTTTTTAAAGAAGGGTGTATTCGGGGCGTCTTTCAGCCACCCTACTCGCTTGTGTGCTTGCCGCCGCGCACCCTGTACTTCCACCAGCGTGGCATAGCATTCTTGAAGAACCGAGCGCACAGCCCAAGCAGACCGAAAAAGGGGTCAGGAGAGGGGTTTTAAATCCCTGGTTCAGTGTCTTCCAGTACTTAACCAAGACTGTTTAGTAAACGCGTATTTCGAGAACATTTTAGTCACACACCTGTAGTTAACATCCACCTCACGCACTTTCCCTGTGTTAGCGCCGCAGTCAAGGCACTTCCCGCTCACAATCAGAGCCGGGTTATCGATACGGAAACAAACAAGTCAAATGACGATCATTGTGAAGGGGCAAAATGACACCCTTTTTACGCTCTTTTTTTAAACGCCGAGAAGGAGGAGTAGGGGTGGGAGAGCTGTGCCTTCCTGATATTTTCTTGATTAGTACGCTTATTTATCACGCACACGCTAATATACAGTAAGAGGAATCTGACCATTCGCCCTCGGAAACAATTTCACGGCAGTGACGTTAAAGTGAAACACTAAATCAGTTGAGCCTAACGAACATTCTTTTGTGAGCTCTATCAATTTCCCGCGCACAACTCACTTATTTGAAGGGAGAAACAAAGATCATTGTCATTCTTTCCGAGGACGCGGGCTCGATTAACGGGCCACGGCGAAGCATGCCGATGTGGGAAGAATGAAAGGACACTAAAGAACAAAAACGACTTTTTAGCGCAATAGTGAAGCACCGTTTGACGCTCCCTAAAACACCACCCTTATCGCGGCACGACGTTTGGTAATCGAGTAAACGCGCGATAAGAAAATACGGCTGGAGACGCCACCGTGAGATTCCCGCACAAAACAACGCATAATGCCACTTTTTCACTTCGGTGTCCCTGTGCAAACAAAGAGGTAAAATTTAAACGGGAGCAATCGGCGTAGTATGCACTTAAACCCCCGGAACTTAATCAATTTCATTCGTGAATTTCGCGTTGATGTGTCTACGAAGTAACCTAGCCGGAACATTTTTTTTTTATTTCCGGGGAAAAGGGAGGAGGAGGGGGGTCGATTATGCTTCGTGTATGTTCGCACGTGCATTTGTGGAAATGCGTGCGCACATAAAAACTGAGATTTTTCGGGAAAGGAGACTTGATGCCCACTGAAAATCGTTTTTCCTAGTGTCCCATCAAAGGGGAAAAAAACGGGTACACGTCTTGTACAGGTGCGGCCGTTGAACAAACTTCAAAATTAAGAGAGACAGAGAAAGAAAACATTTATTGAAAGAAGCTAGTGAGTGAAGGTGGGAGGGTCCCTTATTCCAGGAACCCTCTGGCTTGGACAGAAGAGGGAGAAACGTCGCACCACCGATGGTGTCTTCTTTCCAGGGCCAGTCGGTGCGACCAGAAAAGAAGCCCGGAGGCTGCGCGCATTCCGGCAGGCAATCACGCGAAGCGCACGTGTTTTGCACTGCCACTCCGTCCGTAGTAGCGTCAACCCACGATGAAAATACACAAGAACGAACGCTGTATGTGCGTCGCCCTTCCTTGTCCGAGTTTTTTTCTTTCTTTTTTTTGCGCTGTGTTATTTCCATTGTTCAACCAACGCGCGACGCCAAGAACCATGCTATTTCTTCTTTTTTGCTAGTTTACCAAAGGTACCCAGGCGCACGACCGACGACATTTCGTGCAGATTAGTCCCGAACAGGCTGCCTCCATAATTGAACTGGTATAGCGCATTACGGGGAAGAAGAAACGGCCGAGCAGACCGACACACGAGGACAGAGCGCTAACTTCCAGTTCAAGTACGACGAACCAACTCGCCCAATCTTCAACACTCTGCCTCCATAAACCGACAGAAAAGAGGATCTCTTCCATTCAGGGAACCCGTTTCACCCCATCATCTCTTCCCAGAACGTTTGTTTGGACCTGGTTCACACGAGTCTATATGCAGAGAGAGCTGGGATGGTACGCGTGTCCAGACTTTCGTCGCGGGGGCTTTCCGACCACTGGTCTACTGTTCGCGTGCATGACCGAGGTACGACTGACCGTCGCTTACAATGGGCTTTTGACTTCATCGGAAGTCGTGAGACGTCAAGCAGCCTGAAATATCCGGGCAAGCTCCTGTCCCCTGCTTCTGTTGACGCTGAGGCTTGATTGCTTGCTTTCTCGTGTGTTCCGTCGTCGCCCTTTCTTCACTACAGGGTAACAAGCGCGTTGGGAGCAAAGGCCACGGGAAGCGATTACCGTTCCGGACATCCATCCGACATCTTGTAAATGGCGGACGGACCTTGCGCCGGAGCCCATTTTGAACTATAATCGGATAAACCACGTGTCGGCACGCCTCAGGGTTACTACGGAGTTAACGAGAAGGCGAATGCCCACAAAGTGGGGCGTTGGAGGCCGCCATTTTTTTTTTCCGGAATTTACAATTGAACGTACAAACTCGAGGCTAGCACGTGGCAGGCAGATGTGGCGCGCCACTCCGTCCGTTGTACGCATCACATAAAAGAATGCCGTATTGCTTGACTGTTGTTTGTATATATTACTTTGAAAAAGTGTAGAACTGGATCGCACAAAGGCACCGTTGTTGTAAAGGTTTAGAAACAGGCCCGTAAGATTACCCACGTTCTTACACGGCAGTTACAGTGGGTTAAATTACGTACGCTTATGACCTATGCCCAGAAAGCAAGAAGCAATCAAACTGTAACGATATCACAACTTGCGATAGTTGGTGCTGGTTCACTTATTGAACAAAAGAAAGAAACGGCACACAAGGGAAACGAAGACGAGAAATAGAAGCAAGAAGTTTGAGGCGATGTGTGTCCCCTCTGTTTCTTGTGTTCGTTTCATTTTGTACGCATTTGTTATTATTATTATTAAAAAGCAGAATGCGTCGCCGAAAATATGACGACGTGCGAACATGTGCAACGAAAAAGCGCCGCAGAATCTAACGCACCAAGGACACAAAAGAAAATCAGATGTCATCACACTTGTTCCCACCGAACACATGTCAAAGCCGGACAACAAATCAGGTCGGTGTTTAATAACGAAACACCCGTGACGAAGCTCGGAACAGTTTTCGTTACAGCATGCGCGAAAATCGGCAAGATCGAGTTGACTGCTCATTCTTGGGCCAAGTTACTGATGGTGCCTACAAAAATCATTGCTTGAGCGCGCGCAGTGCCGTACGGCACGGCGGTCACACAAAGCACTTTGTGCGCTGCCTTTAATGACGTCGAGTTTTACCGTCCTTGGGCTTTTGCGTGCGCCGACCCGTGTTGTGGACAAACGCAAAATCGCTAAGGCAATTACAACCGCAAAAGAAAAAAAAAGAACGCATTCAAGTCCGAGAGATACGCGAGTTACCGCCCCACAAGCATGCACGTACATGTACTACGTACATCCCGCGCCACCTGCTTGAAATGTCTTATTTTTCAATGCTCCAGCGGTTTTTGCGCAAGCGCCCTTTTCAAACTGCTTCCGTTGAACAAAAAATAAATGGACTCGAACAGACGATTCAGCGAAACGCGAGCACTCCGTACACTAAACGGGTCAACGCGCGCTGGCAATCTATCCCCAAAGTCGAGCAGACAATGCACGACCACCGACTTGATCAGATAAGGCCCTTCCCCAGATTACGTAGGCGAAAGTAATTGCAGAACTGTCACTAAAACGGATCGGCGACGCTGTAGCTCTTCATACACGATTAAGAGCATCGGGCGCGTTACTCGAACGAGGTCACGAGTTCGGTCTCTGCCGGCGGCAACTTGTCTTTTCGCTCACTTTTACTTCTTGGCATTTGTACCATAATTAGTATGAATGAAGTTTTGGATACTTCTTTTGGCTTGATTGTCCACTCTTTGAAACGGCTTCTAAGCAACAGCGTGCCTGTTTGCGCGTCAAGAACACCGAGCTAAAATATCGAAACACGCACGTGATTAGAAGACACGTATTCATATCTGTGTTGTGAGTAATGATACCAAGCGAGAAACAAGAAAGAAAAAAGATGACGTCACGAGAGCCACACGAAGTCGGGGGAGCACACTTGAGATTATCGCCCAACCTTGAACTACTGCACCGAGCGACAACGGTGTTTTCCCCCTCGACACTGCGATTCACGTGGAGGACTGGCGACGCAGTTTGTGGTCGCGCGCAGCTGACAGCTGCAACACAACAGCACCGCACTCCCTACGCGCTGCTGCGAACTCACTCCGTGGATTGTTGCCGCCCAGGTAACGGGCACACGCGCAATCAACGGGCAACCCACGCCTGCCAAAACAAACCAACTGCGCTTACTCAACTACACCGAATCGAGCGTTTCGGGAAACAAAATGCAAAACGATCGTTCCCCCGTTTCGGGCGTGCGTATCGACCAAAGAACGAGTTTTGGTTGGGCGGACGATTTGGCAATCGCCGTTTTTTGTTTGTTATCGCACCCTCCAACCCGGAGTCGAGAGTTCGCACCCTCCGTCACGGACTCCGTAACACTTCCTACCGGATATTCCGGGAAAAGGACGAAGGTGCAACCCCCACCCAAACAGAGCGAGGTCTACGCGACGAATGCTTGATCACACGCCAAAGCACTCGACAATGAACACACAAGTGTCGAGACAGGAATCTCCCCGAGCGCGGGGCACGGAATCTACGGCCCCGGGCCGCAAGGGGTCGATGTTGGTTAGCGGACCGAGAACAAAGAGTCGCGTACAAGTCGGGGTGACCCCGCAACAGCAGTTATTCACCTTGACATCCAGCCAGACGTCGGTGATTCGGCCCTTGCCATTGTACAGGTCCACCGAGAGCTGGTCGAGGGTGAGCTTTTCTTGGAGAAACTGGCCCCCGTACCGCTGAAGCAGGTAGCGGCAGGCACGTTTCTTGATGCCGTCCGACCAGGCAAACCACGGCATCGTCGACTGTATCAACCTAGCATCGCGTACAAGTGCATCCGAGCGCGATCAGCTGTGCTGAGACACTAAAAACGGTAAACAACACCACGCCATTCTGCTACTCATTACAGCAGGTTTTTTTTTTTTCTTTCGTCAAGGCGACGACAGCGACACCTCAAGCCTGAATGCTAGCCAGCAAGCCAACAGAGGACATGTCTTTGAGGCTTCTAACATCATGCTTCTAAACAAGCAAAAGCATAGCCTTTAAGATTACCCATTGTACTTATTAAAAGTGTCACTAACAAACTTGGATGTAAGTAATTTAAATATATATTTTACATTAATTGTTTTTAAAGTAACTTTTTGGGGGGTTTGTAGTTTAGCTTGTTTCAGCTTTCATCACCTTCAACAGTTTCGTATTTCTGGAGCAGACATCGCGGGAGGACAAGTCCAGACTAGTTTCAATCCTAAATTACGCGTTAAAAGGTCGTAGTCCCTCCGATGCCCACCTTAATATTGCTGCCGCTACGACGCGGCTCAGAGATATCGCCTGCTTCATTCATTCGCAGGACTTAATCGCCGTTTCTGCGTTAGTTCTTAGAAACACGAGTCTCCGTTCCCGAAAAGACGCGCAGAGACTTGACGCCACCTTCGTGTTAGAACGTTGCATCACTGTACAGGTTCGACCGGTACGACATTTAAAACTCTTCTGTTTCGTCCGTTCAAACGTGCAATGGCGAACCATCTGATCGCCGATCTCAAGCTCGTCTTGAAAGGCGCCGAGCAAGTGGCCAAAGCCATGTGCGAGCACGGCTCCTCGGAGCTCCGACAATCGTGGCACAACTCAAGCGTGCGCACCGTGGCGAAGAAGGTTTCCATGGACGTCGAGGAAGTGGTCAGCAATGCTGTAGCCAACCCTCAGGAAGCGGGGGTGAGTGCACGCTTTGCCTTGTGGTCAACAGGTCGCGTCGCCGGACAGAAAACGTCATCCGATGCTAACGGCTGTTCGAGATGAGCAACCTACGCTAGTGCAAAGATTTAGCGATGATTGTAGTAATGCCCGCATCCAGAAGCCGAAAAATCGTAAATGCGATTGTTTCACATATAGCTGGTGAAGTAACGTTGGCCGTTGGTGTGATAAACTTGCCTCGATCCACATAAAACGATGAGTGAAAAAAGCCTACAAGAATGTGCGAAGCAGCTTTTCCATTGTGTGTCAAAGGCGTTGGTGCCGCTGCGCGTGCATTGTACGCTAATAACGTGCGTACTCAAGAGTTAAGTCAGCGTACGACGCATGCGCAGAGGCTACAGATTCAAAGCTTCCAGTACTTTGTCCTAAGAAAGCCTAGTGTCTCTTCCACTGGTCTTGCCAAAACGAAACTTCCAAACATGTGAGCAGCGCGTTATAACTTTGACATCGACGTTCAGGAAAGTAAACACACCTAGAGTGCTTCTTGAAGCGTCGCCGTAGAAGGCATCCCCGTTCATTTTTAGTCCTTCATTACAGTAGCTGGCACGACTTAGCACAATAGCGTGCTATTCTGAACAGTTGTCATTTGCATGTCTTCTCTGTAGGTGCTCACTGCATTGTTCATCATTTGTGCAGCTAGGGCATACACTTTCCCTGCTGCTTAAACATTGAATACCATAGACAGCACTGTTGCTATTATCACAGGAGGCGAAGACCGCTTCGGGATACCAAGAGTTGATATACAACGGCAGCATTCCATATCCCAGCTTTTCCTGGTACATTGTTGGTATACGACTGTGTTCCATGGAAGACTACAATCACCGAAGGTCCCAACAGTATAACTAGTAAAACTCTATTCTTATACCTCATATAGACAACTCACAATGTTGAATTTGTGTGGAGCTTTTTATCCACAGCAGAGGCCATACATAGGAGAGAGGACAGGTTAAAACGGTGAAGCAGCTAACCTCTTCTAGAAGCACGAAAATATATTTGCGTACTAAACAGGAGAAGGCATAACATATACCTATGCAGGTGTTCCAACACAGCTCCATTGCACGGGAAGGGGTCACCAATACTGGTAAGGGTGAACCTGGGACAGTAGGCTTGAGATAAATTTCTCTGGCTAGCTACTCTGTGCTCGGGAAAGAGTAATTAGAGTATTTATGCGATAGGATGCGACTACTCCAAAGAAAACAGATACCTAATCTATGAAGCTTTCAACATACTACAGCCCAATAAATAGAAACAATGAAACGAGATGAAGATGTGTGCTGAGTGCGGCTGTCAGTGCCTGTCCTCATCGTCTCTTTTTGTCCTTGTCTGCTTTTAGCGCTGTAGTATTTCGTAATTATGTACAGACGCACCCAACTTGCCACTTCGATGAATAAACCGTATAAAGCACCCTATTCACAAGCCAACCTTATCCTTGTGTCATGTTAAGTTTCTGGACATTCCGCATGCATTATAAGGGCACAAAAATTGTTGCAAGGTAAAAAATGACTACGAAATTGGTTTGTGAATACCGGCCTACTTTGTTTTTCAGGCGCACTAAAAGCATGACACCAACAAGGAAAATGTGAGATAAGAATAAGGTTGTTTCATGAATATGGGCTTAACAAAGCAGTTTGACATTTATAGATTAAAATAAGTTTTGCTGGTGAAATACGCTGCAACGAAGTGGTGAGAATTTGTTGTTTAAGGAGATCTGACTTCATTGGGGCATGCTATCTTTGAACTGCTCTCGCACATCACCCTTCCCTTGGTGATCATCATCTCCAATTGATAGCGAAAGAGAGAGAGCTAGAAGTGCATAAAACAGCCGCTGAGAAAGTTCGTTGCTGTCATAAGTTCCCTTGTTGAAGCATTAGCTCCATAAACGTTCCCATAAACAAGTTCTTTTTTTCTTTAAACTTCCATCTTCTCTTTAACTGCTGTATAGTTGAAATATTACAGTTGAGTACCCCACAAACTCGTTTCTCCATCTCTCCTTGCAGTTGGAAGCTGCAAAAGCCGTCTCCGAGACCGTGCAGAGGTTATCCATGATACCCGAGGGCATCAAGCAGTTTTCGGTGCAGGCACTCCAGCAGGCACGTCGGCAAGACAGCCACGCAGCGGAAGGGCCCCAAAAGCTATCTTGGGATGGCTTAGAAGATGAAACGCACCTAAATTACACGCCGCCACGCTCCACAGCGCAAGTCTCCACAGACCACAGTAAGCATGTTGAGAGCATGAGCGTGGCGGCTGGAACTGGGCTGGAAACGCCCACCTGCATACATCCGCGCCCGTGTAACACCCGGTCCAACTGCAATAGGTGTCGCTTCGTCAGCTCCGGACAGTCCCCTTTCGACGCCAAAGCCAAGTGAGACGACCGAACAAAAGCAAGGTAGCCAGTTGAGACAGCAGCAACCTGCCTCATTTGGGAGCGCGCCATCAAAACTACGTTTCTCAACTCCAAGGCACAAGCCAATGGTGAGTTAGTGCTGTGCACATTAATATGTACACAGCTATTAAAAGAAATGGTTCAAAGCAAAATCGCACTGATCTCATGCGCTGCGAGAAACGGTTTAAGTGAGGCTTTCAGGTCCACTGTGCTGCCATGTTCAAATGATAATGTCACTTGCACCAACGAGTTGGTCTCCTCCCAATTTCCGTGTCAGTGACGACACCTCTTTTGGCGCAGTCCAAGCACCACTAACTGTGACATCAAAACCTGTCGTACGCCACTCAGGAAAAGCTTCTTGTGGATAAACTCTTCAGCATCTTGCAAGACAAAGGAAAAACTTAACCCTCCGAATGTTGAATTTCTCTTATAAAAACTTTCCCAGATGGTCAAATGACTTTAGTGTTGTTTTTGAATGTACCGATTGTGTAAAGTCGGGAAAAAATTTTTTAAAATAATAAAGAACAGCTTTCTTGGTGTTATCATTGCTCAGAATTGCAGAAAGTTTCATAGTATTTCAGAGCGTGGTATTCCATAAAACTTGGGTCAGCGCACAGTGCCCTATTATCATCTGCACACATAACACACGTCTCCATAATCACATTGAAGCGGCGAGTTGTGCTGGTGAACACGCTACATCTCTGCATGTGGCTGCCTTAGGCAGAGTAAGCACGGTAATCAAGAAGAACGAGAATGCTTTTTGAGTGACGGTGATAAACAAGCCAAGGGCACCGCCAATAACGGTGTAAATCAACTTCCAATGCCCTAGCAAAGGAGTGCCAATAAAAGTAAAAATCAAATTTTTTTCGGGGGGAGGGGGGGGGCACGCCACCATTGCAATCACAGGACAAAACCTAAACCAAGAAAAGGCAGTACCCATTGGCGTTGCTGCACACCATGCGACACGCCGACGTTAGAAATCAGTACTGTTTATCTCTGTAAGAAGGTTGTACAAGCATTTGTAACACTTATTGTAAGTTCTAATTGGTGGCAGCACCTTCCAGTGGGCATGCATCGTCATTGCGATGCAAAAATTTCAAGTAGATGGTCGAACGCGTGCTCATAGGGCAAAGACGTTGCAACACAAAAAACCACATGTATGGCGAAAATGTTCAAAGAGTTAATCAACACTACACAGTAGCATAAAGACACCAAGGAAGCTTCATGCTACGATTGCATGTTACGTTCTGGTAAATAGCAGCCTTCGTTTTCATGAAAGATCCTTTTGAAGAGCAACCTCAACAACATAAGCTAGGCAGTCTGCGCAACTGAACCACAAGACCTTCCCTGCTCGACAGAGCGAATATCATGTCCGATGAGTTACATAAAAGAATGGATGTTGAAGTGATGATTGTGATTTTTTGTGGTCATTTTGATCAAAGAAAAATAAGGAGTTTGTTTGCTATAACAGTGTAATTTACATCGGTAAACTCCTGGTCAAGTATCTTTAGGGGTGACATCTGGATTTTTTTTGTTATATCGAAGCAGCGTTGTTGTATCAGACCCAGAGCGCTGTTATTCCTTTTTTTTACTGTGGCTAAATGATCACAGTACATGCTCCGTAAGAGTGTTTATTCACGTAAGTACTATTTCACTTTGCGACTTGACTGACATTTCCAATTTCTTTTACAGCTGACCGAGCACTCTAAAGCCACGAGAGTGCCAGCATCAAGAGTTGGAAGGCTCATGTCATATGGAGGTAAAAACTTAATAATTATATCTTTTCAGTATGTACCAAGCGGTGGCCCGCCTAGTAAGTACTGTGGTCGATGGCCGCACCATGGTCGGCAAACGCATCCTGCGAAAGTACGAGTACGGCAATATGTTCGCTTGCGCTCCTGTATCCACTTTCAGTTCTGTCGGGTGCCCGGCAAGGTCCCCTGCCACCGTCCAATCCTGATTTTTGGACACGTTTCTGATTTGTACCGTGAGAACTTGAATGTCTTCATCGGTAGCGTCCGAGGACTCCTCCAGTGCATCTTCTGTTGCAGCGACGCCTAACTCATGAACGCCGCGTCTACTCCTGCAGCAAGCTGCAAAATGGTTTCTTTTGTTGCACAGCGTGCACGTTTTTCCAAACGCTGGGCAGCGTCTTGGTCCGTGAATCTTGCCACAGTAGCCACAGCGTCGACGTTGTCCGCTCGTACGAGACTGTCCGGCAGCGTTTGCAATTTTTTCGACTCTCCGCACTTTCGCTTCGCTTTCAAGAGCCCGGTTCTGCGTTGCTGCCAGTTCCGCGGCTTTGCAGATTTCTACAGCTGATTCTAGGGTTAAGTCCTTCTCCTGAAGCAGGCGTGCACGTAGCTTCTTGTCGACGATACCGCACACTATCTGGTCCCTCACCATCGAGTCCCTAAGTTCGCCAAAATTACAAGTCTGTGCTTTCAACTGAATATCGCGCAAAAACTGTTCGAAAGGTTCACCATCCTGTTGTTGCCGACTGCGCAGAACGTACCTCTCGAATGTCTCGTTGCACCGAGGCGTGCAGTAGTCTTCGAAGGCTTTGACGATCGAGTCATAGTCCTCTCGTTGTTCTGCTGATAGAGGTAGGGTGTTAAACACTTCAATTGCCTCTGGGCCCGCGACGTGTAGAAAGATGGCAGCCTTCTGTGCTGGCGTCCGTTTCTTGTTGGTCTCAGTAGCTTTGAAGTAGAGTTCGATTCGTTGGCGGAACTTTTTCCAGTTGTCGGCCGGAGTATTTGTCAGTACAAGTGGCTCGGGTGGTGGTAGGCAGTCCATCTTCAGCGCAGGGTTCGACTGTTACACTTCTGACACCATGTTCTGCTTTACGCGCTCAGCAAAGACACAACCACACGAGACGCTAGCTAGCAAGGGACTGTTTATTGATGGCTGCCGCGCCGCGCGCGCGCCCTCTCTCAAGGTGGCCAGGTGAGGTGGGATCATCCCGATTTACTAAGCGGTGGCCCGCCTGGTACATGTTCTGCTTTACGCGCTCAGCAAAGACACAACCACACGAGACGCTAGCTAGCAAGGGACTGTTTATTGATGGCTGCCGCGCCGCGCGCGCGCCCTCTCTCAAGGTGGCCAGGTGAGGTGGGATCATCCCGATTTACTAAGCGGTGGCCCGCCTGGTACATCCTCCTTTTTCTTTAGGTGATGTAGTCGGCAAAGCGCGTCGGTGCTCTACGTGGCCTAGTTGATCTTCTGGGACTCGAGTCGGCTGCTTCTTGTGCCTGGCAAGTGACCTTATGCTGGGACGGGACCACGTCGGGGTCCCTTGATGGTTGACTTGCAATGGGTGGTGCACGTGCAGCTGACTGGTTCAGTAGAGCATCCGATGCAGGCGCCTGTTGTGACGGATGTCGTTCCTTTCGTGATGCGGATGCTGTTGTCAAATCGGGCGCTGTATCTGATGTTGAATGTTGTCTATGCTGTATAGGCGACGGGATTATCGGTGCGACATCCTTGTCATCCAGTGGGTCTAAGTGTTCGGGCGTCCTTTTTAGATGCTGACGATTCCTTCGATAACGCCGGCCTTCATCTGTACAGACTATGTAAGATCTAGGGCCAGCAAGTTTCTCTACTCGGGCTTTCGGAAACCACCCCTTGTCGTTTCTTATTCTGACGACGTCCCCTTCGGAGAGAGGTGTGAGAGGTATGCCTTTGCCGTGATCCTGTGGATGTTTCCGCACTGACGATGTCGAAGCCGATGAGAAGTCTGGAAGTCGTCCCCGAAGCATCCGTCCCATAAGGAGCTGACTTGGTGTGCGTCCGTCTATCAGGGGCGAGATTCGATAATTGAGCAGTGAAACCCAAAACTCCTCGCCAGCGTACTCACTTTTCTTCAAGAGGCGCTTTACGACCTGTACCCCTTTCTCAGCTAGACCATTGGCCCTGGGGAAGTGTGGACTGGATATGGTATGAGTAAAATCGTATTTTACTGCAAACTGTCTAAACTCTCGCGATGTGAACTGTGGTCCTCCATCGGTACAGACTTCAATGGGTATACCGTGGCGAGCAAACATGGTCCCTAGTGTGTCCACTACGACCTGACTTGTTGACTGAGGCAACTGTTCCACTTCTGGGTAGTTGGAGTAGGCACAGTACGCAACCAGGTAACGCTTGCCCCCATGGTCAAATAGGTCGACACCAATTCGCTGCCACGGCCGCGTTGGGATTTCCCTCGATAACAGTGGCTCTGAAGGTTGCCGGTAGGCAAAGTGCTGACATGTGGCACACTTGCTAATGAGTGACTTGATGTCAGCATTCATCCCAGGCCAGTACATCAGAAGGCGTGCTCTGGCTTTGCACTTGCTCATTCCCAAATGGCCTTCATGAAGACGTTGCAGCATGGATCGCCTCAGACTCTTTGGGATTACCACCCTGCTGCCCCGCAAAAGCACTCCATCAACATATGACAGTTCTGACAAACATGAAGCTAGTTCGCCTGAGACTGGTCGTCCTTCCTGGAGTGCCTCCACCACTTGCTTGAGGTATGGGTCCGCCAGGATTGCAGAGGTCAGTTCAGTCTTCGTGTTCTCACTTACGATGCTGGCTAGCACGCGAGTCGCATGGATGCATACGTCTTGTTCGCTTTCTCCGTCACTCGGTTGGGTTCCTGGAATTCGGGACAGTGTGTCCGCCACTAGCAGATGCTTCCCAGGAACATATTGCAATTTGATATCAAAAGGCATGAGCCTCAAGAAATAGCGCTGCAATCGTGGCGGCATTTCACTCAGGTTCTTTTGTGAAATAGCAAGCAAAGGTCGGTGGTCTGTTTCGACTGTCACTGATAACCCCAGTACGAACTCCCGGAAACGCTCACAAGCAAACGTCACGGCCAGCGCTTCCTTTTCAATTTGGGCATATTTTGTTTCAGCCTTTGAGAGCACCCTTGAAGCATAACCCACTGGGCGCCAATCTTGGTCATGGAGTTGAAGAAGAGCAGCACCTACTGCAAAGCTTGATGAACTGTTCCACTTCTGGGTAGTTGGAGTAGGCACAGTACGCAACCAGGTAACGCTTGCCCCCATGGTCAAATAGGTCGACACCAATTCGCTGCCACGGCCGCGTTGGGATTTCCCTCGATAACAGTGGCTCTGAAGGTTGCCGGTAGGCAAAGTGCTGACACAGTATACAAAAGTTTGCATACGTCACGGATATAGAACTTTATGGCGGAACACCAGCCGTCGTATCCTTTTATGTGCTCATTATATTCATACACTAATAGGTATAGTTCGAATCAGGAAAACACAAAAGTCAGCAAATCTTATGACAGCACATGGAGAAATAATTGATTAGTGAAGGCTTTAGTTAAATTTTATTCAAGTGTGTTCATTTCACGTCCTTGTTCATTAACTCTGCATAGCTCACACATTCACTCTCACACTAAGGATGCAGCACCGATTTGTCAGACACTTACCCTATAGTTTAACTTCGACATCAAGCACCATGTTGAGAGCTGAATGAGCAAGCTGAACATCCAGTCTTTCCTTGTTAACACTTGTGATAAATTCAACTGCTTCTCTGCATTAGCTGCATGTTAAAGTGCAGTCGTCATTCGCAGGTGGCCTAGATGAACAAAAATTTTCACATCACCCCCAAAACCAAACAACCACTTCGATAAAAGCATTTTGCGGGCGCTTTACTTTGCTTTCATCAATAGTCATTTAATCTACTGCATGGAATCATGGGCCTGGACTTATGATTCTTATCTGGATCCCCTTCGAAGGCTACAAAAGCGTGCCATAAGAATAATAAGCACAGTAAGTACAACGAGCCAAGCCGGCCGTTATTCCGATCGCTAAAAATACTACCCTTCGATCTTTTGCGTGACTATAAGATGACCGTTTGGGTTAACAGTATTGTAAAATACAATAGCCCATTTGATGTCTCGTTATTCCTTTTCCCGCTTACCAGAAGCCTGACGTTCGGTAACTTTAACTTGGCGCCAAGAAATAACGTTTATGGTGAGAGATTAATGCAATTCACAGGGATAAAGATCTGGAATATTTTGCCCACTGAATTGAAGACATCATACAATGCTGCGGTAAAACTAAAAAATCAATTCTTGAGCAAGCTGTAAATGCTTCTTTTTCTCTTTGGTGGTAAGCACTTAGATTTGTATAAATATACGCTGGTGGATCTTGTAAACCTAGCATTTTTTTCCTTCTAACTAAAACTTGTGATAGTTTGATGTTCTTTATGTATTTTAATTGATGTTTTTGGGTGTGTCCACGAAGTTATCTGTCATAACTTTTTGTATGCGCACATGCAGTTTTGTTTGGTGTGACCAGATTGTTTAAGAAGAGAAAGACTTCTCTACTCTGTATATGTGTATATTTACAGTGTCTGTATAGCTACATATGCATTATGTGTAATTGATATTTCACGCTTCTGTCCATTACTTTTCTCATTGGACCCTACACTAGCCTCAGGCTATGGGTCCAATCAGTGTTTGTAAACTTCATGTGACAAATGATAGTAAACGTTCAATCAATCAAACCAGCCCACTTATGCACCTTTTGGTGGAGCGTGACACCTCCTTCAAAATATATTTCTCAAATGCCTGTCTTCCTATTTATATATATTACACCGCTCCCTCTCTATGATCTTATATCTCCAAAATTGGATTCTTCAGTAAACGCCTGCGCACAAGACATGCCAAGGGTCCAGAAAACTGGACTCACTGCCATAACTCTGGCGCCGTTACACTTGAAGAACGGTGACTCATACCAAGGTTTTTACAGCGAGACTGTTGTAGCTAGCCGTAGCTTTTCCAGTGTCGCAATAAACTATCATCATCATCATGCCAGTGCGCGCTCTTTCCGTTGTCGTCATCTTCGCTAACAAATGCGCTTTGGCGCGCTCTCCCATTGCAGTGATTTCTCCTTCGTGGTGTGTAATTAGTTGAATGGCCGAGGAGGAGGGAAAAAAAGGGGATAAAAACAGAGAAGAGGGCGTAGAAGGGGAGGGAGGAAAGAGATGGAAGAAGTGGGAAATAGATAAATAGGGGGAAAACGGGAGGGGAACGTTGCATGAAATCACGTAACGCTAGTCGTGTGACGTAATACGACCGAACAATAGTGACGTGACGTGTTGCCGCTAAACCCGTGTCTTTTAAGAGAGGGAGGGACTTGGGTTTTGGGGGGGCAGCTTCTTCCTCAGGAATGCGAGCAGTCGCTCCACTGTTGCTTTCCAGCCTCGCGCCACTAGCGAAAGCTACCTTCGCTGCAACCTCAGTTTTCGCGCCATTAGTCCTGAGCTGTCCCACTTCTTTTTTTCCCCAGAAGTCAAGCTCATCTCCTCTACAGTTCAATCATATGCTCACTAAAAACACTTTTGTGACTTTTTTCTATTTTTGTCAAAGGAATGGTCACATAGATTGTAACTAGCCTATAATCTATATTTTTTAGGTTTATCTCGTATTACACTCAAACCTTGATATAGCGAACACAAATATAACGAATTAAGTAAAGAATGGTTTTGTCATAGACAGTGTTGCAAAACTAGGTCTATAACGAAATTTCGGATATAATGAAATTATCTTTGTAACATACGTGACTTTGTTTTAACGAGGTTTGCATTCTAACTTACGCTTTCTTTGCAGCAGAGTTCATTCATTCCAGTTTCATTTTGCCCCCTCTTCCTTGTTGCAACCACAATTAGGTCTCGCTGCCGGGCTAGGCCTGGGTGCGCTGGCGGAGGTGACCCGACGAACCCTGGGCATGACGGACCCCAAGACAGCCATAGGTTCTGCCGTGTTGAGTGCCGACAACCCGTTCCTGACCGAAGCTAACATCAGCCGCATTGTTGACACACTCTGCAAAGTTCGTGGAGCTGCGCTCAAGATTGGTCAGATACTCAGTATTCAGGGTGGGTGCTGCTATGTTTCTTTTTTAACGGTGAAGCTGTCTTAGTCTACACCAGATAATTGTCATCATAGTAAAGGTATGGTAGGGGTGCCGTAAAATTCTGAGCAAGCCTGCACTCCCTTGCGGCCTAGCCAGTGGGCAGGGGACAGGAGAAAAGAAATTGATCCTTTAAGTACTGCTAAACAAACCTCTTCCCCTGAGTGTTATGTAGTATCAGTAGAGTAATATTGTGGAAGTTGCTTTGCATACTTTTTTTTTTCATTCTTTCAGACAGTACGCTGGTCAGTCCACAAATTCAGGCAATATTCGAGCGTGTCCGACACTCGGCCGACTTCATGCCAGAATGGCAAATGGAGGTGAGTTGGAAAGAGTGTTCGTCGGGCTGCGACACGGCTACAACTATTTCAGCTTACTTGCAATTGCTTCTGTAAATCTCTGCTTCAGTATTTTCAGGTTAATTTTTCATTGGTGCCTCCCTTGCCAACGCAGGCAATTTTTTTTTTTTCATGTCTGCATTGACCTAATCAATAAACATATACTTTTATATAAGCTAGATGTCAATATTCGATGCTCAGTCAAGGTCTTATCATCATTGTCAGATCAATTGTTTTTTTTCTTTTAAAGGTAGACAAAATTGCTTGCATAAATTATTTAGAAGCTTAAAGCTTCAACTTCATGTTCTCTTTGCTTTGTTATTTTTTCTTTTTTTTAACGATCTGGGTCATAAAATTAGGTGTGGTTGCCAACATTTTTTAAACTGTTGTGTTGTTTCGAATGTATTGTTGCGAAGATTGTAAAAAGGAGCGCTAAAGGTTCCTGAACACAGTTGCCAAGCTCAAGGATGTCAAAAAGAATAAATGTTCAACGACAGGGTACCTTCTGCTGATCACTATGTCAGATTAGTATTTGTACATCTCGAGTAATCATTGCTTAATTTAAACACGATATCTGCATTTCCTTTCATACTGCTCACATTTGTACACAATTGTTCAGTAAAGTTATGTTCGAGCATTTCTGGATTTCCTCGTGTCCAGAGGGTGATGGTGCAAGAACTGGGACCTGACTGGGAATCCAAAGTCGCCTCATTTGAGCGCAAGCCATTCGCAGCAGCCTCCATCGGCCAGGTTCATCTAGCGACCCTGCACGACGGTAAGGAAGTGGCAGTCAAAATTCAGGTATGCTGTCTTTAATTTTTTTTGTTATTGTTTGCATATGAAATGCCTTTCCTCGTTCGACCCACTTTCTGTAGTATGCTGTAATGGTGTGTCATAACTTTTGACCAAATTTAATCGTGTGCAGAGACAGCGATTGCTAGAGTGCTTGTTCGGAGTTTAGAAGTGTTCTAAATGAACAATTAAGCATATAAAAGCTGCGTGTAACTCCCTGTAAAGGTAGTTTCACTGCAATAACGGGTGCTGTACCGTGTTAGTTACAAATGGGCCATTATTTTAGTCAAAACAAAACCAAAACAAAGCAATAAACAGGGCCACAAGTTCGTTCGAAGCCCGCATGCAGGAAGACTAGGCAAATTTCTGTACTACTCATCATTCCCCTAGTTGCTGAATGATCGCAGTGCCCGAGTCCCCTCTAGTTAATTTCAGGAAGCTCTACGGTGACATCATCACAGAACATAGCTGGCTTTTCAAAGGTGGGGCTAATCACGAAGGCCATGCAAAGCCAGGTTGGGTGCAGAAAGCTTGCAATGCCTCCGATTTTGTAGCCTGTGCAGGAAGTGCTCGAAGGGAGTCGAGCGAGCATCAAGGTGAATGCACGAAGGACCCTACAAGCTTTTTGATAATTTTCTTTGCGCATTGCACAAATAAGTGCTGCTTTACTTATTGTGAGACTACTATCACAGTTATACTTTCATACCTCGAGCACGGAGTTGTCGAACTGCTGGCTGTATGATGGGTCAAGTTGCCTAGTGTCACCTAATTCCAGCTATTCAATATTATTACAGTAGCACTGTATTCATTCAGCTTCAGTCGAATCGCCACATATGCGCTTATTCTTAATTGCCATGCCCATGTTCGGGCCTGATTGGTTGATAACGTGTGTAGTTCTCAATACTAAGACAACCTTGAATGCCTGCTTGATTTCCCTTTTTTTTCCTGCAGTAACTTATATTATAGACAGTATGGGCGTAGTTCGCCACGGTAGAGCAGTGGGTGCTCGGCTGCTGACCCGAAAGACACGTCTTCGATCCCGGCCGTGGCGGTTGCATTTCGGTGGAGGGAAAGTGGCAGAGGCCCGTGTTCTGTACTATGTCAGCGCATGTTAAGGAGCACCAGACAGTCAAAATTTTCGGAGCCCTCCACTACGGCCTCTCTCATAATCATATCGTGTTTTTGAGCTGTAAAACCTAAGGAATTTATTATTAAACGATAGGCTTGCACGAATAGTGACTTTCAGGTTCGAAGGGACTTTGGCCGAATAAAGTTCGAATCGAATTCGAACAGTACATATCTCATGTTATAAAGGAAAATAGACATGTTTGTAATGACCTGACAAATTGGCACAATATGTATTGAATCGAGGCCTGTACAAAGGCCTTGTTTTTTTGGCCCTAGGAAGTGGAAAGAACTTTGAATAGTAGTGGGATTTGATTTTTCATAGAATGCAAGTAAACACGACCTGTAAAACATGTTATGTTTTAGTATTTACTATACTTAGACCATATCAGCCGATATAACAAGGTTTTAAACATCAAAAATGATGAATCGATGTGTGGGCGATATGTTGTTAACATTGAAGTGGGGCTTTGCGAATGCGGATTTCTAATGATTAGGTGTTCTCATCATCATCATCATCATCAGCCTGACTACATCCACTGCAGGACAAAGGCCTCTCCCATGTTCCACCAGTTAACCCGGTCCTGTGTTTGCTGCTGCCAATTGATACCCGCAAACTTCTTAATCTCATCTGTCCACCTAAATAATTTGAGAGTGCTTGCCGAATGTACTCCACCCCATTCTTATTCTTCTAGTTACTTCAATCTCGTGGTTAGACTCTGCGGTTATTACCTGCCCTAAGTAGACATAGTCTTTTACAACTTCAAGTGCACTATTACCTATCTCGAAGCGCTGCTCCTTTCCGAGGTTGTTGTACATTACTTTCGTTTTCTGCAGATTAATTTTAAGACCCACCTTTCTGCTCTTCTTGTCTAACTCCGTAATCATGAGTTGCAATTCGTCACCTGAGTTACTCAGCAATGCAATGTCATCGGCAAAGCGCAGGTTACTAAGGTACTCTCCATTAACTCTTATCCCTAGCTGTTTCCATTCTAGGCTTCTCAAAACCTCCTGTTGGCATGCGGTAAATAGCATTGGGGAGATTGTGTCCCCCTGCCTTACACCCTTCTTGATTGGTATTCTATTGCTCTCTTTATGAAGCACTATGGTAGCAGTTGATCCTCTATAGATTTCTTCCAGGATGTTTATATATACTTCATAGACGCCCTGATTTCGCAGTGTGTGCATGACGGCTGATATTTCTACTGAATCAAACGCCTTCTCGTAATCTATGAAGGCTATGTATAGTGGTTGGTTATATTCTGAGCATTTCTCAATTACCTGATTGATAGTATGAATGTAGTCAATTGTTGAGTAGTCTGTTCCAAATCCTGCTTGTTCCTTTGGTTGATTGAATTCTAATGTTTTCTTTACTCTGTTAGCAATTACTTTTGTAAATAGCTTGTATACTACAGAGAGCAAGCTGATCGGCCTGTAATTCTTCAAGCCCTTGTCATCTACTTTCTTATGTATTAAGATGATGTTAGCATTCTTCCAAGACTGGTACTCTTCCCATCAGGAGGCGCCTCGTAAACAGGGTGGCTAGTTTTTCTAACACAATCTGTCCTCCATCTTTCAGCAGATCTGATGTTACCTGATCCTCACCAGCAGCTTTGCCTCTTTGCATGCACTCCAAAGCTTTTCTGACTTCTTCTATCATTACTGGCGGGGTGTCATCTGGGTTACTGCTAGTTCTTATAGTATTAAAGTCGTGGTTGTCCCGGCTACTGTACAGATCTCTGTAAAACTCCTCCGCTATTTTAACGATCCTATCCATATTGGTAGTTATTTTGCCTTCTTTGTTCCTTAGTGCATACATCCGACTTTTGCCTATCCCAAGTTTTCTCTTCAATGCTTTGACACTTCCTCCGTTTTTCAGAGCGTGTTCAATTCTCTCCATGTTATACCTTCTTACATCGCATACCTTACGTCTATTAATCAACTTCGAAAGCTCTGCCAGTTCTATTTTGTCTGTTGTACTTGACACTTTCATGAATTGACGCTTCTTAATTAGGTTCTTTGTTTCCTGGGAAAGCTTGCCAGTGTCCTGTCTTACTACCCTGCCTCCAACTTCCACTGCACACTCCGTAATGATACTCGTCAGATTATCATTCATTGTATCTACGCTAAGGTTGGTTTCCTCACTGAGAGCCGAGTACCTGTTCTGCAGCGACACTCTGAATTCCTGTACTTTCCCTCTCAGTGCTAGCTGATTGATTGGCTTCTTGTGTATCAGTTTCTGTCGTTCCTTCTTCAAGTCTAGGCGAATTCGAGACCGTACCATTCTATGGTCACTGCATCGTACCTTGCCAATCACTTCCACATCCTGCACGATTCCAGGGTGTGCACTCATTATAAAGTCTATTTCGTTCTTATTTTCGCCATTAGGGCTCCTCCATGTCCACTTGTGGTTTCCTCGTTTTGGTAGAAGGTATTCAAAATACGTAAATTATTGCGTTCTGCGAATTTCACTAGTAGCTCTCCTCTGGCGTTCCTAGTGCCGATACCATAATCTCCTACTGCCTGGTCTTTAGCCTGCTTCTTCCCTACCTCTGCATTAAAGTCTCCCACCAGTATAGTATTCTGCGTTTTTACCTTACTCATTGCCGATTCCACGTCTTCATAGAAGCTTTCAACTGAAGCGTCATCATAGCTGGATGCGTGCGCGTATGCCTGTACCACCTTCATCTTGTATATTTTATTCAGTTTAATTACGATACCTACCACCCTTTCATTAATGCTATATCATTCCTCTATGTTGCCAGCTATGTTTCTGTGAATTAGAAGCCCCACTCCCAGTTCTCTTCTGTCAGCCAAGCCCCTATAGCAAGGAACGTGTCCATTCCGTAGCACCGTATAGGCCTCATCTGTCCTCCTAACCTCACTGAGCCCTATTATATCCCATTTAATGCCCTCTAGCTCCTCGAATAGTACAGCTAGACTTCCCTCACTAGATAAGGTTCTAGCGTTAAACGTTGCAAAGTTCAGGTTCCAATGGCGGCTTCTACGGATCCAGAGATTCTTAGCACCCTCTGCTGCGTTGCAGATCTGACCGCCGCCGTGGTCAGTTGCTTCGCAGCTGCTGGGGACTGAGGGCCGCGAGTTATTTGACGTATGCATGTGGGAGGTAGTGGCCAGATACTGCACCAGGGTGGCCAATCCTTTTTTGGTGAGGGAGTGCGTTCCCGGCGGTGATTACCGGTGAGGCCGCACCCCAGGCCTCTTAATGCAGTTCCATCACCACGCGGATTTTTTTTTTTAATCCGGTTAAGAACTGCGCAGCACCAGGATTTGAACCACGCACCTTTTGCATGCGAGGCGGATGCTTTAACCACTACGCCATCGCCGCACTACGTGTTCTCATGGCTTAGCAACCCTTTGGTGCAGTGAAATTACCTTTACAAAAAGTTAAACGCGATTGAATACACAAGTATTTGCTCATTTCGAAGCTTGTGCGAATATTCGGATGCTTCGAATATTTGAACGAATAGTTGAGTATTCAAATTTGCTTCGATTTGAATATAAATTATTGAATATTTTCGAAGTATTCGCAATGAACGAATAAGTGTATAATAGTTTGCAGGCTACCGCCTGTAAAGGTGGTTTCACTGCAGTATAGAAGGGCTAAACAGTAAAAACATTTACTCAAAAAAACGAGTAAGTGTAAAATAATTTGTAGGCCACCGCTTGTAAAGGTGGTTTCACTGCAATGTAGGAGTGCTAAACAGTGAAAACATTTACGAAAAAAATTAGCTTTCCCGTGAAGCCCCCCTTCAAGTTTAAAGGGGCCCTGCAACACTAACTGAACATGGTCAGAAAACGCTGCCGATCGGTAGTCGAGGCTACCAAGAACGCATTAGGCAAATATTGTAGCACAGCACGTGGCCTGTAATTGACAATAAATTTTCAAAGCTAAATATTGCTTTCTTCCCTCGGCAAATGACACTAAACATGCTCAAAAATCGCTTGTCACAGCCAAGAAGGAATATACGGCTCTGGTCACAGGCATTGGCGATTGAGCATGGTGCACGCGTTGTTACCGGGGCCGCCGCTTGTCCACGAGTACGTGCGTGATCGCACTGAGAAGTCGCGTATTCTAAAAAAAAAAAAAGAAATGCTGAAGGTCACGAGGTGCGTGTGGAGTATTTTCTTTCGCCGTGCCATTCCTCTCTGCTTAGCTTCTTGCTATTTCGTCAAGACGAGAAGAGATAATGCAATCGCAGTGTGCAACAAATTTTTGGAACTCCGCTCAGTAGTGGACTGATTCTAGAAACTTTGCTGGCAGTAAATTTGTGATGGCAACAAGCATGTTTACTGGCTCCGTGGCTACTTGAAAAATGTTGCAGGGCCCCGTTAAAGGAACATGTTATTATCAAATCAATTCTTCATTTTATTAAGCTTATTATGCCGACTTATATGATACAAGTATAATAAATTTTGAAACATTAAGTATCTTAGAGGTTATTACTAGCATCCTACCGAAACTACTACTCAAGGTTGTTTCGACTTCCTTTGAACAAAAATATAAATGGCATTTGCATAGAGTCTTTATCAATTCAAAAGAAGTATTGTGCAGGTTAGCTGGGTCATGGTGAATATTCTCTTTTTTTTTATATGTCATACATATCATTCAAATTTGATTCGAAATTATTCAATAAAAACCACTGTTCGCTTCAAACTAAAAATTCACTATTCGCACAAGCCTACTCATTTGGAATACTTTGAAAATTTCAACAATTTAAACTCGAATTGAAGCAAATTCAAATACTGTCACATTTGAAGCATTGGAATATTCACACAAGCCTGTTAAATTACTGTATAGTTGTATTATTATTATTGTTGACGGCATTTTTTTTTCTTGTTTTTGTTTTTTCACCTTGTCTCATCTTCGCTTGAGGGATGTGTAGATGAGATGACTTCATATTAACTTAAATGGGAGAAGTGAGCAACATCCGAAATAAGATTTGCTGTTTGCTTTACAGTATCCCGGTGTTGCCCAAGGAATCAATAGTGACATCAACAACCTCATGGCCATCCTCAAATACTGGGACATTATACCGAAAGGTAAGACAAGGCGAAAATAGGGACAGCTGGACAAAGTGATGTGATAACATAAAGAGTAAATAGCTTGTTGCATAGAGAGGTAGAAATGAGGGAACGAAGCACTGTATAATTGTACCCACTTTTATTCTGTCCACGTCCTACGCACTGGTCATCGACTGTAAAAAAAAAATGCATGGCTGATACCTCTGTCACAGCAATCGGTAAAAGACGAAAGTGAAATGTGTCGTCAGAGAGATAGTCGAGTGCTTATATTGCTTTTTTCTGTGCAAGGGCGAACGAATGAATGCTATGGCAACAAATTGTAATGTCATGCGAAGTAATGGCAAACAGCTCGAAACTTCCAGCATGCTGCTCAAGCAGAAAAGAAGCATGAAAAGAGCATACACAGGATGATCTCGAAGAACTGTCACAGATCGACATTTAAAGCATGCTGCTCAAACACAAAGAAGGACGCACAAAATGAATGCCCAGGCGCACGCGGATCAGTATGAACATAAAATAATATCTCGGGTTTAATGTCCCAAAAACCACCACATGATTAGGAGAGACGCCATAGTGCAGGCCTCCGTGAATATAAACCACTCTGGGGTTCCTTGACGTGCACCTAAATCTAAGTGCAGAGGTGAGCGCGAGCGTAGCAATTGCCACAGTTGGTACTTTATTATGTATGAGCAACTTCGGTCATATTCTCTAAGTGGCAGTAAGGGTCCCAGTGGCTGCTAAAAAAATTGCTTCCTAGAAGTAGGCAAGTGCTTTCAAAGTCATTGCATATTATGTTCCATTGTCCAATATATATTGGACAAATTCCACATTGCTGGGTCTCAGGAGGAGAAATTTTTCACCCTAAAGTTCCACAACGCATAATTTCTCGCCACTAGCTCCCGTTCCGGTGCGAAATTTTCTTTTGGTGTGATCAAGTGGATTTTGTATATCACTTCCAATGGAATCACTACCTAACAGTCTTCTAATTTTTATAGAAGCCAACCTGAGAATATTAAATCTCTGCTCTCCTCCTATTCCCAATCCCAATTTCAAATGATATACTATCGCCGCATTACAGTAAAAGCGCATTAATTGGAACTTACGGCTAATTCAAACTAATGCCACGATTCTGGCATGGTCTTGTGTATTTCTATAAGGGAAAGCTCCCCGATAATGAGAACCTGTCAGTACCCACAGCAGTTCCTTTGAACTGTTAGCTCTAGGCATTCATTGCTCCTTGCAGAAGTCAGCCAAGAGTGATCATAATGTGCTGTAAAACCCAACCAAACCACATTTAATAGAGGTGCAAAACATTGAAACAGCAATATTTCTCAGCAAATGAGAATTCTAATGCTGCGCTAGAGCTTATTGGCAAGCAATGCTCGTGGAATTGCGACAGAAGAAACGAAGCATATGCAAATTACTGATTACTTAATTTTTTGTATTATTGTGTTCACTCTGCCATGTAAATAATGTCTTTTGAAGCATAAATAGCGTCACGTATTATGACATTAAGGCTTACTGCTCAAATGAATACATGTAGGTGCTTGTTTCTGGCGTATCACTGACTGATCAATTAGCTCTTTTAACTGTTAGAGCTTCGTGCACTTAACTTACGAGATCACCTGCCACGAACATGTGGGAGTGCCCGATTCGTAATAACAAGTCTAGAGATGGCTTTTTTGGGTTCTGCCCGCGCAGTGCGGTGCGACGTACGTTCATGCTAGTGTCGGCCTGCTGATTTGAATTTCGTTTAATTCGAACAGTTTTATAGTCCCCATACGTGACTAGCCTTGTAACTCTGCTATATCTACAGGCATTGGTCACGGCTAGATGTTCACAAAGATGCTTTGGTACTTCTCTACTTGCACAGGCATGTACATTGACAATGTCGTGGCCGTGGCGCGCCGGGAACTTGCCTGGGAAGTCGACTACTTGCGGGAAGCCGAGTGTGCAAAAAAGTTCAAGTACGTGCTCAGCTCATGCTCTCAATATTTTCTTCCTAATTTTTAGACTAATATGAAACAAGAGGACAAAGGACAAAAACCTTGTTAATTGTGCCATAACCTTTTTAAATCCGATATGTTCCTAGGAAACTGGTGGAGCCATATCCTGAGTATTACGTCCCGGACGTCATCTGACGAATTGTCGGCGGCCCAGGTGTACACAACAGAGTTGATCTCGGGGACCCCTGTCGACAAGCTCGTCGACGCTTCGCAGGAACTGAGGAACCGGGCAAGTTGTCAACTTGCTGATCTTTACTCGTTTGTGTCTATTTTCTTCTACTCAAATAAACGTAAACCAAGGAGTCGTTATTTCACTTGGTTACTGGTAAGTTTTTGCGAATGATGCATGTTAAGTTCGAGGCTAATAGTAACTTTGGTCAAATAATTTCTAATCGAATTCAAGTAGTATATATCATATATGAAGAAAAATGGGAGTGTTTGTCCTGACCCGGCTAACGTGCAAAATATTGAAAACAAGGCTTGTGCAGTTTCTGGGGCATATAAGGTGGTATAACAAGCCTTTGAAAATGACAAATCAGTGTGAGGGCAATACGTTCAATTAACCTTGAAATGAAACAGTAAGGATTTTCTTTGGATGGGTGTTTTCCCGGCATAGCATCTCTTCACAGCAGTGAAACCACTTTTACAAAAGATTACGTGCGAATTAATATATTGTTACGTGATTTCGGCTGACTGAAACAGGGCATAGTGGGATATACTCAAAAAAAGGTGCCTCAGACTGAGAGTGAAGAAGTGGACGTTGTGGGTGAGCTGCATTGAGGCTGTAGACTGACTACTGTTATTTTCCACGTAACATTTTGGTGGAAGTGCTGGGTACTCTTCTGACAACGGAGCTACGCAGTGGACGCCTCCTTAACTTTGCTACCATGGCTCCAGGTGAGGATACGGCTTGGCCACCTACCTCAGCAACGACAGCAACCCGGTACGTCGCCCTAACGCAACCCCGTGATCCCGGTACTTTTACTGGAGAGGAAAACACGAATGTGGACAAGTGGCTTAGTATGTATGAGCGCGTCAGCAAGCAATATGGCTGGGACCCAACCGTTATGCTTGCGAATGTCATTTTCTATCTTGGCAAGACCCCTCGCATCTGGTTTGAGACCCATTAGCACGAAATCACAAGCTGGGAAATGTTTAAACAACAGCTCCGCGACCTCTTTGGCAACCCATTTGGTCAAGAGCTTGATGCCCAAAAGCAATTGGCCGTACGTACACAGATGTCCACTGAGCCCTACTTGACTTATATTCAAGACGTGTTAGCATTGTGTCAAAGGGGCGATCCCAACATGACTGAGGCCGACAAGATTTCGCAAGTTTTAAAAGGAATCGCCGACGATCCGTTCAGCCTGCTTGTATTTACCAACGTAACGACCATCGACGCCGTGATCAAAGAGTGTCGCCATCTCGAGCAGGCAAAGAGTCGACGCATTTTGCAGCAGTTACAGCGCCTACCCAACACCGCGGCAACATCGTCTTGCGAAGCCACTCTCTGTCATCCGTCTACGACCGAAGACGTGACGCGCATCATCCAACGTGAACTCGAGGCCGCTTACCCGGCTGCCAACAAACCGACGTTGCCCGACGCCTCAACGCCAGCTGTCGCCTTGATCCAGGCTGTTGTCCGTCAGGAATTCGCTAACCTTGGTATCCTGTCCACTGCACCTACCCTGCATAATACTGGTCCCTCGATAGCTTCTGTGAACATGAGACGTCGCCGTCCGTACTCTATTCGAACCAGGAACCCGTCTGAATGGCGAACAGCTGATGATAAGCCAATCTGCTTCCGCTGTGGTCGCGCAGGACACATCGCTCGTTACTACCGCAGCCAATGGCCATCTATGTCTTCTGGCTTGTACCCCGCTTACAGTAACTCATTCCATCCACCAAACCACCGTTATCCGACCCGCACTGAGTCTACAGCATTTACTGCTCCTGAGGACTACGGCCACGCTGTCCCGTCGTCACCACCGCCTCAAAGCCGCCCGTCTCGTTCAAATATGCGTCACTGCTCTCCCTTGCCATCATTTAACCACCGCGTGTCCCCGGAAAACTAGGCTGCGCAGCTTCTGGAGGTGAAGTCAAGTGCCCTGTCGACCTTACCCAAAATCCTCTGTTGCCCTTACGTTTGAACCGGAACACCCTAGAAGTATATGTTGATGGCACACCTGTTGAAGCTTTGATAGATACGGGCGCTCACGTCTGTATTATGAGTTCGCGTTTTCGTCATCGCATGAAGAAGGTCCTCACGCCCCCCTTGACCAGTGTCGTCCAAGTTGCAGATGGCGCAACAGTCCCTGTCGTCGGTATGTGCACAGCTCAACTTACCGTAGCCGGTCATCAAATGGTCGTCCTTTTTACCGTGCTTGCAACATGTCCCCACGACCTCATACTAGGCCTCGATTTTCTTGCCGCCAATTCTGCTCTGATTGATTGCTCCACTGGTGTGCTCCGCCTAGAACTGCCACAAATCAGTGACGCCCCATACCAACCTACATGTCGATTACAATGCAGCGACTTTGTTCACCTGCCCTCCAAAACTGTGACGTACATCGATTTTCTGTGCTCACCAGCTGTGCCCGACGGTGACTATTACGCTACACCTCTCACCGACGTACTCCTTGTGCACAATGTTGCAGTGCCCTATACGGTGCTCAGCATCACAGATAACAAAACTTGTCTACCACTTGTAAGTTTCGGCTACATGAATCATGTGCTTCCACAAGGCATTTCCGTGGCCCACCTGTGTCCGTTGCTCGATTCACAAATTGAAGTGCTTGCCTTAGACACCCTTGTTTCACCGCAGCGTACATCACTCGCAAGACATTTGGGTAGCCGTCAAATTGTAGACATGATCGCCACTGATCTTTCGCCTCCGCAAGTTGAAGCCCTACAACATCTTCTCGAGGCCTACCAGGATATTTTTTATTTTGGCGACCGACCTCTAGGGCAGACGTCCTTTGTCCGGCATCGCATACACACAGGTGATGCCAACCCTGTTCACCGCCGTCCCTACAGAGTGTCTGCTTTTGAGCAGAGCATAATTCAGAAGGAGGTGAACAAGATGCTAGCGAAGGACATTATTGAACCATCCTCCAGTCCCTGGGCATCTTCGGTGGTATTAGTTAAAAAGAAGACGGATCGTGGCGATTTTGTGTGGAACTATCGCCACCTTAACAACATCACCAAGAAAGATGCATACCCTCTGCCCCGCATTGACGACGCCCTTGATTGCCTCCATGGTGCCGCCTACTTTTCTTCCATCGATCTTCGTTCTGGTTATTGGCAGATTGCCGTGGACCCCATGGACCGAGAAAAGACGGCTTTTGTAACACCCGATGGCCTCTACCAATTCAAAGTCATGCCTTTCGGCCTATGTATTGCCCCCGCCACCTTTGAAAGAATGATGGACTCCCTGCTCCATGGATTCAAGTGGTCTACGTGTCTTTGTTATCTGGATGACGTGATCGTGTTAGCTCCCACTTTTGAAGTGCACCTTGAGAGACTGTCGAAAATTCTTGATGTAATCCGTCTCGCCAGCCTTCAGCTGAATTCATCCAAGTGCCGGTTTGGTCGCCGTTGCATTACAATACTTGGACATATTGTTGACGCTTACGGCGTACAGCCTGACCCAGAAAAAGTTCGAGCTGTGAAGGACTTTCCTGTGCCAAAAACTGGCAAATATGTCCGCAGCTTTGTGGGGCTCTGCTCCTATTTTCGGCGGTTCATCAAGAACTTCGCGGAAATCGCTCGGCCCCTAACAGATTTACTCAAACCAGATAAGACGTATACCTGGGGTCCCTCGCAAGCAGCATGAATTCTCCGACCTGACCACTTTGCTCACTTCTCCTGTGCTGGCTCACTTCGACCCTACCGGCACCGACCGAAGTCCGCACCGATGCCAGCGGTTACGAAATAGGCGCTGTGTTGGCTCAGCGACAACGTGGGCCGCATTCGCGTGATAGCTTATGCCAGGCAGGCTGCTATCCCCCTCGGAGCGTAATTATTCCATCACAAAGCATGAATGCCTAGCGCTGGTGTGGGCAGTCGCGAAATTTCGCCCTTACTTATACGGCCGACCATTTATAGTTCTCACCGACCACCACGCTCTTTGCTGGCTCGCCTCCCTCAAAGATCCCACAGGTCGTCTCGCCCGCTGGGCACTCCGCCTCCAGGAGTGTTCTTATACCGTAGTGTATAAATCAGGAAAACTGCACAAAGATGTGGATTGTCTGTCACGCTACCCTGTGGCCGACTGCGATCCTACGAGCACTGATTATGTGAGTTGCATCCTTTCCATATCCCAGCTGCTTCACCTCGGGGACGAGCAGCGTCGCGATCCGGATATCAGCCGCCTAATACAACAGCTCGAATCTTCACCGCAAGACCCTTCTGTTCGCATGTTTACCTTAAAGGACCACACCTTATATCGGCGTAATTTATCGCCCAATGGTCACGATCTACTTCTGGTCATACCAAAGCACCTGCGCTCCACAGTCCTACGCGAGCTCCATGACGCGCCAACCACCGGTCACCTTGGTGTCTCTCGCACATATGACCGTGTGCGCCGCCGCTTCTACTGGTCTGGCCTTTCACGCTCTGTACGTCGTTATGTCAATGCTTGTGAAATTTGCCAGTGTCGCAAAAAGCCGTCGGGACTCCCTTCCGGATATCTTCAGCTCATCGACATCCCATCAAAGCCATTCTTCCGTGTTGGTTTGGACCTTCTCGGTCCCTTCCCAACATCCGCCTTTGGAAACAAGTGGGTCGTGGTGGCTACCGATTACGCGACCCGTTACGCAGTTACGCGAGCCATGCCAACAAGCTGCACTACAGACGTCGCTGATTTTCTACTACGCATTCTCATTTTAGTGCATGGAGCCCCTCGTCAACTGCTGACAGACCGAGGCCGTACGTTCCTTTCGAAAGTGGTTGACGATATCCTGCGTTCCTGCTCTATCCAACATAAGCTCACGACATCGTACCATCCCCAGACAAACGGGCTTACAGAACGTTTAAACCGCACCCTGACAGACATGCTATCGAAATACGTCTCGGCCGACCATCGTGATTGGGACCTTGCACTACCCTACGTGACGTTCGCATACAATTCCTCCCGGCATGACACTGCTGGGTACTCGCCATTTTACCTTCTGTTTGGACGTGAACCAACATTGCCGTTGGATACCTTCCTACCAGCCGCTGCGCAGTCTACTTCTGAATAAGCACAAGACGCTATTACCCGAGCTGACCATGCTCGTCAGCTTGCCCGCAGCAGATTAAAATGGCGTCCCAAGACTCGCAGAAGCATCGTTACGACGAGCGGCATCACGACGAACACTTTCCAACAGGTTTTCTCGTTCTTCTTTGGTCCCCTACACGACATGCAGGCCTTTCAGAAAAACTTCTCTCTCGTTTCACGGGCCCATACCGCGTGCTTAGACGAGTGACCGACACTACATATGAAATTGTCCCTGATAATCCATCAACCTCTTCTACTCTGCTGTCAAGGGACATCGTCCACGTATCAAGGCTCAAGCGTTACCACACTGCTCCTGCTGTGGCCCCGTCGGGTCGCCGGGTCGGCGCTTTTGCTGCCGGGGGTCGCGTTGCGTGATTTCGGCTGACTGAAACAGGGCATTGCGGGATATACCCAAAAAAAGGTGCCTCAGACTGAGAGTAAAGAAGTGGACGTTGTCGGTGAGCTGCGTTGAGGCTGTAGACTGACTACTGTTATTTTCCACGTAACAATATGAAAAGTGCCTTCACGGCTTAGCATTTTTCTGGTGCAGTGAAAGCACCTTTTCAGGGAGTTACATGCGGATTAACATTGTTTATTTGTTCATTTCAAAAAATCCGAAATATTCAACAATTTTAATTTAGACCGAAGCGAATTCGAGTGTAGTAATATTCGTTCGAATATTTGAAACATTGGAATATTCGCACAAGCCTAGTTATTAGTAGAAAATGTTCGTTGAAAACGAAAATTCCGGCTGATCTCATGCAAGGTAACAATTGGCGTTACACGGAACAGTTAGCAAGAGGCTGGTTACACTGTATTATTTGACCTTAAGCTAAGCATTGCTCTAGTTATAGTTGCCAGTGTGTGCATTGCCTGTATGGGCTCCACAGGTTATGCCTAAATAAGCACATCGTCAAGAACATGCAGGGTGATGAAGGTTACAATTAACATTGCATCAGAGTGCGCAGTCCCAAGCCTCGTATCGAGGCTCATAACCTTGGATGCACTGCCTAGATTTTGCAAGATGGACAGTGGCAAATATGAAAATGACATATATAGTCATGCATTCAGACCTCATGTCATGCAATCACTGCTACCAATAAACCCATATCTGTATTCAACAACTGCTCATCTTCGTTATGACTTTAGCACATTGACTTAAGGTGATGTGGCAGCTTTTGCTGGAGCGCTCAAAAACTGTTGAACTATCGGTTATAACAAGGTGATTAAAAATAGTAGTCCTGTAATTGATGCAGTTTTGTGAATTTTGGTTTATTTTGGGATACACGTAGTGAAAGCATTTTTGTGTCAGATGCTATTTCCTGACGATGAGGCTAGACCATCAGTTTAACTTTAACTAGAAGCATCAGTCAAGTGAGGGTGCACTGTAAATATGTCAACATGAGCGTAAAAATTAAAGTGTGCCTCCTCCTCCTGTTGATATCTCCCTGCAGGTTTGCTATGGCCTGTTGAAATTGTGCCTGCTAGAGCTGTACGACTTCAACTTTATGCAGACAGACCCCAACTGGTCAAATTTCTTCTACAATGGTGACACCGACCAGGCAAGCAGTTCTCGCTAGTTATGCGTTATGCGAGTGTGAATGTTGAGGAAGATATGTGAAGAAAAAAAGAAGGATGATAGAGTGGCGTTCTAATCTTCGGCTCTGGCTGTGGCTCTTAATGAATCCTCATTAAACATAGTAGGCCAATGCTAAATAAAAAACAAAAGAAAACAATCAAGCCTTCTTGTATATAGCTTATACTAGCACATATTTAGGTTTCGCATGAACAGTTAATGATGCTTCTGCATGTGGCTTTGCAATACATCTTGCCTTTGACTTCCAAAGGCTTGCCTTTCACCAACCGATTGTAGTGTATTTGCCACATAATGTGCGCAAGCTATTTGCAAAGGAACTGGCGCTTGCTTGTTTGACTTGTGCAACACTGAAGCAATAGTTTGCCACTGTTCTGCAAATATTTTCCGACTTTCACGTTGTAGTTCTGACTGCTGTAGGTTGGCAAAGCACTTGGACATGGAATAATGTGCAAGTCGACTTGAAGTGATTTGATGCATAAAAAGGCACCCTGAAAGATGATGCAACTGTTTTAACATGAGCAAACATTCTTCCAAACTCTGTTAATTTTTTTTATGTTGATTATATTGCCTGCGAGAGAATGAGAATCAATACACTTTTTCAGTTTCACACCAATAACGTCACCGCCGGCACGCAAACACGATCTCGCTAATTTCAGAGCAGTACTTTCTCGCGCTTCAGTCTAGGCTGCGGAGTTGAACATTCCGAGTTCTGCTCCAGCCTTCCTTAGCACAGTGTCATAAACGAAATGGGCGTGGTTCAGCCCTTGTGTTAGGCCTAGTATTGGCAGTCAAGTAAGATTGTGTCCCAACGTTTTTCGTGGAACTTGTGGTGGTCATCGAAAGTCCTTTGATGCGAATCGGGGTGCGCAGCTCATGCTTCTTGACTTCGGGGCATGCCGGGAATACGACAAAAGCTTTGTGGACAAGTACATGCGGGTGATCAAGGCCGCAGCTGACCGCGACGAGTCCAAGGTGCTCGAATACTCCACGGATCTTGGCTTCCTCACGGGCTACGAAGCCAAGGTATGCCCTCACCATATATGTTTTCACATACAGCAAAAAGCAGCCCTTGGAACCAATCAAGATGAAGCGAGAGTAGTTTGGTGTCCACGTGACTTGGATAACACAAACAAAACGTTGGAAGCACTATCTTTTTGTAGCATAGATAGCATGACCTTTTACAAATGATCGGGTGTCAGAAACCACCCTTTTTTAAACTTCTGACTCATTTTGCAGATCTCGTTTTGTTTCAGCAAAAGTGCCCGGATTTCTCATTTGTGACCACGTAACGGCTTTTGCTTTTAGTTCCAAGTCTTTTTAAACTCAGCAGCAATAAGAGCTAAAGGATTTCGTGCTTAAAAATTGCGACTTTTATTAAACTGGATAGAATGAAACTTCTGGACTCATCAGCTTTGAGATAGTGTGTGTAACTCACAGCTGCTGCATCTTCAAATTATATCACACATAAAGGACAGCCTATACTCCAGCAAGAAGTTTTCAAACTATTTGTCATGTGTACATTTACACTAAATGTTTCCGGTATAATTAGTATATCGCAAAATATTGAGCTGTCCAATGGTTCACTACTGTAGTCACATTGAGTAAAGGAAAAATAGTTCGTACAAATGATCGCTTTCCATTTTCTCAGAAAAAAAAAAAAAAGTTCTGTAAACTATGTTTTCGGAAGTTTTGTAGCAGCAAAACTTATTGTTGAATATAGTGAGCAACAAAATACATAGTGCAATCTGCTCTTTTTCCTGCATTATGTGTCAGCTTGCCATAATTGTTAACCAATATGCACTTTGTCTGTGAATAAGTTATCATTGTTTATTCACTAATCATTAATGCGTATGGAACCACTTGCTTCAGGTGACCACATAGTTTATGAAGTAATCCAAGTTACTCGTAAATAGTGCTGTTTGAAACAGCAAAGCATGATGCCTTCACCATGCTTCTGCCGAGTTTGTTTTCAAATGTTCGATTTGTGTGTATATGTATATCATTGTGCGTGAGGTAATCGAACACCCATTATGCAGGTGTGCATAATGCCAGTCTTTGGCAATAACTACCGTAAGTTACTGATTACTGATAACACGCTATTGCCAAGAAGTTACCTTTTCATGAAACTTTGATCTCAATCTCATTGATTTTTTCGTTTGGTTATCTCGCAACTGCAACATCTACTATTTGCAACGCAACATTACTCCATTTAGTTCTAAAATGCAGGTAGGTGGTTTCATGTAACAAATAATGACATCTTAAAAATGAATGAAAATTTAAAAAATTGTATAAAGATGTAACCCAAGCAGATGATACTAATGTATGCGCATTATCAAAGAAAAAAGGGTGATCACTTTTTTCTGTCAACATTAAAGTAAAATAAAATCGTTGTATCATGTTTGCACTTGTAATTTTTTCATTACTGTTCTTACTATAACTGAATAATAATGTTGACTGATCAGCAGGCAGTAACTGTCGTTGTATATCAGGTTACTTTGTCGAAACTTGCAAGTGCTAACAAGGTTACTTTTTGCCCGCATCGGATCCGCGACTGATTATCAATCCTGACAAATTATGCGTTTCCACACGCGCAGGTGATGCAGAAGGCACACGTAGACGCAGTCATGATTCTGGGCGAAGCGTTCTCCAGGGACGGCCCCTTCAACTTCGGAATGCAAGACACGACGCGCCGGATTCAGAATCTGGTGCCCGTGATGCTGCAGCACCGGCTCACGCCGCCGCCCGAAGAGACGTACTCGCTGCACCGGAAGCTCTCTGGTATATTCCTGCTATGCGCCAAGTTGCGCGCCGACATCAACTGCAAGGAACTGTTCGACGAGACCTACGCTCGATACCGATTCCAGAGCTGATGCATTGTACGTAGGCAATTAGTAACAGTTTGACAGCGCTAGGGTGGTGTTAAGGATTATTTTTCATGAGGTTCAGTGACTGGCATGTTCTAACGTTGCAATCAAGTACAGAATGTGTTTAATTGTGATCATTTGTTACGAGCATTCACTCAATAAGACGATTTTTCATTTTTCTCAGGTACAGTTCACTGGATCAAACATTTGCCCAACTAATGATAACTTTAGTGATGGTTAAAATGAAAGCAACCTACTTAGCTGCGCATGTAAGGGCTCTTTCTTTGCACATATGTTTACTCTCAGAGCAGCATTCACATTTTTTTATGTCATGAGAATGAGCAAAAATGTTGTCATACGTGTTGCTCGCAAAAAGAAAACAGCAGTATGTCACTGTCAGCTAGACTAACTACTTTGCAGTAAACTATGACCCATGTCGAGGTCTTGCACAAGCAGACACACCTGCTTACATGAAAATATAGGCATTCAAAGCTCTTAAATGATGCACAGTTTGAAGCCAAGTCATGGCACGCTCAGACTTTATGTGTTCACGCTCACACTAATATGCATTTAATAATTTCAGTCAAATCAATCATCTTAGGCACAGTGCCCTTTGAACCTGCTGGAGCATTCAGTTTAAAAACTTGTCGCAAACATGGCAATTAAGTGGCAGCTTTGACCACGCAACATAAGCGCAGCGACGTAGAAATCGTGCAGAGGCATTGCGGTAATTAATGATCTCGGCGATGACCAATGAGCTAGTCATAGCACCTTATTACTTGTGAGAAATTAAAAGAGAAGTCATTATGGTGAATATAATTGCAAATATACTAGTATGTTTTGGACAGACGAACCCCCACCTAGACTTTCTTCCCTAGAGAGATGCACCACCTACCCAACTGGCATAGTCAGTGCAATTCTTCAACACCATGACGTGAATAAAGCCACAACTTAAAAATTTAGTTGTGTACTACTTAAAAATGCAAAAGAGGTGCCGTGGAAGCTGGTTGTTTCCATAGCTAGAAATAGTAGTTGCGTTCACATTTTCGTCAATGTTCTCCGATGGCGTAGTCATCAACCATTCGACTTGTGTGCATCCACAATTGTCCTGGAAATCGCACTGCATTCTAATGTTGTGTGCAATAAATTCTCGAAAGTTCTGGGGAGGTCTAGCATTTTTGAAGAAATTTCTTTATCGGAGGAATCACCTTGTATGTACAAATGCTTTTAAAGTTTGCTGGCAACAGTCTTTAGCTAAATTGAGGAGGATGTTCAGTCAAGTGAATTCGTTAACAAAACTTGTTCAGCAGTACCATACTCTTACAAAAAACACTTCGACAAATTGTGTCAATTCTTGAAGGAAATAAATTTGTGCCGCTTGTCACAAGTCTTACACATACAGGCATGCAAAAAATTAGCAAGCTCGTCTACTATACTAGTGCAAGCCTTAAAAACTGCCTTTGCAAGTTTTAGGGAACCAATACCGGTGTTTTGTTTCGTTTGTTTACATGTTCATGCACTTATAGATGGTGTTGAACAACTGTTGAAATAAAAGAAAAAAAAGCACACAGTGTTCTTTATGAAATATTTTTTATTCGAATCCTTCACATCGCTGCCTGCCCAAAAGGCACTGCAAGCTTCCTTGGACATCAGTAATCAAAACATTGTAGTTTTTTGACAAGTTCTGGTTTGAAACCACTTGTCCAACCAGTCTGAAAAAAAAAAAAAAAACGCGTTTGTCGAGGGAATGTTGTAATAACTTAGAAAGACGACAACGCGAGAACGTATGCTAGGACAGAAACAGTGTGCCACTTTTTCGTCACCGACCATGTCGTAATTTTAACCCTGCCAGCAGAGTCATTTCGAGTGTAGCGATACTCATTCACCAAGCTTTGCTAACTGGTAGTGCCAACGTCATTTTAGGGTTTAGTCAATGAATCGGCTTGAGTTGGCACTGACAAATAGTCAAATGGCACGATGGACATGTCAATATCGCAGAGCTTCATAGAAAATGGCAATCTGAGACCACTATTTAGTGAAATCGTCATTACGTTCCACCACTAGAAAAAGTGTGCAGATTTTTTTATAAACAGAAACTCTTTGCACTCTAGCCTTAAGCCTCTAGCCTTGTCTCGCCTTAAGAGTACTGCAGATATGCAAGGTGTGTGCAAAAAAAAAAAAAGCACTCCATCTTAGGCAATGAAGCTTTGCTATGAAAATTAGTCTGCTAACAATGTCAACGTAAATTAAATGGGAAAAAACTGCCATGAGACTTTTGTAGGTGTAGGAACTTGTCACTAACGTGTTTTTTTTATTGTTACAACATCAAAAATATTTTATTACCAGATACTATTATAGTTTTATTGGTTCATTAGGTACCTTAAAGTTTTAATCAATATAGAATTTTGTACTTTTGTTGCCAGAAGAAAGTCTTATAGTCATCGTTGTTCTTAAGGTATGCTCCTCTGCTAGCTTGTTGTTTGGCAAAGAAAAATAATGCAATGAGCATAGCGTGATTTCAGTTACAAGAGACACTGACTTCTGCAATTCGCAATGCGGCACGGCACCGTGTCAATAAGATGACATTTGCTGGGCTTTGCTGCGCACTTCCTTAGTCCTTTCAGGTAAAGTTCACGTTTTCCAACTAGAAAGCGAGTACTCATTCGCCATCTAATAATGAATGTGTAAGCCATCATACATGAAACATGAAGAAGCCGCAGGCAAATTCACAGCCAGGCAGATCCAGTCGGCACAACTCTCATTACCGGACACGCTCATCGAATAACTGCAGCACCAGGCTGCTGCGTTTCTAGTAGCATATTTATGAGACTCTGCGACGTATGCTCGCACTTCAAATTTCACGAACCTCCGCAAGCAATGACGACAAGCTTGTGAGCGCGAGTTATTCTCATGAAGTGCAGCGTGCTACAATGAGCAAATCATTGCTACAGCTTAATCAAGATTTACGGTGTAGCAGCAAACAAGAAGTGCTTGAAAATAAAAACTTGACAAGTGCGACGGTGATTGCGGCAGCCGAATGATTCCAGCTGCCGGTAATTGCTGCAAGGCTGTAAAAGTCAGTCCATTCGGACGGGCTATTCGGAGTACCGTAAATCGAGTGGTCTCAAGCTATCTTGAAACCACGGTTTGCTGTGGAAGAGCATTCTGCCTATAAAATGTGAATTTTTCCTCATTTACTGACAACTAGCATAACATTAACGATGTTACCTATTTTTTTCGAAGAACAGCTTAATTCCAACAGCACACTGCTCAAAGGTCTGCCAACATCCCTGTGTTTCCATTCTTTCCTTGTCTCGTGAACAGGCATTGGTTCGGAGAACAAACTTCTGCAAAGCTCGCAAGTGGCATACTTCGATCTTTTTGAAAGCATGACCTTTCATCAAAGATTCTCTTAGTCTAAAACAAACAAGTCATGCTTTTCCATCAATTCTATATTAGTAAACTGGCCATAACCTCATTAAAACCAAATGAGCCTTCGTAGACGCTGATGGTTACTTCATCCTTGCCAGTTCCTTGCCCCCTTTGAAACATGACAAAGCGCACTATGTGCAATAGAGTGAGCAAAAATGGAAAAAGCCCATTTCGAACAAGAGCCAAAAAATTTACAGTGTAAAACGGACAAGCGCACAGCATCACGCGTGCGACAATCTACGTGTTCTTTACTACAGTTCTTCATCGAGGTCTATTTCACCGCCATCGGTGCAGTCGCCCTCGGGCAGGAAGTTTCCGATGACAAGATCGGCGGGGCGCACGAAGCCGCCGTACTTCGGGGGGCACTCAAAGTACCGCTTTCCCGCGACGCTGCCGTCGTTCTTGCCCAATGGTAGGTCGTACCGTACGCCGACCCAGACACCAGGCTTGAAGTCGACCTCACCGACGTAGGCAACTGTGCCACGCCGCCTCGGCTGACCGGGGATGCCAACCACTTCACAGCGGTTCCCGACGTGAATGACCTGCGTGGAGAGAAAAAGTAAAGATAAAGTCTGGCTGCAGAGATAATCAAAAATTGCCAAAGCAGCTCATATGCTTCTACAGGGGTACACAAATATAAAAACATGCCAACATGATATCAAATGTTGCTATAGTCAACAATTGCTGATGAATTGTGACACGATCAACTGTCTATAAATGCATAAAATAAGCTAATTTCATGCCAAGGGTTGCAAATGTTAGAATAAACTGCTGTGTATTTTGCAGCAATTAATAAATAAATGATTATGACAATTTTTTGCCGTCAGTCATGCTATAGTTTTTCATAAAACTCAAATAACCCACTCAAACTATATGACTGCTGGACGTAAGCACAGTCAACTGCTGGAAGCGTGTATTTATAAAAGGGCAAAATCGCACTTTGAAATTCTCACCAGAACACTCCACGTCCAACGTCTTGTTAAACGCAGTACTGCGGTCACCAAATGGACCGTATAGCCAAGATAATTTAACCAGAAGTGACATAAAGACAGGGCCAAAATAGCATTTAATTTACCATTATATGGCTCAGCATTCGCAGTCTCTTCTTTGCCAAGATTGCGTGGAAATGGCAAAGTTAAGTCATGTCTCCAAACGACGACACAGTCTTGCAAACGTTTATTATTACAACATTTATGCAATCTTGAAAACTGTTCAAACAAAAAAGGTAGGAAAACAAAGATACACTACTGACTCGCTTCGCCATGCTTCTAGCAAACATTTCCAAATCGGCCAAGCGCCCACATCACACAGGCTCACGGCAAATTCGTAAAATTGACAATGGAGCGTCTAAACCACATGTAAGCCCCATGCACACCCGCTTTCTTTCGCAAGGAGAGTGCATAACTTCTAATTAATCGATGGAGTGATCATCAATCACCTTTAATATTTCCTTCTGCTTGCGCGCTTTCTCTTCCTCCAACTTGCGCGCCATCTCCTGCGCATCCTCGTTGAAACGGCCGAGCCCGTGCTTCTGCATGAACGCCCGTGCTGAGTCGTTACGTCGGTTGTAGGCCTCCTCAGACAGCTGCACCTGTAGGCAAAGGCAGCGAAAGAAAGAGAGATGTTTTAAAAGACTCGTATCTTAACTGTCATCCAAGCCATACATTTTGGTTGATATACTCGTCTCAGAAAAGTGTGTAGGCACCCCAGCCACCCTCTAGCAACGAACCCGCTTTTCCTCCTCCTTACCGCTCTGACATCGTCGCAAAGGCAAACTAATTACTGTGTGGACCACTACATCTCATATCTACTCTTTAAGGAGATAGACTGCTTTTCTAACACTATAAATTCCTTGACTGCATTTGACGAAACTTGTCATGTTTTTGTATATTTTTGCACCAATATTAAATCATTATTTTCTTAGTACAATATACAGTGTTTGAAATATCATGCACTTTTGTAGCTTTTTTCAGAAAGTATTTTTCCTAATCTAGGAGAATTGCGAAATACACTGGACTCCAAGTAAACGAAAATCTGTTAAACGAAATCACTGCATATATGAAACAAGTGCTTTTGACAAGATCGGTTTCATTCTTACAATCAGCATTCCTGGTCATCTTTCAGTACACAGAACGCCTGGTAAACGAAATGTATTTTAATAGTCCCTTCACGTTTTCTTTCATTAGGGTCTACCGCAAATCAACATATATAACAATAATCTGAAATGAGTACTCTACTGAAGCAAACAAGAATGCATGTTCTAAACCCATTTCAACAAAAGTTATGGTATGTGAGTGAAATCTCAGCTTGATGCAAGTTCCAACGAAGTAAATCAAATATTTCAAGAAGTATCTACAGAGCGGCACCCCTCTCAAGAGGACGCTACGCGGAAAAGCAATTTCTGATCTTCTGGTACGTCGCATCTATTCTTTCCCTCTTTCATCGTCTCCACTCTGCTCGCTACTGTAAACGAAATGAAAGTGGCAAAGCTCACAGCGTGAGATTTCTTGCCATCAAAATTAGTAGTCTAAGTGTCGGTTCGATCGCTGCACCATCTGACCACTATGTTTATTCAGCCGCGACGCCGAACACTAAGTGGTCAGAAAGTGGCCCTTCGAAAAGAAAGAATTGAAATAAAAGTCCCAACCACTTTGAATAATTTTATGCAGTCAAATAACCCCTTCAGGTGTACATTATGAAGCACTGTCTACGAACGTGTCAAATTCACATGGCATAAATTTAAGGAATTCAATAATATTACATTCCGAGAAAAAAAATGAAGCAGTGTGTTGCTTCAATTTTCTGCAATGAATTGCAATAAGCATGTAACTAAACATTTATTATTCTGCAGTCAGTCAAGTTTCATATTCCCATTAAAAATATGGAACCTTACGCGCTATATGTGTGCACAATTAGATTTTAGTACAGCCGACTCTCGTTAATACGAAGTTCAGGGAGACCGCGAAAAACTTCGAATTAAGTGGAATTCCAATTAACCACAATGAACGAAAAATACATTTATTCCAAAGCAATTTATGAGAAAAAATCCGATTGCTGTTTGCTTCTGTTTGCTGAATCTTGCAGCAGAAAGCAAGTCCTGCAGGCTGTATATGTGCCCGAGTGCTTCCTCGGTGTTGCTCTCGGCAGTGAAAAACCGCTGCGCGAGTGCAAGGCCTGCGCGTACATCAGCAGCCTGCGGTAGTGGCTCACTTGCGGCGTCGTCGTCGTCAACCTCAGTTTCGTGACTACGCTCGCTGGGCCGAACGATCTCCACAATCTCAGTGTCCGAAAGTGCACCGCACGTTTCTACCGAACTGTCAGTGGCAATGTACTCCTCGAAAGGGACATCGCCGAGAGCTGGCAGGAGACCATCAACGTCAAGCTCACTTGTGTTTCCTTGCCCCACTGTACATTACGCCAAGTCAAGCGTCTGATAAGGCCCGTGAGTTGCCATAGTAAATGCACGTGGAGCTTCGCCGCACGTGAAAACGCTGAGTCCGCACACGACCGTAACGAGATCAAACAATGAAGCCCAGAACCGGAACCGCCGGAGCAGCCGCTTCGTGATTTGGGGCGCTGCATGCAACTGCGGTGCCATCAGCTGACGCTTTGAGCTGCGGCGCTGTGGTCAACTGCGATGCCCTTGGGTGCCGGTCGCACATGCATTGTTGTTTAGCACTTCAAAAATAGGAAATTTAACAAACATTACGATTTTTCTGGGAATTCGATTGAAAATAAATTCGAATTAACCGAAATTTCAGACCTCTAGCTTCCAATTACCGAGAATTTCTTCCTGTTGAACTGCATGCAAAACTGGCGGGACCCCCACTCCACTTTCAATTAAGCGACTTCGAATTATCGGGAGTCGACTGTAGTATGTATTCATTTCAACAAAAGAAAAGTAATATTTATAATGTTGATGCTAGAATGGAATACATCAAACGACCTGTTGAACATACAGTGATTGTTTACAGTCATACACACAAGCTCAGTTCATCCAATGAGCTATGCATCTTGCCCTCTTTTAGCCAGTGGACACAACTAGCATACAGAAGTTGAGTACACAAACATAGCCACCACTGCTGAAGGGAACAATCCAGAAATTAAAGAGAAATAAAATTGGTAGCTGGCAAACTACACGGGAGCAGCGATTGATGTTAGGGTCACATGGTTGACTGAAATGAGCACGAATTCAAAAAATTACACCTTCTCCCGATGAAGGGAACCACGTGAGAATGCAAAGCAGCGCAGGTGTTCATTTGTGTTTTCATTTGTGTTTTAATTTGTTGTTTCCATTTGTACGCTTCCACGTAGGATTCATTTGTGTATGGAGTTGTGTATATGTTGTGTACCACTTATGTTAGCCCCCCTCCCAATTGTGTGTATTATCATGCATGTGCCGCAAAGTGAACACCCAGCGCTGTTAGGAGAGTGCAACAAAGCAAGCAAGCGCAGCATTACATATGAGCGCACAGCTGTGGCAGAGAAATTAATGGGAGAGGAGAAACGAAGCAGAGGTAGCGCTATGCCACCTTCTCCCACTTCCTCGTACTCAGGTGAACAGAAGGCCTTCGGTGAACATCCACTGCCCCACTGCGCATGCATCTACTCTCCCCCCTTTCCTCGCGTGAGTACGAGAACAGTCTTCTAAAATTAACTAGAGGGGACTCTGGCACTGCGACTGTTCAGTGACCGTGAGAATTATGGGAATGACATGGATTCGCCAAGTTCTTGTGCTTGCGGGCGACGAACGCACTTGTGGCTTCGTTTATTGTGTTTTGTTTTTGTTCCAAAGAAAAAAACAGTCTTTCACTTCACAACCGCATTTCAAGTGGTAAGCCTAAATGATTAAGGTGGTGAAGCGTAGCTGCCGAACATTTGCCAATCGTTTCGTGTCAAGGCAGCTTCAAACCACGCGAAGCCAAAATGAACATAAAGTACGAAGACTAGGCAAATCCGTGTCATACCCATAACTCCCATGCTCGCTGAAGCGCCGTGCGTTGCAGCTCCCATAGACACTAGCGTCAGAGTTCCCTCTAAGTGTATACAGTCGACTCCCGGTAATTCGAAGTCGCTTAATTGGAAGTTTTGGTTAATTAGAAATGAGCAAGTGGTCCCATCAGTTTTGCATGCAATCGTATAGAAAAAAATGCTCGATAATTCGAAGTTAAAAACCCATAATATTGGTTAATTAGAAGTTTTTTCAATCGACAGTTTCGTCGCGACCGTAATTTTACAGTAAAATGGGGAACTTTTCATATGCCAAAACATCTGCCGGACCGCGCTGGTGTCTTCGCCATCACTACTGTCTGCAGCGCCACAGATCTTGAAGCGGCAATCTTTTTAACGCTGGCGAATCGCATCGGCGGCATCGACTGACTCTTTAGTTGACTTTTGTCGAGACTTGAGTGTGTCACCGCGTCACCCGCGCGCTGGGTTGATTCCACACGTGTTTCCGCGCTTCTGATTTTGAGTGTTGTGGTGGTGACGTACGTTTGATAATGGCAACTCGTGGCCCTTACCGAACGCTAGACCTAGCGACGAAAGTCGAAGTCTTGAAGGAAGTTGACCAGGGAGGCACCGCCAAACAAGACATTGCAAGAAAGTACGGCATTAAGCCTAACACGCTGTCGACTTTCATAAAGAATAAGCGCTCAATATTGGATGCGTTTGAAAGCGAAAAATTCAAGACATCGCGGAAGCGGATGCGCACCGGCGCCTACCCCGAGTTGGAGGAAGCACTGCTGATTTGGATCAGAGAGGCACGAAACAACAAACTTCTTCTCAGTGGTGAAGTCGTCACAGCAAAAGCGTCATCGCTTGCTGAAATGTTGGGCATCAACGACTTCGCTGCTTCGGATGGGTGGCTTACGCGTTTCAAACATCGCCACGACTTGATTTTTAAAAGCGTGTGTGGGGAGAAGGCGTCAGTCGATGAGGAAACGTGCCTGACATGGAAAGCGGGCAAGCTTCGCGAGTACCTCGAAGAATACCAGCCGGCAGACATTTTTAATGCAGACGAGACTGCGCTTTTTTATCGGCTGCTACCGGATAAGACCCTGACATTTAAAGACCACGACTGTTCTGGAGGCAAAAGAAGCAAAGAGAGAGTGTCAGTGCTAGTCGCGGCGAACATGACTGGCACAGAACGGTGTCGCCTGCTTGTGATCGGGAAGGCTGCCAAGCCTAGGTGCTTTAAAGGCGTGAAGACGCTTTCTGTGGATTATGCCTCGAACAGAAAGGCGTGGATGACATCCGATATATTTAAGGACTGGATCACCAAACTCGACCGCAAGTTCGCGCAATCAAGCCATAAGGTGTTGTTCCTTGTGGACCAATGGAGTGCCCACATGGACGTACCTGCCTTGAGTGCCATCCGTCTTGTGTACCTGCCTGCAAACACGACGTCCGTGTTGCAGCCCATGGACCAGGGCATAATAAAAAATGTGAAGGTATTGTATAGACAGCATCTCGTCGAGCGCATGCTTTTGTGCATGGACAACTCGTCGCAATACGAGGTGAGTTTGCTTAGTGCCATCAACATGCTAGCGCGAGCTTGGACTCGCGTGAAAGAAGAAACCATCGCCAATTGTTTCCGGGCCTATGGTTTCATGGAAAACTCGGGGGATGCTTCTCCTTGTGCGCCAGTGGAAGTGCAAACAAATGAGCTCGACGACGGTAGCTTTCGCGCCGCTCTCGATGACGTCCGTTTTGACGAGTATGTCGCTGTGGACAGCAACGTCGAAACATGCGGTCCACTAACGGACAGCGAAATCGTGCAGATGGTTCGGCCCCATGACTGCATTCCTGAAAATGACGATGATGACGACGACATCGGAAATGAGCCACCACCGAGGGCTGCCGATGTAGCTGCGGGTCTTGCTCTTGCGCAGCGGTTTTTTGTTGGAGAACACAACGCCGAAGAAGCACTTCAACAAGTGTATTCCTTACAAAACTTGCTAGCCGCAGCCAGATTCGGCAAGCAGAAGAAGATGACAGACTATTTTTCCTCAAAACTGTCGCGCTTTTAAACTAATAAAAGTGCTGTTTTTAGTGCTTTTTGCCTTAATTCAAAGTTCGCTTATTTCGAAGTTTTTTGCGGTTCCCGTGAACTTCGTATTAACGGGAGTCGACTGTATTTAGAAAAATCTATGAGCACGAGAAGTGGGGAACAGTTGGTGCATGAGCAGTAAGGGTGGTCACGGCACACCAGATTGAACTCTGCCATAAGCTGCTTCGCACTTAAAAAATAAATAATAATAATAATAATAGTAATAATAATAATAATATACGGGGTTTTACCTCCCTACATACACCACAACATTATTGTAAGAGGTGCTGCAGTGGAAGGGTTCCGTAAATTTCGACCATCTGGTGTTCTTTGATGTGCACCGACTCGCACAGCACACAGCCTTCTGTGATTTCACCTCCATCGAAATGTGATCGCCAAAGCAGGGATTGAACCTGTGACCTTCGGGTCAGCAGCCAGGCATTTGACTGCTACACCACTACAGCGAACAGTGGAGAGAACAAGAAGAGCAGCTCATGCAGTACCAACCTTCGGCACTTTTGAGAGGTCCTTAAATTCATCGGTGTTCAACAGCGGGTCAGAGACGTGCAGCACGAGGCCGTCGCAGACAGGGTAGGCGTCGAGGCATGCGCAGTCGTCGTCTGTGAGGTTCTTGATTACTCTGGCGTCGCCCGAATCACGCAGCTCCAGCCTCATCGAGTCTGCAGAGGCACCTGTCAAGGAGAAAAAAACAACACAAAGTTCAATCTTGTCAGTAAGTAAAGTAACGGCCTAACGAAACAAACAAAACATTGGAGTAGAGTAGGTATCACGAGTGACAAGTCGAAAACGATACCTAAAACCACTGATCATATTTATTCATTTATTTATTTTGTACTGCAAGATTGTTTTACAAACCACGGACAGGAGTCGACTGTAGAAAAAAAGAAAAATGTGAAAGTTCCGTAAAAACAATGTGAGACAAATCTGAAAAAATTCTGAAATCTGCACTGAACAATTTTACAGCATGCGAAGCACAGGAAACAATGAAATCCAGTGAAATGCACACGATACTGCAGGTGAAAATATTGACAAGAAATGCAGAGCCCACAGAGAGTAGCATTAGAAAACTTAAAACAAATAAAAAAGGCAAGAAAAAAATGTCAAGAATGTGCAATAGAGCACATGCTTACAGTGGTCTGCTCTGGCAATTGAAAGGAGGGTGGTTATTACATTTTTTTTTATCGCACAATGTCTCCAAAGCAGCAGACAATACAGGAAACATCTCAGGCCAGATATTAGCAAAAGCATGCACGAATGACGATATGGTTAGGTTCTGCAGTACATTATATACGTAGTTGACATTATCTATATATCTCTACAGTTTGTCATATGGTTGACAAAGATACCTCGGGCCACAGGTTAGCGTTCAGGCCGAAACACTGTCAATAATATGCACCTTGCAGTAAAGAGAACAAAATACAGTCAGACCTCTTTATAAGAGACAAATGCGTGCAACAGAAATAAGTGTGCCTACACTGAAACGGGGGTTGATAAGAAAATGCATGCGTGGTGCCTTGCTTTCACGAGCCACCTCATATCAAAGACACGTATTGCGCCCCAGTGCATGTATTTAATAAAAATTTTGAACTGTAATGTGTTTTACTTAACCCTAACTTGCTGGTATTTCACTCGCCAAAGACTGTAGAGTCCTCAGAGAATGAAAGTGACGTCGAAACTTCAAAGTACAACTGGCCCACGGCAACTGGTAAATGCAATTTCTTGATTGATTGATTGATATGTGGAGTTTAACGTCCCAAAACCACCATACGATTATGAGAAATGCCGTAGTAGAAGGCCCCGGTAATTTCGACCACCTGAGGTTCTTCAACGTGCACCCAAATCTGAGCACGTGGGCCTCACACATTTTTGCCTCCATCGAATATTATGCAGCCGCCGCAGCTGGTAACCGAACCCGCAACCTGCGGGTCAGCAGCCGAGTACCTTAACCACCGTGGCGGGGCAATGCCGTTTTTCAACACAACCCCGTCACGTCTCATGAAATATTGCCACTAAACATGGTTGGCTCATATTCAAGAGTACGGATCATTATTACACTGATGTGAGATGAACTGAAGGCTAGAAGCAAAAGTATGTGCACCGCTTGGCCCTAAATCAACACACTTCTTTCTACAAGCACTATGCCCAACAGGAATGTTTTATAACAACCAGGTTAATTCCTTCAAAGCTCGCAATTATAACTTCTTTCATTTTTCAAAGGATATTGTTGTTGCATAAGGCAGGCAACTCTGTGGAGTATCGAAATGCACTTGAAACTGTCATGCTGAATGATGCCATCACTGCCAAGTGATGACGAGTGACACACAACAAAGCCACTCCTACTCTCACACGAGTGGCTTTTTTAGTTCTAACACTGCAGAAGTGCAATGCTATTCTCTAACGCTGCTCATAAAGTGCCTATTTATAGCATCAGTGGTTTCCAACAGAAAACAACCCACTACGATGATTGGAAGCACGTGGAAATTTGAGTGGGCTGACCAGTATGACAAAGTGTCGCTCGCACAGAATATTTTAGTTGGACCACATTACACTATTCTTTAGAATAATAAGAATAAAGCTGCGCTAAGTACAAAATATTTTACTTAATAAAAGTTTATGCCAGAGAAATGCACATGTCTTAATTTTTCTGCATTCTCCCAGGATTTTTCTTTCTATGTATTGTTACATGTCCATATGCTTGGCCTTTGCACAACTGTATACTTAAAAAAATTGAACAAATGCTACCTTTCTATAGGGATGCAATGCAAAGAAGTGAGAGTTCATCGCTAATAATACAGTAGACTTTCGTAAAATGGAACCTGAAGGGACCAGAAAAATGTGTTTCACTTACAGGGGCACAGAATACAAGTACTACACCAATCATATTAGAGACAGTCGTTCTCATTTAAGCAGCTATTCCACTTTAACAGGTTTTTGTTTACAGAGATTTGATTGGTTAATATGTGGGGGTTTAACGCCTCAAAACCACCATATAATTATGAGAGACGCCGTAGTAAAGGGTTCTGGAAATTTCGACCACCTGGGGTTCTTTAACAAGCACCCAAATTTGAGCACACGGGCCTACAGCATTTTTGCCTCCATCGGAAATGAAGTTCAGATTCGATCCCGCGACCTGCGGGTCAGCTGCCGAGTACCTTAGCCACTAGAACACCGCAGCGGGGCATCGTTTACAGAGAGTCTATTATACATGCACGTAGCAAACTCACCTGTGATGAGTTCTAGCTTCTGCTTGATCTCCCGAATTGTGTTTGTGACAGGGAACTTGCGCTCCGAGTAATGCTGGTTCCCTTCGGTAATGACGATCAGCTTGACAAAGGCCGGCGAAGCATCGCCTCTCTCGCACATTGTGAACGTGTGTTTTTCCCGAGCTGCCTCTAGGGAACAAGAAGGAAAAAAAGATTAACGAGGAAAAGTACAAAGAAAGCGATGAAAGGGACACCACTTTCATTCCTTTTGTGCCTAGCCTCCAGGCACTGCTTCGTAACTAAACATGAACTATCACCAACTCGCCAAACTTTCAACTTTACTACTTGAGTTGGTTGGTCAAACTATTATCAGTCCTGAGAGATGTGACAAGGTAACAATACATGTCATCTATATTTAGCTCACCAGGGTTGTTTTCTTTTTGCCAAACCTACTCCACCAGACATCACAATGTAGCCAACATTGTTTCTTTTTTCTTTCAACACAATATCTTCCTGGGCTTCCTTCATCAACTTTCAGAAATTAGATGTTCAGAGGAAGATCGAGATTTAAGGCAAAGCAAGACATTCAAGGGGGAACGTCCCAGAAGGAAACGTTCTGACTAGAGGACGTGTGTTCTGACAAGGAAGAAAATTTTTAAGATGTTGGCATTTCCTTTGCGTACTTATTTTTCTCTGCTCATTTGCATAGGCTCTACTACTGAGTGCTCAACATTAGGTTTCTAGAACAGTCAAGCTGCAGCTTTCATCTACAAATCATCAATATATATTGTAAGACGAGAAACGTGAACTGCCTTCCCGCAGTTGATGTCTTCAAAAGAAGTGAAGAAGGTAAGTCCTCATTCCTTCATTAGGAAGACCTTTTGTGGAGATTTCGAGAAGGGGACCCATCTTGCACAAGTCCTGTAGTAAAAATGCTGCCTACAGCAAGCCCTCATCTAATTATTTTTTATGTAGTGAGGTATGATGTCTCACGATAATTTCTTACCGAATTAAGCTACCTTACGTAATTGCATACACTAGCAGAAACTGATTCAGCTGCTGCGGTTGAAGATACATTAAAGAGAAAAACCATTTTTATCCTAAAATCGAATTACTTTTCCATAATACCGAAATTACCACGGTTTCCACAAGAATATGCTTGGCAATAGATAAAATATGCAAAAAACAAAATGAGATTGGCTATCCCACCTTGAAATTCCCGCACCAATCGCCATGACTATATAGATATTTTGACGGTGACTGCTAGAAACTACATAGCTCTTAATTATTAAAAACGAAGTACAATGTGCTCAAAGGTAGGCGTATACTTAACACACTAAGCTTCAGTAAAGTTTGTTGAGCCAATGTTGCCATGCTACGAAAAACTGACTTTTAAATCCGTAACATCACACACAGAGTGCGAAATTCAAAGCGACTGTCACTTTCTCGTCTATTAATGTCTATTATGATGACATTATCACTAGTGTTTAAAGAGCCCAATTTATCAATCAAAACCAATTCATTGTATCGCTCTAGTGAACCATTAAAGTGCCATTGAGTTGCTGATAACACCAAGAATATGAACTATTTGCTACAAGTTTTTGAAGTGAACCGAGATGTTTTTCGGGAGCCTGAAGTTCACACCGTATAATAATGTTGTGAATAGAAGACCTTGTTTCCAATTTCTACCCACATTAGCTAGCCCAAAGTTTCGAATTTGGTTAGCATCAACAAGTACAACATTTAATTCACTTATGAAAAAATAAGTCATGTCAAAGTGATGTACAGTGTCAATTTTTCTGAAAGGGAACACGGGAGCGCGTGGCCTTGCGCGCTTCGGCAGCTGCTGGCAGCGCGTTTAAGTGGAAGCGAGAGCAACCAGTCTCTTTTCGCGTCATCTCGCGGCGAGTATAGCGACCATTCATTGCTGATATGTAACCAGCAGCAAGATTGCGACCTCTTTCCCTTCAAGGAAATTGCACGAGAGCCGGTAATCGCCTTGAAGGGGGAGGAGTTGCAATCTTGCTATTCTATATTAATAACGAATTGTTGTTTTGCTCGCCGCGAGATGGCACAAAAAGAGACTGTGGTTGTTTTAGTAGTGATGCGACGGCTTGGTCGAGCAAAGTCGAGCAGGTCGGTTGGTGCAGAAGCAGCGTGCAACGAGAGATAAGGTTTTCTTTTATTTGTTTGTGTTTGTGAACACCATTATTTTTTTCTCTCCTAATCAATAACTTGCGAGTACTGTGGGTGTGGGACACGGGCAACGTCACAGTGACGTTGACCATGTGAACGGGGTCCGCACGTGTGTGTGCGGTGTAGGTGCCAGCTTCAAACAGTTGTTGAGGTAGGAGAGTTAGCGGAGGCGGCTGAATAGCGGGATTAGGGCTGAACTTAGGGCTGTCGGGTGCTCGGTCCAATGGTCGAGCGGGCGATGGCTAAAGAGACTAGGAAAACCACGGGCGAGAGTGAGCTGGTGCAGTGCGAAGAATGCAAGCGCTGGTGCTACTTAGGCGAGACAGCATTCACGAGTTTGACCGACGCGCAGATGGCGAGCTTCGTGTGCAGGCTGTGCGAGGCACTGAAGGCGGCCGTGCAGCGCATGGAGGCTAGCATCGAGGGGCTTCAGCGGGAGCTTAAGGTGGAATGGGAGCAGAGGATAGAACTCCAAAAACAGCTCGGAGCGTCGCATGAGCGGGAGGAGGCTACCCCCAGCCTATTAGAGGAAATGAAAGGCGACCTTCAAAAAGAACGGGAAGGGCGACCGAGCTCGAGCAGCGGGTAAAGGAGCTAATGGCGCTGTTTTCCGCCCCCGAGCAGTGCGAGACGAAAGGCGTGGGTAGTGGAGAAGGCGACAGGCGGGAAGGAACAGGCGAGAAGGGAGGTCAGGGGGCCGCAGTGTCTGGCCACAGCACGGAGGCTCCGAGAACATACAACTCGGTGGCGCGGCAGTCTTCGAGCAGGGCAGGAACACAGCAGAGACAGTAGAGAGAGAAACAGGTGAAGCAAACAGGGGCGCCATCACAAACAGGAAGCCAGCGATTGGAGTGTAGAAAGGTCCTAGTGGTGGGGGACTAACGTGGCCAGGGTAAGGGATGGCTTCTTCACGACAGTGAAAGAAGATGGGAGAGCGAGGGTGGAGGCCCAGTCAGGGAAGGGCATGGTGGATGCACTGACCAAAGCTCAGGAGGTTGTAGAGAACGGCATGGAGGGCAAAAATCTCGTCATTATTCATGCTGGTCTTAATGTGTTAAAGGGCCAGAATCAGAACCTTCAGAGACAGAGGATGGGAAGCGTAAGCTCCGAGGCACCTTTGGGAATGTGCATGTGACCATATGCACAGTCCCAGAGGTCTGGGGGCAGTCTCTTGGGATTGAAAGGAGGGTAGTAGAGGCCAACTGAGTGATCAAGGGTATGAGACGGCAGCTCGATTACAGCGTAATGGAAGTGAACCAAGACCTGCATGAGCCCTGGCGCTCGCCCCTTAGCACAGGATGGCATTCATTACAGTGGTGCGACGAGCAAGAGGGTTGGTAATAGGATGGGTCGTCAAGCCACTGCTTTTTTAGGGGAACGCAGAGCCCTGTGGCAAGCAGTGTGGCCAAAGGCGGTTCTAAAGGGCACAAATATTCAAGCCACATGGGGTCCGTAGGAGAAGAAATCGACGTAAGCCCAAGGGCCGAGCTAAGTCAGACATAGGCTATATTAACATGCAGGGTGGCTGGAATAGCTTAAAGTGGGAAGAGATAGAAAAGCAGTTAAGGCAGGAGGAGTTGATGGTATGTCGGGTTGTAAAAATACATCTTCGGGGCACAGAGCACCTTGCCATCTGGACTACGTATGGGAATATTGCAATAAAACAGAAAGCAGCAAAAAAGGGGTGGAATTGGTGCATTTATACATAAAAGTATGAGTTGGCGAAGAGTCAAACAGGGATGCATGGAACACTTATGGTTAAGAGGGAAAGTAGCTGGGCAGATGACACTCCTTGGTTTGCTGTACTCGTGGACAAGAGCAAAGGCAAGAGAAGAAAACCAGGCAATGGTGCAGTGCATATCAAAGGTAGCTGGGCAGATGACACTCCTTGGTTTGCTGTACTCGTGGACAAGAGCAAAGGCAAGAGAAGAAAACCAGGCAATGGTGCAGTGCATATCAAAGGACACTGAGGAATCAGGAGGAGGGTGCAAGATAAGTATACTAGGAGATATGAATGTGAACATACAAGATATAGATGGGTATACCGACCCAACAGGTAAAATGATCATGGATATGTGTGAAAGACATGATTTATTGATTTGCAACAGTACTGAGAAGTGTGAATGGCAAATAACAACGGAGGTAGGAAGGCTGCAGTCGACGATAGATTATGCACTGATGTCACATTGGATGTATAATAGGCTCTGGGGAATGCACATTGATGAGTGCGGCTCCAGAAGTCTGGGTACTGATCACAAAAATATCAAGCTTTTGGAAGAGCAAAAAAAGTGGGAAGGAGACAAGATGAGCAACTACAGGAAAATTTTTATTCAGAAAGGCAAATAGAAATAGCTACTAAACAAATTGAGAAAGTGATCACTGAGGATAATAAAACAGCATGGACATACACAAATCTAATTAGACTGAGCTAGAGCTTGCTAAGGCCCGTGACAAGTCACCCTGGAAAAGAAGACACAAACCCAAGAGTTGATGGGATGAAGAAGTTAAGAGAGCCATAGCAAAACATCAGGAAGCCTCTAGGGAACACAGACGTGCTAAGCAGCGGGGTGAACTGACAGATGATGTTGAAAGAAAATGGGAAATCTTTCTAAGCTGTAGAAGGCATGCATCCCTTCTGATCAATGAAAAGATTACAAGAAAAGGAGCTCAGTGGCTGGCAGAAGTACATAAAAAAAGATAGAAAGGCAGCTGCAAAATTTCGGAACCATCTAAACTCCCTAAGAAATGAGACTAGCCTTGAGCAGAGGTTTATAACTACAGCTCAACGTGCTAGGATAGAGGAGGACGAAGCTATTGAATATATGAGAACAAGGGTGACAGAAAAATTTCAACAAAAAAGTGCTTTGCATGCCACAATAGACAAGGATGAATCAAGTGGCGCAATGGCTCCATTTTCACAATGACAGTGGGAAAGTGCTGAGAAGAGGGTTCCACGATAGTATATCAACAGGCCCAGATGGCATTCCAATTATGCTGATAAAAACATTGGGTCCTAAGTCTAAACATACTTCGAGAGAGGCAGTGAGCAGAGCAATAATCAATGATGAAGTCCCCGATGGATGGAAACTTAGCAGGATGAGCATGATCTATAAAGGAAAGGGGGACAAAGCTGACATAAACAACTACCGTCCTATAACAGTGACATCAGTGGTCTACAGGCTGGCGATGCAGATTATAAAGGAAAGACTACAGGCATGGATAGAGCATGAGGGGCTGCTGGGAACTGCAGAATGGGTTTCGGAAACACAGGAGGGTGGAAGACAATCTGTTCTCACTGACGCAGTGCATCGAAATAGCAGAAAAGGAACACATGCCCCTGTGGCTAGCATTTTTGGATATCAAGGGAGCATACGATAGCATGGTCCAAGAGGACTTAAGGGGAATACTGGACACACTAGGCGTGGAAGATGGAGTCGCTAATATTTTAAAGGATATCTATAAAAGTAACACGGTAGTTATAAAGTGGAAAAAACAGGTATCCAAGCCCAGAGAAATAAAACGGGGGCTTAGGCAGGGGTGTCCTCTATCACCCTAATTATTCATGATGTACCTACAAGGATTAGAGGCCAAATTAGAGGGAAGGGAACTGAGCTAGAACCTCTCTTTCGTCAAAGAAGGAAAACTCATTGAACAGGCACTACCAGCATTGATGTATGCAGACGATATAGTAATAATGCCCAACAACAAGAAAGATTTGCAGATATTGATGGGCATCTGCGGTAATTAGGGAAATAGGTAAGGTTTTAGATTCAGTAAGGAAAAATCAGCAGTCATAATTTTTAATAATAATGAAGGTAGTGAGCTAACGATACAGGAGGTCACGCTAGAGATAACAGATACATACAAATATCTGGACGTATGGATATAGATAAGCAATGGGACCAAGTACCTAAGGGAACACGAAATAGACGTGACGACTAAAGGTAACAGGAATGCAGCAGTGATGAAAAGTAGGGCACTGTGAAATTACAATAGGTATGATGTTGTGAGAGGAATATGGAAAGGGGTCATGGTTCCTGGTCTGACGTTTGGCAATGCGGTCTTGTGCATGAGATCAGAATTTCAAGCAAGATTAGAAATTAAGCAACGTGGAATAGGTAGACGTGCCTTAGGAGCTTACGGGAATACACTAAATAAGAGAGAGTACAAGGTTATATGGTGGGATGGACATCATTTTAGCGCAGGGAAGCTAGCAGCAAGATAAAATTTGAGAAGCGATTGAGAGAATTGGGGGAGGAGTGCTGGGCTAGGAAGGTTTTTCAGCTACTTGTACATGAAGAATGTCGATACAAAATGGAGGAAGCAAACCAGAAAATTGACTGGTAGAGACTTAGAAAACAGCAGGGGGCCAAACCAAAAAGAACTATCGGTTAAGAAGAAAGTGAAGGAAGCTGAGACCGATATGTGGAGATTTGGCATGATTAAGAAGTCCGCACTAGAGATCTATCAAACTTTTAAGTAGGCAATTGCCAAGGAAAAAGGATCTATGATAATGCTCGGCATAGTTCCCTACTGTTTGAGGCCAGGACGGGAGTATTGCGAACCAAGAAATATCGGGCCAAACACAAAGGGGCAGACAAGGTATGCAGTGCGTGTGGAGAGGAGGAGTAAACTGCCAAACACTTGATAATGTTGTGCAAGTGCTTCACCCTATAGTTCAGGATGATGGCGCAGAGTTTTCCAAAGCACTGCGGTTTCAGGGACAGCGTTGGCAAAATAGACTTTAAGCTGTAAAATTAACTAAAAGGAGGTTATCTGATTGGTGGCTAAAGTCATGGCACGAGTGAAAATTAAACCCTTCACTGCAAAGTACCAGTCCTCAACTTCACTATTTAATGTGAAAAAAAAAAAAGATAAATCTAGTTTTTGGTTTACTAAGTATTACGGCTAGGTAGCGTTAGCCGCCGCCCGATCTAAAGGGTGCAGCCATTTCAATCCATCCATCCATCGTTGCTCACGCTCCCGCTGGAACGTGCTGCCAGCAGCCGCCGGAGCGCGCAGGCCACGCGTTGCCAGTGTTTCCTTTTATAAAAATTGACACTATACAGGATATAAATCACTAGATAACAATTAGTTGGGCACGATGTTCATTCATCTTCCCTTTCTTGAGTCTTGTTTGACATGTGCCCGCATAAGGAATAAGATTTCAGGTAAAGCAAGCTCTTATGACTTGTCCTTCCAATTTCTTTGTTGAAAATTCGTGATACCTCCTATTATGCACCAACTTTCACGTCAAACAACTTTTACAACAAGAACTTTCACGTCAAACAACATGAGCAAAATAAAGTTTTCTTTCCAGAAGCTTTGGTTCAATGGTGTCAGCTGTCTGCTGCTACAACAGCAGCATTACGTAAGCGTTCCTTCTCAATCCAACAACTGAGTTGCCAACAGTCAACATAAATCTATGTGCATCCTGATGCCTCAATAGCAGCAGCCTTACGCTCTTCAAGTGCCGTCTCCGACACAACCGGAACACACTTAACACCGCAAACAGGCAGGCTTTCACCGCTCCCACGCTATTACAGATTTGAAACACAGGACTCGCGCCAGATTTGTGGTCTAGCTAAGCTTGTAGTTACGCTAAACTGGCAATTAATCGCGTACCAGCGATAGCACAATAATCGCAGCACCCACGGTGCAAATTTAATTACAGATAACGTCGTCTCGTTCCTCGGCCTAATTGTCCGACGTGCAGCTAGCGCGGAGATCACAGCGCGAACCGCTCCTCACGTCGACGAGCAATTACGTAGGTGTGGCCCCGTCCACGGTGCCTTATAAGGCAGTTTCGCGTGTTACGGCGAACGTGAAATGTCACGACGCCGCATTTCCGCACGGCAACATCTGATGCTTAGAACGAAGTCGTACGACGCGCACGCCCATAAATTTGGCAGTTCTTTCCATCGCGGATGACAGGCGTTGGACTAACGCGCTACGAACCGCAATCGAGGAAACGTTGGCAGCGCGCTTTGGAGGCACCGGTAGTTCGGCCCGCTATAATTAGAAGCTATAAAAGCGCCGTCGATGAGAAGAGGAAGTACCCAATGCACGTCGAACAACGCGAATTAAAGACATGCGGCACGTTGGTGAGGGATTTGACCGTTTAATAGGCGATGACCGTCGATCAATTTAGGCCGACACGCAACAACATTCACGAGCGCTAGACCACGACGACGCGCCGCACCGAATTAAAAACACGTTTTCAAGGCTCGGCAGTTTCTGGTTTCTCAACCGCCCTCACCGTACGCCGGTCAAGAACCTCCAGTCTAAATCGAGCTACGTAACGAAACGGAAGGTAAACAAGAGTTGACATCGTGCGGGCCCTCTCCGAGGAACTTTTTAACGGGACTTGTGTCACGTTTCAGGACAACGAGGAACGCCTTTCCGGGTGGACCGGAGACGTGTAGTTGGGTTAAGTCACAGTTCAGGCACTTACCCGAGAGATTTGAGGGCCCCAGACGAAGTCCGTGTGTTCTAGAAACTTCGGAGATGCGTCTAGAGCGAGAAGCGAAGCGGGCCATAGAGAAATAAAGGTTAAGAGTGGACACTCCCGTAGACCCCAGCGGCCCAATCGACCCTAGCACACCTAGTGGTCGGTGAGAGCAAGTGGCGTGCGCTTCCGGTTTCGGTTTCACTGGCGCAAATTTTGAATTGCTTTGCATAACCGACATTTGGCTATGACGAAAGTTCATGATTTCAGACCACTTATTCATCGCCCAAATGGATAGTTTTTGTAGGTCGTTTTGATTTAGCGATTCCCTGTTTTGTTTTGTTCAGTGGTTCGTGCGAATCGGTCGTGACGTAATTTTTATTTCGATTAAGTTATAATAAAAAGAGATGCAGTTAATGATAATTCACTACGGTTTTATTCATCGCGCTTGTGTTTTTCTTTTTGAACAAGCGATCAATGTATATATCAGTCAAAGAGACAGAGTATCCGCAATGTTTTATTAAAAGGCAAGGTAGAGTCTGAGAATATAAAAAGGAAATTTGACAAAGGTAGACAACAAATGCATCTCGCCTTACAAATAAATTGTAACAAATATTGTAACAAATACAGAGAGAACACAGGCAACGCACACATCGCTAGAGTTGGCAGAAGCCGAGAAGCTGGTGAAGTATGACACACCGGGCCAGTGGGTAAGTAAGGATCTATGGCAAAAACACAGCGCACAATGCTGATGAAGAAGGAAGAAGTGACATATACACAGCAATGAAGTCGCGAATCACGCCTGGGCTTAACCGAAATAATGCATAGAAAAAAAAGAGCGCACATAAACCACGCGACACAATATAGCAGAAAGGCTAAGGTGCAGTGTGCTGGCTGTGCTTAAGAACAGCTAGTCCAAAATGAAAAAAAGCAGACTTGATGCCTGCTTGTCCTCAGAAAGGTAGGGCTTTGCAGCTTGCTCACTACGTGAAAGACAAACTTTATGCTACAACACTGGCAGGTCCTGTGGCTTTTGTTATGCGTCGCCTTCATCAAAAACTTAAGATCTCAAGTGATTTGCGTCTGGGTGTTGCTGTGACGCTTGCGAGCTAAAATAGATTGTAGTCATCACTTTATCCAGAATTGTGGACTTTAATTGGTGCTACGAGAGCGGTATTACAGGGCTAATAAATAGCAGAAGGAAACCACTTTGGCTCATTATTTTTCACAAAGGCTCTACATCGTACGTTATCACTCACAAGCTATATAAAAATAAAATGGCAGCGTCCGCAGCCCCATCAAACGCTACAAGTTTGGGTATTCTTTTGAAAATTTTGATGGGCGAGATGAGGAGGTTGATGAGAAGCTAAAATACGAAAAGCGTGATAACGTGAACCGTGCCCACTTCATACTGTGTTCCTTACCCGCTCGAAGACAACGAGCGGCTTTGTTATCGATATATTACTTGAGCTGGAGAGATAAAGCATACACAGTGACAGAGCGAGCCACAGTAAAGTGTACAGTTTGCCCGCATTTGCTACAAAAATACAGACAGGATACCCAACATTCTTTTTAAGGTTATGCAAATCACTTCGAGCGAATACACAGTGTCCCTACTCCTCATAGCGGGTAACCTAAACAATGTATGCAACGAAGGAGTGGCTAGTCCAGTTGAGCTGAATATAAGCATATAAGACCATAATGAAGTCTGCTGTAACGAAGTAATAACATAACAAAGCTATTGCAGGATTCGGCTCAACTCAAATACTTTAGTGTAAACCCGCCGCTAATTGCTAACCTTTGAACTTGTCAAGCTGTATGCCCGAGATTGAAGACTGGAACCTAACCCTATCTAAGTTTCGATTCACAAAACGCACATACCAACATAAACGAACCCGGCAAAACATTCTCAGAAACTTCGCGCGACACCCAGCAGAGCAGAAATGAAAATCGCCAACACTTGACAGATGGTGATACAAAACATCGCACACTTACAGGTGATGTGCAGTGGCCTCAATCATGGCAAGAAAGTGAGATTCAAGTTGTTGTACGTATGCAAAAGCTGCTTCTGATGGCACAGTGAGATTCCCAAAAAGTTTGCTGGGGACGTGGTATGCTTTGAGCATTGTGAAATACTGGTGGGTACCCTTAAGCGTCTCACTGTCGTCTTTCAGTAACTGTGGGCAACTGCAACCGTCACATGCATTCCGAAGGAAGTGTTTGATGAGAAAACCAGCTACATAATATGCAGCGGAGACATCGATAATACGGGAGTGAATGTTTGTCGCAAGTTCAGAGAGATCGTCTAGAGCGGGAAAGTCGTCAGGCTGTGGCTGAGCACACGCCTCATTATCCACAAGAGACGCACTGGTGAGGGAGAATGGCGAGAGCTGCTCCTGGAGGAGGTCACATTAATCATCCTCGACATTTCCGTATTCTGACAGCTTGAAGAGTTTTCTTATGCAGATGTGCTTCAAACCACAAATAAATTGTGCTACATTGGGGTTGGTGTTGCAACCCTGTTTTTGCCTAATGTGGCCAAAGATGTTCTCCAGAGGATCCTGTTGAAGCCTGCGTGTTAACAGGTATTCAAAATTGTAATTTTTGGAGAGGTCGTCCCATAGTTGACAAATTGCCTGAATAGTAATTTGCCAACCTACGATGGTTTGTGGTTGACGTCTGCCAACAAACTGCCATGATGCAATCCAGGGAAGCTGGCCTCGGAGGAAGTCAATCAGCTCTGAATCATTTTTCATGATTGCATGCCGCAGCTTTTGCGAAGTTCTTTTTTTACTCGAGCTGTTCAAGGCATCGAAAATCCTGTCCATACGATCACAAAATTGAGCTGTAGTGATGGCCGAGGCAGGCAGCACCTTCGCATACACCATTGCCGTGATAGCAATCGAAACTGATGCACTGAGGACCTGAGTTGCTCTGCTGACCTTCATATTAGAAAAAGGTTTCTGATGAACGTGCCGTTCAGTCAACTTTGGAGCCAATCGCAACCGCAGCTCATGTGAGGATTGGTAAAGGCTTACAATGTGCGACCAGTTAACAATGTCATCCCCAATGTATAACTTGTGTGCTTGGACATTATTGCGCGTTGTTTTAATTAAATGCGGAACATCAAAAATGTAATATACCCGCTCACCATTAACTTCAAAAAAAGGCTTTGCTACAGTCACTCTTAGTTGGTTAGCGAGACTTACATTTGAACTGCCCTGGTCACAAATGACTGCTTTCACTGCAATATTAATGCTCCTAAGCTCCAAAATGAGTGACACCAGCAAGTTATGCATAACAGATGATGGTGTTGATGTGTGCCCTATAGTAAAAGCAACCGGTTGAACCCACTTTCTCGAAACGCCAACAAGAAGAAGAACCAGTGCTCGATCAGCGATGGTTGAAGTGCGATGAGTGCCATCATCTGTAAAACCCTGGACAACGTTTCTTGCAGCATCATAGTACAAATTCTTTTTGAGTGCTATTTCGTCGAAAACTAAAGCGCACACTCGGTCCCGTTCATTCCAAGCTTGAGTATTTGTTGCAATGGAAGAAAGGATTCCTGGAATTATGTCTGGAGTCATCTTTACATTAGCTAGCCACCTCCTTAATGAACGCTGGGAGGACAAAGAAAAATATGGAGCCAGAAATCGGTATGCTCGCGGACCTCGGAAGTTTAAGTGAAGAGCGAATTTCTTGAACCACACGGGAAACCGCTTGCCCTTGCGTTTGGGCCTCAAGCGAACATGTGCAGAAAGAAGTTTAAAAACCGCCTCGGTGACGTGCGGTCGGATAACTTCAAGGGCCTTCGAAGTCGATGACGGTGCTTGGTGAGGCTGTCTCTGCAGTCTTTTGATAGTTTTCCGCTGCGCTGCTACTTTGGCTTGCAGATGTTTAATGGTTTGCTTGTACTTCATTGATGGAAACATTGTCGCTGGCACACAGGAACGCACTGCAATAAACAAAAAAATTGATGTAAAAGCGAAGAACAACTAGTCCCATACGATCACTTTCCTCGCTATTTCAGACCCAAGGTGCACAACTTTCTGTGGTGCAAAGTTTTCGATTCCACTACCTAAAAACAAACCATTCACAATGTTGACAATGCACAAAAAAAAAATGAAAATCACTGAGAGCCCACCCTTACATTTTGTAAGTGCACACGTAGTGTCCTTTTGAGGATAGTCTCCTCAGAATGTCCTAAACATAAAATAGCACATTAAAAACTGCTGCAATAAAAGCATAGTCACCATTTTCTCTAGGGCACTCAGGCGTGGAGCTGTTGGCGGAGACGTCTTCTGGAGGGTCTTGTGAAGCTTGTTCAGTGCCTCGGACAGTGCTGTCGGAACAATCTTGCGAGCGGCCTGCGGAACAGGGGTGGCGCCAGGGGGGGGGGGGGGCAAGGGTGGGCTGGAGCCTCCCCAAAATTCTCGCCTGCCCCCCCTATGCCCACCCAAGTGCCCGGAAGCATATATTGAAAACCTAGTAGGAGCAGAGCTAGCTTGCCCCCCCGGAGGAACTCACTTTTCGTGGTTGCCCCCCCAGTAAAAACATCCTGGCGCCGCCCCTGCTGCGGAAGTCTCTATATCAGTTCACTCTGGTGTTGAAGTGAACATACAACTTACCGGTCACACAAGTTCCTTTTGTGACAGCTGAACGACTGGTTAAGGTTTTCTCCGGCAAGACGAAATCAGCAGAAATTCTTTCACCAGCTACAAGGGAGCTGCCACCTGCAGAGGTTTGGTCAACAGTCAATTTGGGTAAAAAAAAAAGAAATCGCGACACTGAACGCACCCTGTTCATCGGGGCACCTCAATGTGTGGGATCCGCTTTTTGAAGCCTCTACCGCAGGTCCTGAAGAAATGAAATTACGACAATGTGTCAGTAAGAGGCTTAAAATAACACAAACTGAAGCTCATCCGCACCTTGCAGTGCCGCTTCTGCAGCCATGTGACAGTCACTACTTGAAGCGACGCTCAGAGAACCTGCATATATGTGCAGTTGGTACAAGTTACAAAGCTTGTATCATGGGGAAACTTAAACAGCTCTTTCAAACGCATAAATTGGTCGAACGTGGAAGAAAAG